TCCTGTTTCTCTTTCCCTCCCTCCTTACTGCTTTCCTCCACTATCAGGCAAAATAAGCTTCACAGTATGGTACCCAGTAGGCTTCCTTGATGCCTCCAGGTTTCTGGTTCCAATGGATCCAAAGTGTGAGTTGTGGTACAAGCACATCCTCTAGAGGAACTCCTGACGGTGCTCTTTTTTTTTTTGGTTGTTGTTGTTGTTGTTTTTTGAGAGAGGGTTTCTCTGTGGCTTTGGAGGATGCCCTGGAACTAGCTCTTGTAGACCAGGCTGGTCTTGAACTCACAGAGATCCTCCTGCTTCTGCCTTCCTTCCGAATACTGGGATTAAAGGCGTGCACCACCACTCTGCCTGACAGTGCTCTATTAACTTCCTGACATCTCTAGCATTTAATAGCTGCCTCTCCAGCTTCATGTGAGTCCAGCTGAAGTCATCATGTTTCTCCCACATAATGGGAATATGTCTGTGATTTTTTAAAAAGCCATTTCATTTCATCTCCATGGAGAGCATGGCCTGTATCTATTGTCATTAGTTGCATAAAAAAACTATTCTTGCTGGCCAAGTCTGTTATTATTTTTATTTTAATGAACACAATTCAAAGTTATGTCTTGAAGCTGGGCTTTGGTGGCGGACGCCTTTAATCCCAGCACTAGGGAAGCAGAGGCAGGTGGATCTCTGTGAGTTCGAGGCCAGCCTGGTCTACCAAGTGAGTTCCAGACAGCCTCTAAAGCAATACAGAGAAACCCTGTCTCAACCCCCCCAAAAAGTCATGTCTCTATCGAGACTGAATTATTTCTAAGCTCCTAGCTTAGTATATGTCATCAGAGATGGTCCTAGAAAACTCACTTTGAACTTTTTATCTCTTCCTAGCCTCTTGAGTATAGCACTTAGTTATTGGTATCTCTAACACATCTTGCAGCATACCTATTCTTTCGGAGTCACTGCGAGAAGACTGTGTGGTGGGTAAAGAGCTCACAGACATCTATTGCAGCAGCACTCACTCATGAACCTTTGGGAGGGCTTTGAACGTCTAAACCATAGCAAGTGATATGAGGAGTACTTTGTTTTTTTGGGTTGGGTTATAATTTTTTTTGTAGTTTTCAAGTTTTTTGGATAAGATGGCATGCTTTTTAGAGTCAGACAAAAATATTCAATGATTCAAACAAATAAAAATTCAGGGCTAACCCTCTGTGTGTGAGATTCCCCCAAATATTGAATTTTTAGGAGTGTACACAGTACTCATGGTATATTTACAGTTTTGACTATCCACTAAATAAAGGCATTTATTATTAACAGAATCCACAGGGATTTGGGGTGAGATTTTAGAGTTCTTTCCCAGTGGGGGTACTTGGGACTAAAGTTTTACAGCAGCAAGTTGTGACTAGACACGTGTAAAATCTATTCTTGTGCCCACTAGACACTTTGTGCCAAGGTTTTTGTTGGGTGTTGGTTACATAGCCACTCTCTGGAGTATGCCAAATTACAGACTCTCAGAAGGAAAGGCAATGTTGACCACCTTGTTTATACAAGCAGATGAGGCACAGTGGGTCACCCTTATAAGTCATGGGTTGGTGGGAATCTTATTCATACCCAAGCTCCTGATACTAACCAGAAGTCACCCTGAGCAGGCTTTTCCAAAACTGGCAATATCAGGCCAGCTTTGTAACTCTCTATGGCCCATTCATTACCCCCAATTATTCCTCACAGTACTCTCTTATTGAGAATAAGTGTGTCAGAATTCTTCTTTTCTTCTTCTCCTCCTCCTCCTCCTCGTCCTCCTTCTCCTTCTTCTTTTTGATTTTTCCAGACAGCATTTCTTTGTGTATTCTTGACTGTCCTGGAACTTGCTCTGTAGATCTGTCTGCTTCTGCCTCATGAGTACTGGAATTAAAGATGTGTACCGCAGCCGACTGGCAAATGTGTGCGTGTGTGTGTGTGTGTGTGTGTGTGTGTGTGTGTGTGTGTGTGTGTGTATGCCTACATGGAAATCAGAGAATAACTTTGACTGTTATTCCTCAAGGGTCATCTATCCTGTTTTTTATGGTATTTCATGTTGGCCTCCACTCACCAAGTAAACTATGCTGAGAGGCCAAAGAGCCCTGCAGCTTTGTCTGTCTCCTCCCAGAACTGAAATTAGAAGTACATACCATCATGCTGGGCTAGTTTATTTTCTTTTCTAGTATGATTCCATTGATTTAAAATTCAAAATCAGCAAAGTTAACTTATGACTAATGAAGTCAGGAAAGACCTTCCCTTTTTGGGTGGGTGACTGAACAGAAATTTCTGTCAGAAGTTATCCATAGCTTTTTTTAAACTTTAATATTTATATCAATTTTATACAAAAACTTTGATCATATTTCTCCCTACTCTTCTCCTAGATCCATCCGTGTCTCTCCACCCCTCCCCAACTTTGTGTGCTTGGTTTTTGTTGTTGTGGTTGTTTGTTTTTTAAAATAATCTACCAAGTCTATTTTGTGTAGACCATATACTCCTAGGAATAGAACCATCTCCAGAAGCATGGTGATTTACCAGAGCCACACCTTAAAAAAGCTTTCTCTCCCAGTTGGAGAGCTGGCCTTCCTCCTCACCAGCTGCAGCAGTGGGCCCTGTACCTCATCTGGGAAGCATAGTAGAGCTGGTACTGGTAGTGGGTGTAGGTGAGCTGGCCCTGAGAGCATCCTACAGGATCAGGGCTATGAGTTGGACCATCCTAACATCCATCCCATCTATGATCTGCTGGAGCACATGAAGGAGCTGGTGCTGCAGACCCAAAGCCACAGGATCTCCATGGCATAGGCAGCAACAGGATATCCAAGAGGAGTCCCAGTGAGGGCCTAGTGTAGCAGAAGCCAGAGGCCTTGAGCCAAACCAATGACTCATTGCAATGAACACTCAAAAGTAAAGATGAATGCACTAAATAGTAAATTGTGTGACTCACTGTGAAACACCACAGCTTCTAAGAGATTTTTTTTCTTTTAAAATTTGTTTATTTTTGGGGGGTATGTTGAAAGCACAGAGGGCAGATAAGAGGGGATGGAGAGATGAATGGGATTGGTGTTCATGATGTGAAACCCACAGAATCAATAAAAAGTTAAAACAAAAAAACCTGGCTCTTCCTTCCCTAGATGCTTTTAACTGCCAATAGCTCCTAAAGGGTGGAGGCTCATGAGCCCTTCCTTCCTCTATGTTAGAATGTTGATCGCCTTGATCCGGGCCTTCTGCAGACTATCACATCTGGTGAGAGTTCACGAGTGCAGCTGTCCTGCCATGTCTAAAGACCTTGACCAGTATTGTATTCCTGACTTGGCGTTCTTGCAATCTTTTTGACCCTTCTTCCACAATCGTCTCTGAACTTTGGTGGTGGGTACAGTGATGTAGATGCTCCTGTCATGGCTGAACACTCTACTGAGACATACTCTCTGCACTTTGATCAGATTTTAATTTCTATGTTCACCCCCATCCATTGCACAAAACACTTTTCTGATGATGTCTGGAAGCATCTGTAATCTATGAATGTAGAGACAGGGATTTAGAGGCAGTTTGTTCTTATTATGTCCATTTATCAGAATAATGGCAGTATGTTTACTCCTGTGGCCTATGAGTTCCCCAGTCATGAGTTTCTTTTAGTGGACTGTATCCCAAATCTAATCAGAGAGCAATTGGTTACTCTTGTAACACTCTTGTGTCTATTGTGTCCATGGGCATATTTTGCTACACTGAACATTATTGTAGTTCATGGGGCTAACAGCTGGGTAGGAACATATTCATTTGTGTGTGCGCACATGCATATGTGGAGGCCACAGGTTGACATTAGGTGTCATCTTCAAGTGCTCCCCACCTGGATTTCTGAGACAGAACAGCTCTGCATTTTATCTGCATTTCTATCACACTGAATGCATTCCAGGATGGCCTTCCAAAGGCTGGTAAAGGAGGCAGAGTTAGTTACGTATGATGTGCAGAACTTAAGGGGAAGTCTGAGATCACCTGGTTCCTCAGTTGCCCACGCTTTTCACAGGGCAGATGAGGTGGCCCCCTGTGTGGAGCAAGCCTGTGAAGCTGGAGTGGAGCCATGAAAGTTGCAATAATCATGCCAGTGCCAGCTACTGGCTCCAGGCTCCTGGCTTTGTGTGGTTTTTCCTTCATTCCTCCAGCTCTAACTGTTTAAAAATCAATTAGCTCTAGTCATTAGAACACAAGCAACACAGAGCTCATTGTCCTAGAAGTTGCTCTGCAGGCCGTGGGGCTCGAAGTGAAGTTTGGTTTCCCTTCTACAAATAGAGTATGTCAACATCCCTTTCCTGTGGAACCCAGGCTGGAGTGATGATTTCATGCCCATAGGCTGCCTCTTAGAACACTTGGAGACATTCACTCATATCCTTATTTTCTACTCTTACCCCCATTCTTGTCCATGATATCACTTTCTCTTCAGGGTCTTTGACAACACTGAACTGGAAGGTTGTTCACTGAAGCTGCTTGTAATCATCCCCTATATGTGTCCACACTGTCTCCCAGAACTTGGCCCAACACCTGAGTACCCAGCTAACCTTCAAGTTCAATGCTACAAACAACTTCACGTTCTTCCACTTGGTCTATATTCAGTGGTGTCAGAGACCCCTTTGCCCTAAAACCAACAAAATGTTTATTACAAGGAAGACATGCATCTCTCTTGTATTCGTTTTTTGCTGATCAAAGAAAGTATTTCTGCGTGTACTTACTGACTGTGTTCAGGCTTTAGCTTCCATGAGTATGGATACTTATGTTTACCTATAGAAGCCAACAGAATGAATGTCTTTTTTTGCTTTGTATACTTTGAAATCCAGTCTCACCGTGAAGTCATGGATGTCCTGGAACTGGCTATGTAGATTAAACTGGCCTGAGATGTGATGTGGTTCCCCTACCTCTGTGTTCCTGGATTAGAGGTGTGCACCACCCCATCTGTCTTTATTAAACTCGTGATTTTATGCATGTCCTTACCCTTATTTTTACCTCCTGAATCTCTCTAGTAACTTACATCGATGAAGATGAAAATGAAATTCCTGAATTATCATCAAACAAAACCTTCTTCATCATGCTCAAGATTCCAGAGGAGTGTGTTAATGAAGAGGGATTGCATCACTTGCTCACTAAAAGGGTGACTATGCCTTATGTACAGCTTATGGAGGTCTTAATGCTGGATATTATGAGTTCTGCTAGAGCGATTGGCCAAGTCCTAGAGTGAACAGCAGAAGATGCTTATAAATGCAAGTGGAATGAACCTGGCCCGCCCTCCAGCTTTGTGTCCCAGAATACAGCATCCTTTACACATGCTGGTCCTGTATTTCACCCAGCCTGTATTCACTGATGACCTAATAATGCCAAGCTCCAGGGCCACATGGTCCTTGATTACAAGGAAGTCTAAGTAGGGGAAATAATCAAATAGTTACAAGATGGTTTGGTTATTTCCTAATACTTAGTTACATACAGTATTGATGGTATTTTTTTATGTGTGTGTGTACATGTCATTTGGGTGTGTAAATGTGAAGGCCAGAGGTTGATGTTAGGAGTTTTCTTCAATTGCTCTCCACTGTAGGTCCCCTCCCCCTGATTTGGGGGCCCATGACCCAGCTCCCCCCAAAATACACAGAGACTTATTCTTACTTATGAAATGCCTGGCCTTAGCTTGGCTTGTTTCTAGCCAGCTTTTCTGACTTAAACTTTAACTACATTTTGCCTCTGGGTTTTTTACCTTTATTCTATATATCTTTCTTTCATACTCCATGGTTGACTGTGTGGCTGGGTGGCTGGGCCTTGAGTTAAGTGAGAGTGGCTGGTCATAGAGTTCTACTGGGTGTTATATGTTACAGTGCTAGCGACTGGCTATATTCACGGCTCACCAATCCTCCCCAGTATGCCTGAGAATGGTTATCTCATCACAAGGTCACCACCAGTAAATTGAGAGGCCAGAGGCTGCATGGTGGGCACAAGTGGGGCTGGCCTTGCTTTTGATGTAGCTGTGACTTTAATCCCAGAGTTGTTCCCATGCTGAGAGAGGTACCAGATCCCAGTCCAGTCCTGACTTATCCTAGAACTAGTGTGTTGGGGAACAAGGTTTTTAACTTTCCAGTGTAGATGTGGAAGGAACACAGTGTAAATTCAGTCCAGCATGTATTCCCTAGTACCAAGCAATTAGGATTTGTATCTCTGAATCTTCATGGGAGGACTAAGCAAAGGTGGGAAAACCAGGCTGGAGAGATGGCTCAGTGGTTAAGAGCAGGTTTTGCTCTTGCAGAGGACACAGGTTTGGTTCCCAGTATTCATATGTCAGCTCACAACATCTGTAATTCTAGTTCCAGGGAATCCAATGCATTCTCCTGCCTCCAAGGTCACGAAGCACATGTGCAGTACACATACAGATATGCAGACAAAAAGCACAGAAAAATAAAATAGTTTTAAAGGCCAGAAAAGATGATGTCACATAATACTAATAACTACTGTCTGAAAATAAAGTCAACCACTCCAAATAGGTAGGAAAAAGTTAAGACAAGGAAATAACAAATGATTAAGAGGTAAGAGGTCCCAAAGATTTAAACACACAGGAAGGTGCTCCCCTTATAGTAGGAAAGGCAGTATACACAATGTGAGACTGGATCCTACACCTCCGGGTTGGTAACAGTTTTTAAGTTTAGTAGGAGTATGGGTAATGGAATAGGTATGATTGTAAGGAGGACACAGAATGCTCAGCAAGAATGAGTTGAGTTAAGAGGCACCATTCCTTGATATACTTTGGGGAGATTCTCACATGAACAAAGAGATGCACAGAGATGTCTGGGGAAGATTGCACCAGCACAATTTATGATAGAGATGACATGGAAGGAAGTCACATGGCCATCAATGGGGAGGCGGATCATCTGGGTAATGACTTAATGCAGTCTATGTGGGAGATGGACTGAAGGACCTTCCCTGAGATGTTTGTTAGGCATAAATCTCAAATGTCATTTTCAGTGAAAAAAAAGCAAGTCTTAATTATTCACAAAGGTACACATTTGTGGTCTTAGCTACTCGGGAATCTGAGGCAGGAAGATACTGAGTCAGGAATTTGCGACCAACCTGAGAGAGATATGGAGAATGTGTCTGAAGAAATAAACAAAAATAAACAACACAAACAAAAACAGTTCTTAGAAGACTGTATAGGATACCTTTTATTTTAATAAATAACATGTTGTTATGATTCTATAAAGAAGTAGTGATTTCTAAACATAAGCAAAGAAAGGATACATACTGTTGTCAGGATGATGGTTAGTACCAAGGAAGGGAGAGAGAATGTCTAGTTCTTAACTTATGGTTTCCAGCCATTCTGGGTTTGGCTTTAATGACAATATTTAGACAGTTTGCATTAGTACAGCACCTTATTATAAAATGGCCTTGTGTTAGATAGGTCTGGCCAATTGTAAGCTAATGCAAGAAAGTATTTTGGGCAGGTTTAAATTGGACTGGGCCAAGCCACAATGTTGAGTATGTTAGATGCTTTAAGTGCATTTCTACCATTTTAATTAGCATACAAAGTAACAGGTTTCCTCATGGTATTTTCATATACATACACTTTTGCACGTTTCTCCATCAGCTCCTCTCCACTGTCTCCTAGCCACCGTCCTTGTTGTACTGGTTTGCCCTTAGAATTCCCCCTTCCTCTTTTACATCCCAAGCGTTCTGTTAGTCTTCCCACTCCCTCTCTCTTCAAGATTAGTTTGCCCAATCTCATGGGCCTCGTTTTGGTTTTCTGGCCTCTACCCACCCTTACCCCTCATTTGCATACGTTTGACTTTTGATAATTTCAATAACCATCGTAGACTGTGGAGCTACTGCATAGCAAATGTGAGGGCATGAAGTGTAGGTGGTGGAAACACAGGTGTTACCATTTTTTTTAAGGATGCATGCAATTTTTACTGCAAAGCCTCCATATCTTTGGAACTTCATCATTTTGTTTCCTTGACTGGGGAAGTGCTGGACTTGACACTCAGGATAGATATTTCTCCTAACAATGAAGTTCTGCAGAAGAAAGAAAGAAGCCCATGACCAGTGATGTCCCTGATGCTGTGTGACTTGTGCTGAGCTGATCCCCCCTCCTATTTACCCCCAGCGGTTGGCTCTGTGAGCTTCTGCTGAGGATCACTGACCATAGTACTACTAAGATTACCAAGTGATAGCTCAACTCATAAGTGATATAGAGAATTTCCAGTGAGTCACCCAGACCTTATCAATACACCCATTTTGATTTTTTGACAATCTCGTTATGTAGCCTTGGCTGACTTAGAACTCACTATGAAGGCCAGACTCATCTTGAACTCTTGGGAAGTCTGACTTCCTTAACTTTCAGAATGCTGGGATTATAAGCATGTGCCTGGCTCTCAATGAGACTTTACTATTTGGAATATTGAGATGTCACCAAGGACTAACTTGAGCTTTGATTTGTGGTCAGCTTACACGTTCTTACTCTTAGTACAGAGCTAGACAAGTCAATTCCCAGCTAGAATGAATTCCCCTTTGTTCTGAAGTCATTTGCTTCTGTAGGTGTTATGTAAGATGACTGCCAGTAACTTGTGTTTTATTTTTCTTGCTATGTGTTTAGCTCACAGACATGTACAGAGAGTCACCATCTCTGAGTCGTTATTTCACTTCTGCTGAAATCATGGACTTCAGGTAAAAGCACAGAACTTTACATCTTGCTCTCTTTCTCAGAAGATCACCCATCCACCTACCCAACCAATCATCACTTACCCACAGTGATTTTTCTTGAACCGTAGTGCAGGAAAGGGCTTGGTAATAGAATCACAGTGCCGTGCTGGGATGCTTCCTGGAAACTGCTTAGCTCAGCTAATATTTCACAATGCAGAAAAAAAGGAAGCCACAGACTAACTATGTGATTCAATTAAAGTCACGCACAGAGAGGAAAAGTCTGTCCATGGGAAACATTCTTGTTTAACAAAAGACAGACAGAAAAGGACAGAAACAGACGTAAATCTCAGAGAGTGATATCCTGGAAGTGACATGATCTATGTGGGACAAAAGTGATTTATAATCTCCTCATGTAATATTAATACAGAGCATACCTGTCAGTCAGGTCTATCTTCTGCCTCCTGCTTTCAGTGCTACCACCAATGACTAATTACACTCACTCCTACAAAATTAACAACCCCAACAGTTGCCTTGATTTTTTTCTGTGTATATATTTACTACATACAGTGTGAATGTATATATTCATATATTTTTCTTTTTAGTTTCTTTGTAATAGTTTGGGGATGTAGATCAAACGTGTGTGTGTGTGTGTGTGTGTGTATGTGTGTGTGTTTGTATGTGTGTGTGTGTGGTCATTTAAGTAATTATCATTTTACATCACAGAGATTACTGGAAGTATTTTAAACAAGGTTTATGTGACAAAGCCTCATCTTCACTTGTTCCTCGGGTGCCACTGGGAGGTAGCCATCAAAGTCAGTGTTACATATTGAGATTCTCCCACTCAAGTCACAATGCCAGTAGAACCGATGGGAACCTATGACACCAGTGGTGACCTTATGGACTAGAAAGACTCTGAAGTCTGAGACTGCCTTCCTTCTTCATAAGTCTCTGTAGGCACATGCTGCCCAATTCTGACCCTACTGCCTTTAGTTATAAGTCATGGACACAAAAACAGAAGAAAGGGAGAGTTTCAGAGTCACATGCTTCTCTCGACCCGTGAAGAATCGCTGAGGGAAGAATGATTTCCCCACCCCAGAGCCTTTGGGTCTTTCCAAGAATCTGTCCTTATGCTACGGGTATAGAGGATCAGGGGTTAGTATGCAATGGATGGGGGTAGATGCTGGGGAAACCTACCAGAAAACTGAGGAAAGCCAGTCTAGAAAGTCAGGTCAAGACCTAGTGTTAGAGAATTGCCCCCCCCACTCTGCACTGAGGATTAAACTCATGGCATTATGCTTCCTTGCTAGGCAAGTGCTTTATTACTCAGCCAAATTACCAGGCTCCTACAGAATTTGTTTTTAAAAGTTATTTGGGGCTGGAGAGATGGCTCAGCTATTGAGAGTACTTTTTGGTCTCCCAGTGGACCTGGGTTCAGTTTCCAGCACCGTGTTTGGCAGCTCACAACACACTCACAGAGAGAGAGAGAGAGAGAGAGAGAGAGAGAGAGAGAGAGAGAGAGAGAGAGAGGGAGAAGAAGAGAGGGAGAGAAAGGGAGAGAGAGGGAGAGGGAAAGAGAGAGAGGGAGAGAGAGGGAGAGACACGGAGAGAGAGAGAGATCTTAAAAATGATTTTGGAAAGAAAAATCCAAGGACTTTATTTCCAATAAAGAAATTATGCAAAAGAAATGCTTCTTTTTCAAAACAGAGTTTCTCTGTATAGTCCTGGCTGTTCTGGAACTTGCTCTGAAGACCATATTGGCCTCAAAATTAGAGATCCACCAGCCTCTGCCTCTCAAGTGTCGGGATTGAAAATATGGGCTACTACTGTCTGGCACAAATTTTTTTTCTAGAAAGGGTCTCATGTAGTTCAGCTGACCTGAAACTCACATAACCAAGGTTGACCTTAAACTTCTGATCCTCCTGCCTCTGCATGCTGGAATTGTAGGCATGTGTCATCATGCCAGGTTTTATGTAGTGCTGGGCTTGAAGGGTTTCCTGCATGCCAGGCAAACAATCCAACTGAACCATGCCCCAGTTCACATTTTCATTGTATTTTAGAAACTTACTTAGTATTTTGAAAATATTGACCTGAGAAACAAAGATCACCATATCTAAAAGGATGCCCTTACACATGTGAAAAGACATCTCTGTCCCTGGCACATGCATTTGAGTTCTTTACCTTGGACCAGGACTGACTCAACAGGAACCTGAAAATACCATTTGCTGTATTGTTTGCTAGACCCACTCTAGTGGTGAGGTGCTGTGGTAAAACTCACAGAAAAACATCTTCCCTCAAATTTCGGCCTTTTATAAATCCATTTGGGGAGGTTGGGGTTGGGGAGGCAGGGCAACAGGAGTGAGTTCTCAGACTGGATCAGGCAGCTTGATATTCTCACTTGGCTTCCAGCTTGGTCTTCTGGAAGTCCACCTTGGGCTCTTCATCAGCTAGCCCATATCCTTAACAGTGAGCACACAATGTTGTTGCCTGTCCATCCTCCGTTGTGATAAATCACACCACTGTGATATGACTAAGGACACCCTCAAACTAGGGTAGCTGGATTGGAGTAAAAAAAATGAGCTTTTAAGACTGCCTTTAGTGGCATCCTGACACCTGGGCTTTGTTAAGAGTCTAAACTTCATTATTCATTTGGTCCACAGAGCTCGGCCCACTTCTTTTCTATTTGGGAAAGTTTACCACCTGAGTCGTCATCCTCTGCGTAAAATGTACAGTCATCAGCTTATGTGACATATGGCCTCAAGAGGGAGCTCTTTGCCTATCCTTAGTAGGGCAGTGACCTATTAACTCAGGAGAGACTGAAGTGTCTATAAAACTCTGCCTAGAAGAATCTTTCTGATGTGACTCTGTTAATTATTTTTTTTATTGCTGAGCCTAATCTGGTCATCTTGACCCTAGAAATAGAATAATTGTGAGGTAGTGTCTAAAGGGCAGCTTAAGCTACTAATTAAGGATAGACCTATAATTATTTTATCACTATAAAAAATTGGAAAAAAATGTCCTGAAAGATGAAAGGGTGAGGGCCTCCTCAGGGCTGAAAATTCCTTAGGTCTCATTACTGAAAGATAAAATTTTGTCATGCTTTAGGGGGCTCTGGAAGTGGATATGGGGGAGTGCTCCTCCAAACACTCCTGGTGCACAGGGTGCACAGCTCAAGAGGTCTGGAGCTAGGTCAGGGTAATGAGCCTTGGGTCAGACCATAATCATTTTTATAGGTTAACCGGTTCAACTTGGGGGAGGTTGTGATCAAAGTGTGTGTGTGTGAAAACTTATGAAAGAATGAATAAATAAACAGTTTTTAAAGGGCTCGATAACTGACCAGCTCTGTTCAGTACACATAGTGGCAGCGCTGAGAGCAGGGAGATGGAATAGAGGAGAAGGAGGAGAGTCAGGCTTCCTGGCTTGCCCTACAGGATGAAAGGCTGATGGTAGATGGGTGTGTGCCGACTCTCAGTCTCTCTTTATGACAGCTGGGCTGTGTCCTTCCCTTTCAAAGGCAGCTCTCAGTGGACCCCTAAAGGGTGAGCAGTTGTTGGTGGTTGTGCGATGGCTGAGGAGGGTTCTAGGGCAGCACATTCTCCTAGCTAGTGCTCCCTCTGAAGCTGGTTCTGGGAAGACGTGTTAATGCTAGAAGGGGCATCTGAGTCTCACTGTGATTCTGTTTATCCACTAAAATGTCTGACTGCATGTTTTAATGGCTTGGTTTTCAGCGTTGAGAATGCCACAGTGACCTATCACCTGCAGTTCGGAGTTCCAGCTGAAGACGATGGCTTCATGGACTACATGATGAGTGAAGAGTTGGTGCTTGGCATTATACGACAGAATTTCCACGATAAGAACGTATCTAGTTGTGAGAGTCTTGGGCTTGACCCAGAATCTCTCTTGCTCTACGGTAAGTTGAGAAAGCAGAGAAGTGGGACCCAGAATGATGAATAAGAGAATGGACTGGGGCAGATGGCTTTGTTTGGCAGTATTGGCACCTTGTATCGTGTCAAATCATCTATCTTTTCACCCTTCCACAACCTACTCTCTTGCTCTGGGGCTTACAGCCTGTGATCAGACAGAGTAGTGATGAAACACTGTAGGAAAAGATAAACCATGATGACTGAGAAACCCACAGCAGAACAGCAGGCTCATTCCATGTAGCGTCCACCAGGGCTGATGTGAGTGCCTCCATCTAAGCCAGCTGCCTAACACCATGTTCCTTGTCAGTTTCTCTTGGCACACCGAAGGTGGTTTGAGGTGTTCATACGTCAGCCATGGTCAAAGTTAGATTACAAAGAAGGGCCAAATGTCAAAATGCTGTCATTATCCAAAAGGCTACAACCTATTTGTCCCCAATCATACCAAAATAAAAAATATAAATTATTTTCTAAATAAATGAGCATCCAAGAAGGCAAGTGTTATCTGCCTTTTGTAGAGTATCCAGCATGCATGCATATCTGTATATATGCATGTGTGTATTTGTGCGTGCATACATAAAGTTTCTCTATTCACAATTGATCGTCATTCCAATTTGACCTAAGATTATATACTCAGACTCAAGAAAACCATAATAACTCAAATGTTCAAAACAATTTTGGTGGTCTTCCAAGAATGGTGCTTAGAGGCACTCAGGGTGATCCAGCATTTGACATACCAACGTAGGCTTTCCTACAATACAGCCGCTAACAAAACTAGGCTGTCTTGAACCCCTGGTGACAGGATTGTTTACCTTTATACCAAGAAGGTTGGGAAAGCACCTAAATCTACATGCGGTGTGTGCCCAGGCAGCCTTTGAGGGTTCAGACCGAACATCCTAGACTGTCCTAGACAAAGAAGCATGTCAGCAGGGCCTATAATGGCTCCATGTGTGCCAAGTGTGTCCATGACAGGATCACGCGGCTTTCCTTACTGAGGAGCAGAAAATTGTGAAAGTGTTGTAGGCACAAGCACAGACAGAGTCAGAAAGCGAAATAAACATGCAGCTTTTAAAAATAAAGGTCAAAGCTTGGTCTCTGGAAAAAAATATTCATTTTGGCTTTTGAAAATTAGTGACTGACCTAGTTTCACTTCTGTTGCCGGGATCAACCCTGATTTCAGGTTCCAGTTTGTGATGGCGGGGAGCTCAGGACAGCAGGAACTTCAAGTCTCTAGTCATATCACAAGCACAGTCAAGAGCAGAGGGGGATGACCTCACTCACACTTCGAGCTCAACTCTCTCTCTGCTCTTACACAATCCAGAGCTCCAGACTGGGGTGGTGCTGCTCGATTTCAGACTGAGCCCTCTCTGGTCAATTAAGGGGAGTCAACCCCCCCCCCCCCAGGCCAGCCTGATCTAAGCAAACCCTCACTGAGATTCTTTTCCCAGGTGACTCTAGTTTGGGTCAAGATGGCAATGAAAACTAAGCATTGCAGTAACTTTACCTTGGTCTTCTTTTTAGAATGAAGCGGTGGAGGTTGGTCTGTGTCAGAAAGCAGTGCTTTGCAGAGTTTCAGAATGAAGAGAATTCAGAAACCTATCTAAAAGTGACCAGCAGGAGGAGACAGCCCCACTCACTCTCGTTCTGCACAGATTGGAAGTCCAGCTCTGTAGCTGGGATTTGAGAAAGCTGTTGCGAGAGGCGTCCCAGCTGGGTTCCTGAGCTCCATGAGGTCTGGGGTGAATCATAGCTCCCATAGCGTGAGATTCCTGCTGTTTTTGAGGCACTGGCTGCCTCTACTCGAACGTGGATGTTTTTTGTGTAGCACAAGGATAGTACCGGCTTTGTTTTAGGCAGGTTCTGTTAGCCTGCACTGATGGGGCAAGGAGAAAGCAAGAGTCAGGGGAAGGGGGGAACCGAGTCAATTGTTCATTCAAACCCTCTCGCCACTCACAATTATGTTGGCTGGACCTTTAAGTCAAGGGTGGGAGGAAGAGCAAGGTAAGTCCAAGACCTAAAGAGCAGAGCTCTTCATCTGCCTCCACCGCATGTCCCTGGGTGCATGGACAGCAGAGCCCGGGTGTATCACTGAGTGTTACATATAGAAATGTGTTCTTGCTTCTGTTCTCTTCACTGTTCCTCAGTATCTGTTTTAGAAAACCTAAGTCTGTGAGTTCTCAAGCTGCCATCTTTTAAGATTGCCACCAACTCAAATTTTATTATTATTTTATATAAAGGTCATCAAAAGATCATTAGTACTGCTTACTTCCTGCTACGGATACCACACACTGGCTTTGCGTTGTTGCCTGATGTCACCAGCCTTTCTGTAGGACACACTCACTGTCTGATTTGTTATTGCATGTCTTACTGCAGATGATCGCTAATCAGAGAATCTCTGTCCTTTGGAAACTGTTGAAAGAGGCATGCCTGTCCCTTGTGAAGGCAAGGAGGACGTTAGTGACTGTATCAGTCACCTGTAGATAAAGCATGCCTGCCATGAGGGAATAAAATATTTGTTTTGTTTAAAATTGTCTTCCTGGAAATTTTCTGGGATAGAGAGTTTCATTGTTGTAAATTGAGAAATTCCTAGCCTGATACCTCAGATAGATTAGTCACGGATGTAGGTCACTATGGCAGACTGCTGTGTATGAGTCTGTGTCAAGTGTAGGGTTCTGAACAATGTGAATTTGCTTTCTTATTTAACAACTATGTATTATAGTAGTAATAATTATCTATATTGTAATTTATTGTTTCGTTTTCAGTGTAGTTCCTTAAACTACTGAAATGGGTGGATTTTTCTCCTCCCCTTTATTTTTTACATGTAAAATGTAAACCTCCCTGTGCCTGTACTGTTTTGAAAGTAATGAGGAATTTTAATATATAATGATTTAAAAAAATTTACAATAAATTATTTTTGCAACTGTGTTTTACCATCTGTCTCTCGGGTCTTCTGTCTCTAAGGCCATGTGTTAGGTGGGCATTGTCTTGCAGAAAACGGGGATAGAAGTGATTATGTGTATGGAGGCAGCTTTCTTTTCTGTGTGAATGAGATGAAGCAGGATCAGGTTGCTCTGGAATTGACTGTGTTATCATCTCATTTCCAGGGAGAGTGGGAGGAGTCTGCCTCTCCCTCTTTCTCTCCAGTCCTTCTTAGGCAGAGTGTTACAGTATCAATCTGCAATGTCCCCCACTGTCTTATGTGTTAAACACTTGTTTCACAGTTAGTGATATTGTTCTAAAGATACTTTTTATCTTTAAAATCTATTTATTTACTTAATTTATGTGTCTGTGCTTAAGGTATATGTGTGCATGGTGTGTGTGTGTGTGTGTGTGTGTGTGTGTGTGTGTGTGTGTGTGGAGGAGTCTGAGAAGAGCAGAAGAGGGCATCAGATCTCCTGGAACTTCAATCATAGGCAGTTGAGAGAGTCACAGTGGTGCCGCTTCTGACACTAGGTCCCCTGCAAGAGCAGACCCCACTTTTAATCACTGAGCTATCTCTCTAGCCACCTGTATATGGGACTCATGTTTTTTTGTGCATGCATAGAGAAGACAGTAAAAGAAGATGCTAATATTGTTAGAGAAACAGGATCTGTGTGTACAAAACAGGAAATAGCAGAGAAAAAATAGCCAGGTTTAACTGTAAACAACACAAGCTGTAGGATTGTGGGTGGTCAGGGAAAAGAATGGTCAGTAGTCTGCTTGAAGACTTTGTGTGATGAGCAGACCAAAGCTGACCCAGAAGTGCTAGTGAGATAGGAACCAGCAGATTTGTCCTTGCCCATTTATCCTGTGCTGTTGTTGTTTTTGTTTGTTTTCCTTTTTTTCTCGAGACAGGGTTTCTCTGTAAGAGTCCTGGAACTCACTCTATAGACCAGGCTAGCCTCAAATTCACAGAGATCTATCTGCTTCTGTCTCTGGAGTGCTGGGATTAAAGGCGTGAGCAACCATGCCCGGCTTGCCCATTAGTCTCGTATGATAAAGTTCACAAGTTTTTGCTTGTTTCTTTGCTGTGCTGGGGATTGAACCTCGCACTTCATACATGTCAGACAAGCATTGAAGCTCTGTATTGTATTTTTTTTAAGACGTAGATTCTTGACGTGAACCCAGAGTGTGAGTAAAACAAAGATGGGGGGGGCAGGGTCCCAGTGCCCCTTCTCTTTGGTCAGTAAATAAAGCACATGGACTGTTGCTGCTCTCCTTCCTCTGTAATTCTTTAAATTCTTTTCTGCGTTTATTGACAATGGTCCTCACTATCAGAAGGCAGCTCCACATTTTATAGCTAGAAGCCAAAGCTTGGAGAGAGAGAGAGAGAGAGAGAGAGAGAGAGAGAGAGAGAGAGAGAGAGAGAGAGAGAGAGAGAGAGAGAGAGAGAGAGAGGAAAGAGGGAGGGAGGGGAGGAGAGAGAGGGAAGTCATCTAGTCCACTGGGTAATCATAATTAGTAGCCACACATCCTGGTGGGTGCCCTGAGGGGGCATCCTCAGTTCAGCCTTGGTTAGCTTCAGATATTCTGCCAGGAACCCAAGTGACAGGGAGAAGGGAAGAACTGAGAGATGTAGCCATTGGACTCTAGAAACCAATGAAAATGATGGGCTGGCATTTCTCCAGACAATGAGGAAAAAAGACTCTGGAAACATAGCATGGATTTTTACTGACCCATTTAATAGTTGGGTGAACCAACATATCTTCACATTTAGTCAAATTTGTGAACTTCAGAGGCTATGTTTGGGAATGATGGAGCCATGAGCACAAGAGAGAACCTCTTTTTTTAAATTTTCCTTCTTTTTTTTATTTCAAGCTTGATTCACATGTCAATCCCATATCCCTCTCCCTTCCCTCCTCTCCCGTTGCCCCACCAGCTCCCCCAAGCCCCTACCCAAATCCCACTCCATTCCCTGGAGGGTGAGACCATCCATGGGGGAATCCCCAGAGCCTGCCATTTTGTTCAGGGCAGGGCCAGGTCCTTCCCTAAGAGATCAGGCTGAGAGAGCATCCCTCACTGTGTGAGAGCACCCAAAGTTCATCTGTATGCCTGGGACAAACACCAATCCACCACCCAAGGCCCCACAGATTGTTCAGGCCTCCTCACTGATACCCACATTCAGGGGGGCTGGATCAGTCCCATGCTGGTCTCCCAGCCATTCAGTAGGAGTCCAAGAGCTTCCCTTTGTTCAGGTCAGCTGTCTCTGTGGGTTTCACCAGCCCAGTCTTAACTCCTTTGCTCATTATTCCTACCTCTCTGTCACTGGGTTCCAGGAGTTAAATTCAATGTTTAGCTGTGAGTGTCTGCCTCTGCTTCCATCAGTCACTGGATGAAGGTTCTAGGATGGCATACAAGGTAGTCATCAAACTCATTGTTACGGAGGGGCATTTAAGGTAGTCTCTCCACTATTGCTTAGTTTGGCAGTTGGTGTCATCCTTGTAGATCTCTGGAAATCTCACTAGTGCCAGGTCTCTCCCTAAACCTATAATGACTCCCTCTATTATGGTACCTCTCATCTTGTTCTCCTCTATTCCTCCCCTGACTGAACCTTCCTGCTCCCCCAAGTCTTCCTCTCCCCTCTTCTTCTCTCCTTCTCCTCTTCCTGACTCCTCCTCCCCCCCCCCCCATGCTCCCAGTCTGCTCAGGAAATCTTGGCTCATTCATTCCCCTTATCTGGGGTATCATACAAATCTCTCTTAGGGTCCTACCTGATTCCCGGACTCTCTGACAGTGGGATTGTCGGCTGGCACTCCCCTGAGACATGTCTAAAATCCATATATGAGTGAGTACATACCATGTTTGTCTTTTTGTGACTGGGTTACTTCACTCAGGATGGTTTCTTCTAGTACCATCCATTTGCCAGAAAAATTTAAGATTATATTGTTTTTCCTGCTGAATAGTATTCCATTGTGTAAATGTACCACATTTTCTCTATCCACTCTTTAGAGTCATCTAGGTTGCTTCCAGGTTCTGGCTATTACAAATAATGCTTCTATGAACATAGTGGAACAGATTCCTTGTTGTATGAATGTGCATCTTTTGGGTATATGACTAGGAGTGGAAATGCTGGATTTTGTGGTAAACTGATTCTCGTTTTCCTGAGGAATTTACATACTGATTTCCAAAGTGGCTGTACAAGTCGGCACTTCCACCAGCAGTGAAGGAGTGTTCCCCTTTCTCGACATTCTCCCCAGCATAAACTGTCATTGGTGTTTTTGATTTTAGCCATTCTGACAGGAGTGAGATGGTATCTCAGAGTTGTTTTGATTTGCATTTCCCGGATGGCTAAGGATGTTGAACACTTTCTCAAGTGTCTCTCAGTCATTTTACACTCCTCTATTAAGAACTTCTTGAGTTCTTTGTAAATTTTGGAGATCAGCCCTCTGTCAGATGTGGGGTTAGTGAATATCTTTTCCCATTCTGTGGGCTGCCTTTTTGTCTTGTTGACTGTGTCCTTTGCCTTACAGAAGCTTCTCAGTTCCAGGAGGTCCCATTTATTAATTGTCAATCTCAGTGTTTGTGCTACTGGTTCAGGAAGCAGTCTCCTGTACCAATTCGTTCAAGGGTACCTCCCACTTTCTCTCCTAAGAGGTTCAGTGTGGCTTGATTTATGTTGAAGTCTCTGATCCATTTGGACTTAAACCTCTTTTCCTCTGTAGGCTTGTCTGGTGATCTGGAAATGGGCTGTTCCCTTCACAGTCTTCCATCCTGGACCCCCATACAATTCCTGTCCATCCTGTTCCCCCATGCCCTCCATCCTGATTCCCCCCCATGCCTTCCATCCTGATTCCCCCCCATGCCCTCCATCTTGATTCCCCCATGCCCTCCATCCTGATTCCCCCCCATGCCCTCCATCCTGATTCCCCCCCATGCCCTCCATCTTGATTCCCCCATGCCTTCCATCCTGATTCCCCCCCATGCCCTCCATCCTGTCCTCCCACATGACTTCAATCCTTGCCCCCCATGCCTTCATCCTGTCCCTCCTCATGCCCTCCATCCTGAGACACTTAAGAGCCTGTCCTCAGGCTGTCCTAATATGTCAGCATTTGAACTTGTCACCAGTAAATTTTCCTGCCTTATTGTGGCCCCCTTTCTATTTCTTTCTTCTGTTTTAGATAAGAATTCATTCACAGAACAGGAGTTTATTTATAGGTGCTAATATGAATGTGAGCGGAAACCACAAAGCCTGCCGTGGCTTGTCCCGTGGACTGCTCCATTTTCTGTGCACTGTTTGAAGCTCTGTGCAGGGGAGGGGCGTTTCTCATTATAGTTGTGACAGAAAGAGTAAATTAGAAACTCAGTAGGTTTCTTTCTCAAGAACAGGAATTCCTTAAGTGAGAGGCTGCATTACTAAGCCCCTGGAACTTGGAGTGCACGCTCAGACACACACACACACACACACACACACACACACACACACACACACCTGCATTGATGTACTTTTTTTCTGAAAGACAACATAATTTCATCAGAAATTTTGAAATGTGTGGAAAAGGGTATCAGTATCAGCCTGTGGTAGCCCTTAGTATGTTTTTTCTTTGTTTTTGAGAATTTAAAACATGTATATGATAAAATCCCTACCCCCTTTCTTCCTTCAACTCTTTTCGTATCTCCCCAAGATACCCCCATCCCACTTCATGTTTGTTTTTTGTTGCATAGATTAGAACTGTCCTTGTGTGTGTGTTTGTAGGGCGCATCCATGGAAGCATGGGGACCCTAACAGACACCACATCTTCCAATAAGAATGACACTGCCCCTCCGACCCCAGGTCCTGCAACCACCCACGAGCAATAGCTCCTCAGTAAGTGTGGTGCCAAATCTCATTCACCCCATCTGTACCAGAGGACAGAGGACCGAGTTTGGGCATGGTGAGAGTGGTTGGACACAAAACATCACTTGCTCTAAAACTGGAGGTGTTTTAGATTTTATGCAAGTATATTAGTTATATTTCTCACCACTGTCACAAAATGCTTGGTGGAAGCCACAAGTAAGGCAAGGCTTGTTTTGACCCAGAGTTCCAGGAGACACAGTCCATTCTTACAGGGCAGCATGGTGGTTGGAGAAACTCGATCTGCTATGGTAGTGGAGCTTGTAGCATGGGCATTCAGCCTGGCAGATTAGGACACAGGGTTGCAGCCAGAACTAGGGCAGGTATCTATCACCTTCAAGTTCCCAGGTTCCCCTCAGAGAACCACTTTTGTTAGCTAGGTCATAGTCCCAAAGGTTCTGTGTCCTCCCTAAACCAGCAGGGGACCATGTGGTTAAGCATAGGGACTTTGGCGATAGTTCACATTCAAACTACAACACTCTGCTAAATTCCTCTCATAGAAGATTTTCTCAGTTTTGTTTCTTTTAATTTATTCATATCTTTGGATTGATAAATAATATTGTACACACCACAGTAGATTTAAATATTACATTCCATTTATTATTTGTGAGTTCTTTGTGTGTGAGTGTGTGTAGGTCAGAGGACAACTTCCAGAAATCAGTTCTCTCCTTCCACTGTGGAGTCCTAGGATCTAACCCCCGTTGTTACATTTGCCCAGTAAGCACTTTTACTCACTGAGCTATCACATTAGGCTCATAGCAGATGTTCTTGAAATACCCCTGTAGGGAGAGATCTAACTACGCACCTGTGGCCTTGGGGGATTTAGACTGGGTTGGACAGACTCAGGCTCTCCTGCTGCTGGCTGGGTCATGGGAGACAACCTGGGAGGATCCTTGGAACTGGATTCTGTGGCAGCCTCTTGTGTAAGAGCAATCTCTCCACATAAACCTCATTTAATTTGTACAGCATCTAGTGAATGTCGATTCCCACGCGACAATCCCCAGTAGCTCCTCTGTCCAGAAGCAGGGCTGTTGTATAATCTCTCTAGTTTTATCATACAACCATGCTTCTTTGTCTATGCATTTAGAATTATTGAGACCCTGATAAAACATATTTGCAGGACAGATAATGCTTCAGTGGATGAGGTGCAAACAAATACAACTTACTGTATTTTACTGAGAATGTTTCCCCCACCTGTCTACCAAAAAGGTTGAGTATCCATGTGACAAGCTCTAGCATAGAGCTGTCTGTTTAATGTCTGCCTTGCCAGAGAGAAGTTGGGGGCTCCAGGCTTTATTCTTTAGTATCGCTTCTCCTCAGGGTCTATGATGACGTGACGGTTAGTTTTTTGTTTTGTTTTGTTTTTTTTTAAATCAACTTGGCACAGCTAGAGTCACGTGGGAAGAGGGAACCTCAGTTTAGGGATCACCTCAATTAGACTGGCTTGTGGGCATGTCTGTGCTGCATGGTCTGGACTGATGATTGATGTGTGTGTTTGGGGGGGGTAGATGATTGTGGCAGTGCCAGCCCTGAGCAGGTGGTCCTGGGTTGTATTGGAAAGTAAACTAAGAGAGTTATGGAGAATAAATGCCATTCCTCCAACACCTCTGCCTTATCTCCTGCCTCAAGCTCCAGTCATGATGGAATATAAACCCTGTCTTCCCTAGTGGGCTTTTTATCAGTGTTTCATCACAGGGATAGAAAGCAAACTAGAATAAACGACCATATATCAGATGGAGGCCTCCAATGTACGGGAGCAATAGACAGAGCCTCAAGTAAGTAGATCAGAGGCAGAGGCAGAAAAGAAACAAAGATTTGAATCATTCTCTGGCCCACACTGCTTCCCGTAAGCCATGTGTTACATCTTGTACAGCATTTCCTATCAACATGGACACGCCCTTTGAACCCGAGTGACTTCTGGCCAAAGTCTAAAGTTAGGTTTCTGGGTAAAAGCTAACTGGAAGAAGGGAGTTAGCTGAGACCATGGTACTGGTCAGCTCTTCAGCTGCAGGTAATCAATGGGCTCATGCCTCAGTGAACTTGCTGAGAGGAACTTAAACCACTGCATTTACTCTCAATGGGCACTTCACCTGTTTTGTTTTATATTTATTTGTGTGTGCATAAATCTGCATGTGTGTGTGTGCAAGTGTGCGTGTGCATGTGCATGTGGGTGTGCCTTGTACATGCTGGACAAGGGTCCCACTACTGAGCTACCTCTCTAATGCCGTGTCACATTTTAAGTAGAAAGTTATTCAGCTCTGAGAACAAAGCAGTAAGCGCATAGTACATCCCGAGGTCGTCTCAAAAGAACATCTTATCATTTTAGTATCCCTAAAATTAGGACAGTGGCAATGAGGTAAATACCATAACACCTTGAGGATGCAGGTGTGAATGTAGAAATAATCTAATTTGCTAATAATTGTTTTTGTCTCGCTCACCTTGTTTGCGGTTTAATGTTTTCCTGCCATTTCATTGCTATCCAGTCCTAATGAGTTGCCTCAATAATAGCCAAACATAGTCCTCTTAAGTAAATCTCAAACTGTGATTGGCTAGGGCAAAGTCTGCAACATTGCTACCCAGAGTGGGTTAAACTAAAGATATTTTTAGCTTTGTAAATCCCTGGTCTGTGTCACAAATCAGGCCTACCATGGTTGAGCAACTATAGACAGTGTGTAGACAAATGAGTGTGTCTGTGTTTCAATAAGCCTTTATCTACAAAAACAGGTGGTGGGTCAGATTTGGTCAGTCAGCAGGCTGTGCATAGTTGGCTAACATAGCATAGATACAATTCCAGAAATTCTAAAGAATCAAATGAGGGAAAATAAAGAATTGAGGCGTAGAAGGGTACTCAAAGAGAAGGTGTGTATGCTATTTTTCCCATGTGAACATTTCACACATGCTGGATTATTATGGAGAAATTTACTCTACTCTATATAGTATGTAGCAGGAACATGGATTTGGAAGCCAGAATAAAGTTCGGCCACTAATGCTAATAGTGTACCTTTGGGCATTAAAGTCTCTGCAGTGGGCTTTCTGTTCCATCACTCTCTGATGCTGTGGTGATTCTACTGAGGTCTTTGTTTGCTTTGGTTTGGTTTTGTGAGACAGGGTTTCTCTGTGTAGCCCTGGCTGGCCTGGAACTCACTCTATAGACCAGGTTGAATTCTACTGAGATTTATGTGGAGGGGTTTGAACTGTCTCTCCATGGTAGATCACTTTCCCAGTATGAATGAGGTTCTGGGGATGCTTTCCTGCACCATAAGAGAAAGACAATTCAAAGTCTGAAATGTAGTTTAAAATTATATTAACAATGGTACAGGAAATTCTAAGCCATTAGGATCAGTAGGGAAAGGACACCAAGTAAAGGACATGTCTTGGGCCCATGGAGTAAAAGGAATATTGCAGGTTGCCATAGCAAGTGGTGCTGAGCTGGAATTTCACAGTGATGAGGGAATTCCCTCCGGGGACATGTAACATGATGAGTAAGCTTGTGGGAATAATTCATAAGAATTTAGTGAGAAGAGCAGAGCTTTTTGTGGTACACCCAGGTGTAGATATGGGGAGCCCTTCCTACCACAGAATATTTTTAACGCCACTTAGAAGCAAAGGTGACGTTGAAAACAATTGACTAATTTTTAAATGTTGGTTATTGTCAGGCCCTGAAAGGATTTGAGCTTTGCAGAGTCTGCCCTTCCCAGGTCCTCCAGAAGAAGAAGTAAACTAAGGATCTCTGCTTCCACTATTGTCTCCAACCCCTACTCATATCTGTCATCAGACAGAGTGCCCAACACCTACTTTGATCTGTCAGTGCTGAGCAAACTCTTAGTCACATCATTGTAGGTGAGAGAAGTGAGTCTCAAAAGGGGCTCTAAGTGGCCGTGGCTGTTGAGGGGCATGGCAGGAGAGTCTGCTAGGCACAAGAAGTTCATATTCATCTTCTGCGGAAGGTGGTGTGTGAGGAGTGGAAGGGAAACGGAGAACTGAATACTCAGTCTCTGGCCCCCTTGACGACTCTCTGTGTCTCTCAGTCTTGCTGGGGATGTTCTCATAGAACTCCTCCGCAGAGCTGCCTGACGGCCTTCCTCCAGGGGCCTTGTGATCAACAAGGATGTAGCATAACTCTTCTGTGTAGATCTGGTTAGCATTGTCCTGCTGGTCAAAGCAGAGCTGCCATAAAGATCCGGCCTCTTTCCATCCTGTACTCCAGTGACAGCACAGGCCTGACCAGGGAAACTCTGTCTCCATGTCTTGGCCAACTTTTCTAAATGGCTTCAGGGGCATTTCAAACACTAAACTAGAAGATGGAGCGTTCATGATACCCAAAACATATATCTGACCCATTCCATAGTGACTTTTGACCACCTTGCATACTTCCCCTGGTCATAGAACGCTGGTCATAGAACGCTAGATGTGCTTGGATAATACTTAACTACTCACCAAGAGATTATTATTATCATTATTTGAAACAGGGCCTCATGTATCCCAGTCAATATATAGCAGAGGATGACCTTGAACTTCTGTTCCTCATCCTTTTATCTTAAGAGTGCCATGGGAGTGTGTGTGTCACTACATCCCGGTTTTTGCTGTGCTGGGGATCAAATCCCAGGCTTCCTGAATACTAGCTACACACTCTGTACAAATTGCAATGCACCCACAGGCAGATTATTGTATTAATAATTCAAGGGAAAATCTCACTAATGGTGGAATCTCAGGAACTAAAAATCAGAGGCCGCAATGTGCAGTTGAAAGCTTGTGGCTGTCAGAGTGAGACTGGGGATTGAGTGCTGACTCTGCCATCTTTCAGAGTTCTGGATTTGGAGACTCTAATGTAATCTCTCAGGTTTTGCATCCTCGAAGTGAGGGGGCACAGTAATACAGTAATGTGGGTTGTTGTGACGGTTGTATGACATGCCTGTCAAACACTCAGCCTTTCAACAAATTGCTCAGCAAATGTTAGCTCCCTCCAACCAGTTATACAACAGGAGTGCTGCTGCTTTTGCCACTAGGCGCTGCAAATAACTGTGGGTTTCTGCCCTGGCAGCTACAGTGTTTCCTCCATGTTGTGATCAGAAGGGGTCTTATTACCTGCATAGGAGCTGAAGTCATCCCTTCATCTGCAGAAAGAAAATACACTCAATGAATTTTGGAATGGGAGGAGACTCCAGGGGGTGGGGCTGGAGTGTTTGCAGCCAGACAGTTAGAGTAGTCTACAGAAGTCTGCAATGTATTCCTAAGCATCACTGGACAGCCTGAAAGAAGCCCCAGGAGAGCGTGCTCAGGCTGCAGGGCCAGTGAAGGAAGATGCTTTTAGTGCATCGTTGGGCAGCCATCACACCCCCTCTCTTCTTTCTTCCCACATGTAATACCCATTTGTGTACCTACTTGGTAAAAGGCAAAAAGGGAGGCAGACACACCAGAAACAAGCCTGTCTTCTCAAGGCTCACAGGCTAGGCAGGGGACATACAAGACAGCACGAGAGACCCACAGAACAGACAGGAGAGTGTCCTTTCTAACAGGTCATGTAAGATGGTGATAGCATGGGGACTGGTGCTCAAGGGAAGTTTTTCAGGATGCTCAGATGCTGCACACTTACGTTTCTGCAGAAGCAAGACAGGTTTTCAAAAGCTGTTTTCCTCCAAACTGACCGGCTTCAGTCACAGAGCAGAGGCACACTTTCTAGCCTTGGCATCCAGCCAGAATAACAAAAAAGATGCCCTCCATGGAAACCCATGCAGGAGGCAGAGCTGTCTACAGAGGGCACTGTGTGGCTCACGGGTTTATATGTCCCCTGATATTCACATTCTCATAAGCTTTTATGGCTGTCTGGGACGTCACTGAGTCTCATTAGAAGAAGGGGCTCTCCATTTTGGCACCAGTGGCATTATTTGTGCTGTGTCTTATTCTATTAGAAATTGGAGTTTGTTGGGATCCATTGTTCCTGGGGTGAAATGGATCATGTTGGGAGGGCTAGAGGAAGCTTTATATATACCCATAGAACTGAGTTTTGAGAGTCAGTGTATGGGTGACCTTTACTCTCCTGTTTAAACCCAGCTAGGGAAAGACAAAATTCCTCCATTTTTTCCCTACAGAAATGTTAGGGTTCATCCTTACACCCACACTTTCTTATTCTTTGTCTTGTATGTGCTGTCATTCTCAAACAACTCAAGTTTCTTTCTTTCTTTAAAAATTATTTATTCATGTTTTATGTGCAATGGTGCTTTGCATGCTTATGAAGATGTCAGATCTGCTGGGACTAGAGATACAGACAGTTGTGAGCTGCCATGTGGGTGCTTGAACCAGGGTCCTCTGAAAGCAGCCAGTGCTCTTAAACACTGAGCCATCTCTCCAGTCCCAAGTCTTGTTTCTTTAACTTCAACACTGATCTGTCTCCACAGCCTCATAAGAGGTCTGCTGACATCAGATCTTGTCAACAGTTGATATGTTTCCTCTGTGCTCATCCCACTGGGCTGGATAATCTCTTTAATGCAAATCTGATCATCCCTCCTCTTTCAGAAAACTTCTCCATACTTCCCCGTTGCTCTTGAGGCGAGGACTGAAGTATTTAGCTGTCCTTCTGTGCCCTAGCTGGCCCATTTGTTGTTCCCAGTTAGTTTTTCACTTTCCATATCAGGCACTGATTGAGGAGTATGGAGATCAATCAGTCATTCCCTTCATTGAACCCACTGCCTAATTGGAAAAACAAGTAAACAAACACAGAGGGGGGGGATTTCAATATATGTAGGTTTATAGCAGAGGTATTCCAAATGGGTTTGGAAGCATAGAGGAAGAATATTTTTTAAATGAAAGCCCATCAAGAGTAAAAATGATGGAGAAATAATAACTTACTTTGCTTCCTGTAATACAAATTTGATCCCAGAACTTGGGAGGCAGAGAGAGTTCCAGAACACCCAGGGCTGTTACATAGAAAAACCTTGTTTCAAAACAAAACAAAACCTAATGATGACTTACTTTGCTTTGGAGATTCTTGTCTGGCTTTAAATGTGCTAATGTTTTTCCTGTAAGAAAGAAATGTAGACAGGTTGTTTCAGTATCCAGAAGGCCTTAAACTTTATATTATGAAACTTCAATTTCAATCACTATTAGCTATTATTCTTTTTATAATGCTTTTTTCAGCAGATAGGAATGAAAGAATATGAAAGAGGGAAAATATAAGATGATGTCAAGTAGAAATGCATTATTTTCTCCCTTCATCTCGTCTCCTGCCTGTGTTTGGCAATCTGATACATGCATATGTGGTGTTAAGAGGTGACATTTTCAGAGAATATTTCTGACACAAACCTCCGTTTTGTTTTATATCATGCAAATGGAGGAACGGGCATTTTTCAATCCTGAGCCTAACCTGTGAGCTCCCAAGCAAAATCAACCAAACACTTCCCATTAAAATGCGTTCCATAGATGACCTCTGGAAATACGATGGAAGCCCACTGTTATCTAGTGGGCAAAGGCACAATTTGTTGTAAGGATGGCCACACTTCTGGTGTGCCAATGTCACTATCAATCACTTAGTGGGGGTTAGTTAGCTATTTTTGCAACCCTTTCACTCTCTGGGGTGTCTCAGTTTGGACAAGAAATCATCACCTGGAGTCCATATTCTCCATGCAGACGAATGTGATGACTCTAGGTATTAATGGGCAGTTTCATTCTTACATCTGAGGCTTACCCACGTGAGAAGAAGCTCCCACCCATGAGACAATTGTTCTTTATTCTCACCACACTCTGGGGGCTGTTTCCTTGACTGATTTTTCGGTGACCACATCTGGGCTCGGTACCTGACTTGGGCGTAGCTACGAAGAGGAAGGAGCTCACAGTCTCCTTCTGAGTCCCACAGTGGAAACACAGTTAGGGAATTGATTCCCTGGAGCAAAATTTACTTACCAAGGAAAGCAGGTACACCCTTCAACAATGTGACAACCACTCCAGCACCTGAAATAGCTGAGGGGGTGACAGGAAGTCAGTGAATCTGGTTTCTGCAACTTTGTTAACGGTGACTTTCTTTCACCTTGCTGTTTCTGCCCTTATTTCTTAGGTGAACTGGACACAGGGCTATGGCACCATCAGTTTCTAACCAGGGGAAAATCTTTCTGATTCTCATCAAGGGAAACAAGAAGTTTTGAAACCCACAATTTCAGTGATTTACTTGACTCCTTGTGATGGAGTTATCTCCAGAAAATCAAGGTTTGAGTGCGCAGACATTTGAGAAATCATTTTGTTTGGCTCAAGTGGTATCTCCACAGGATATCACTGAGCTCTGACTCTCTAACTCCTCCTCTAACACACACTCCACTCTAGTAGAGTAATCACACGTCTATCTGCTTCCCTAGAATGTGAACTTCACAAGGCTGGGAACTATATTCATCCTGCCGGTCACGGTTTATGAGACCTGTGTATGCCACCCTACCTGATATTCAGCAAATTTGCTTTCCATAAATATTTGATGAAGTTATAATGAGTAGCTGTGAGCACAGGCACCAAAACAGGAGGTCATCAGATCTATCACCCAAATTCCGATGGGATAGCTAAGTATAAAGGCGTATGCTTTTTATGGCAGAAGGTGGGGCGCTTACTCTGAAGTCAGGCATGTAGGGTGAAGTCTAACACCCTACAGGATTTACCATAAGAGACCCCCCTTTAAAGTACATCATGTGCCAGTCACACTATATAAAGACATTTGGAAAATGCCACAAAAAATGTACCCCAGTGAACCTTCCAGAGTAATTCCCTCAGAAGGAGCAGAACAGGAAAGCCTGGCTGTAACCCAGCTATGGCTGTGACTACCAGTTGGGGTGAACGTCTTGATGGCTTCCAGGTTCTATGTGTTATCAGAGACTTTGGGGGCATGCCCACAGCTCTCTTTAGTGTCCTTTGTGCCCTGTAAACCATTTGCTTTCATCTTCTGCTTCTGCTGTTAAAGGCATCATATGGAAACTCATGAATCTGCCTAGTGCTAAGAAGGCAGGCTCACTAGAGGAACATGGAAGTGAGATGAAAGGGGATGGGAGGGTTGTGAGTTACTGGATCCATACTCATATTTCTAAAATATTTGAGCCACAATTTAGTTTGTAAAATGAGGATGGATGTAGTACTTGTTTCATGAAGTTGCTAAGGCTCAGACAAAGGTGATGACGGGCAAGCATGAATTGTAAGTGTTCCCTCTTTCCCACACTTCCTTGCAATGCATTCTTGCATTTTAATATGTGTGTTTTGGATTAAGGTGAGTTCAGGTAAGGAAAATAACATCTAAAAAACGTGCCTCCCAGCAAGCTATCCCTAGAGGTCCCTCAGAAATAGGTAGCACAGGGAAAGCTGTATTGTGACCATGACATCATATGGATGCAGCGGTCTCAGGTGCCTGTCTTTTCACAAGGCCTCTGTCCTCAAGCCTATAATTTCTCTCTCTTTTGTCATCATTCCCCTATCCTTTTGTTTCCTTTCCATCATGTGATGTACGCGCTTTAATAGATGGTCAAGACATCCTTCGAGATACATGATTCTCAACTTGCACTGAAGACATGCAGCCTGAAGGTAGGAAGGATCTTAGAGTCTTTGCTCTGAACATGGTCTTGGCTTGGTGGTTAGTTTTTAGGTCCTCTCTCAAAAGTGCTTCCTGGAACACTCAAAATGGCTGCTAACACTGTGGGTTATAGAACAACAGACTTCGTTATAATTTGGAATTCTTAGAACTGAGGTACTTGTACATTGCAAGATTCCTTCCTTAGGAGTTCCTTAAGACTAGGTTCTCAAAAGGCCACCCAGGAAGGATGCATGAAGCTGTATTAGATTCATGACACCAGCATAAACACAAGCACCTCTTCACAGGCCTTTCAACCTCCTAACATGGGAGAATGTAGTTCACTCAGAAACAGAAACTCAAAGATTAATGTGACAAAGCCAAGGGAGAGATTTGAGTACAAAGGTACTCTATTCTGAAAACAAAATAGACAACAGGATTTCAGATCTTTATTTCAAGCTGTACCAGGGATTTAAGCATCTGATTTCCTGTTGCCAAGGATACAGGAGGCTCTTAGAATAGCAGGATGCCTCCTGTCCAATGTAGGGAAGGCTTGTTTTCTTTCCTGCTGTTTTCACATGTACTGCTATTATGGCTGGTACTGGGCTTCCGCTGTGGGGAATGTGTAGCCCCAGCCCTGACAGACTGGGGAGTAGGGTAGCTTATACTCTTACCTGAGTGTCCTCTGCTTGACATTTTGGAGTCCCAGATTCCAATGTGTCTCCCGAGTGTTCAGCTGCCACCTAAAACTTAAATATCAGAAATGGACCATGTGTTTCCTTCCATAATTCCCACTATAGTTTTATGGTTTTTTTTTTTACAAGTTTTTCATTTCTTCTGTTTATGGGCAGTCCTGGAACCATTCTAGCATTTCACCCTCATTGCCCTGTCATCTATTAATGTTCTGTCCTGAAGCACAGGGCGTAGCCTGCTTCAGCTCTGACACCTCTTATCACTAGAGGAACAGTCCACACCCACAATCCCAAAGTAACGCCTGAAAAATCCTCATCCAAGCATGAAAATGCCACTGCCCAGGGAGAGGCCTGAGACTCTCTGTTCATTGTCTATTTGTTGCAGTTCCAGGGGCTGCACCCAAGCAATAGGGATCTGCAAGACACCATCTTCTATAGAAACCCCAAGAACAAGGGGTAGATAGAAGGGGAGGAAAAATTAAATAAGAATTAAGTCCATTCACTGTTTGGATTACATTTCTATTTAATCATTCTTTTTTCATTTTCTGGAAGTTTAGAGTATGAAGATATAAAATTGAAGTACTTCTTAGTTATACCAGTATTTTTATATGTTGTATTTCATTCAGTTTCAGACAAGTCCATCGGTTGATGTTATTGTTCTGTTATTTGTTACCAAGGGAACTGGGGATAAAATTCAGGCAACTTGTTTGAGGATCCACAATCAGGAAGGGGGAAAACCTGGGTTTTCTTTTGGAAAATGCTTTCCCCTAAGACCTTGGGTTCTTCTTGAGGGGGAAAGGTGGTTTTCCATCCTATGGTCTGCAGAGACATAGTAAGGAGTATGCCCATAAGGGTAACTGAGGACAGATGGACAAGAGATGACAGCAGATATAAGACAACAACTTAAATTAACACAGGAATGAGGACACTGGGCAATTATTTTGGGATACAATAATAACTGAACCATGGATTGAATGTATAGGAATTTATGTAAATTCATTAAAAACGCATGAAAAATGAGACTGTGAGTTGGTAAGGAAAGACTGCTAAGTCTGAACACAGTGAAAGACATGTAAATGATTTTCAGAGTGAATTCAACCATCTTGAAAATGTAATGAGCACAGAATCATAAACATCTAGCCACCGGCTAGAAAATTATTATTTTTGCATATTTATGAGAAAAGCCCATTTAAAAATACCAATGGCTTTTCACTTTAGAAACAAAATAGAGTAAACCCCAAACAAAAATTGAAGGAAGGCATTACTGGCTCTTCACAGGTAAAGAAACACAAATGACTGATGGATATCGGAATTAAAACAAAGACTACAGATGTAATGCTGTAACTGTAGATGTGGATTCCAGCCTATCTCTTCTTCTACCCGTGTTTTTCTGTTTTCATCTCTCTTGTAATAAATATGCATCACTGCTACACTTAACCCCACAGCAAAGTTCTGAGACACGAAAGTGCATGTTGTATGCCATCCATCACTATTTCCTCATCTATACTACATCCGCATTTTGTTTTTTCTCTCCTCAGGAATGCTTCCAGTCAGCTACCTAGCACATTCTGAGTACCTGCCGTGTGCCAGAAACAAAGACAGGAACCAGGACTTCACAAAGCAAAGAGCGGATAATAAGAAGCAATCCTTACTTTAGGGGTGTTCACAGAGAGTGAACGGCAGTTAGTACAGAAGGCTGTTAGACGGCGGGTGGAGGAGGGGTTGAGAGAGTCCAGGGCAAACACTCAGGTAATGCTGGCACTTAGGAAAGGACCTGGATATACCCATCTCCTTTGGGTAAGTGGCATTTTGCAGAACCTCATTTTTTTTTAATGTTCTCCTTTATCTGAGACCAATGCAGCAAACACAACCCTGGAAGGTCTCTGCTACCTTACTCTCTATAGATCTTCTCACTTCATACCATAGAAATTCCTTTATTTTGGGTGATTTTCTTAATATGTGTTTGCTTTAACTGAATGGAAATGATGGTCTGAAAACCAAGAATAGCCTCGATCACTGAACCCTTCTCTGTCAGGGACTATGTTGCTGCCATCCACGCTAGGAACTCCTGGATAGGACTATTCTATTATTTCCATTTAAGATGAGGAGACCAGCTGGGCCATGATAGTGCACGCCTTTATTCCCAGCAGTTTGAGGTCAGCTTGGTCTACAGAGCAAGTTCCAGGACAGTCTTAAAAAATAAACCCAAACAAACAAAAACAAACAACAACAAACCCACCACTAACAACAAAATAAAATAAGGAGTCCAAAGTCCATGAACACGAAGGCAAGCCGTCTAACTAATAGCATGACCCCCTTTAACCTGCTTGCAAATACACCAACTGAAGCCTCATGGTGGCAGGAAATGTCTATTTTAAATTTGTGAAGAATCCCTGAAAGGCTGGATGCTCATGAACATATTCAGAAGATCAGGAACCTAGGAGAGCCTCCCTGTCCCAGCCCCAGGACCCTGGCAGATCCCTTCTTTAATGGGGACTCTCTCCATACTTGAGCTACTTTCCTGCTGGGATTCAGGGCAGAAGGCAAACCTGCAAGGATGTCACCCAGTGTCTGGCTCAGGAGGCACTGAATTCTTGTCACACACTCCTGCCCGGTCCCTTCACCCTAAGGGTAGCCCTCCTCTTCTCTTTCACCACTGGGCCAGGTCCCGGCTCTCCTGAGAAGGCGAACTCACCCGATTTCTCTCTGCAGACAGTTCCCCATCAGGCTTCTCAGCACCTTCCCTTGGTGTGTTCACTTCCTTCTCAGCTTGTACCTTACTCTCTTGGGGCAGCTTCCAACTCACAGTAGGGGCAGAGCAGCTCTGGCCAGCCAGTCAAAAGGAGGAGGTGCAGCTGGAGGAGGAAGAAGGCTGGGGAGGGGAGCGAGATAGGCGCATGCATAAAGAATATCCTGAAAGGTCAAAACCCCAGGCACCAGGCTATTAACCAAAGCAGAAACTGCTGGTCAGGAAGAATTTAGCTTCCAGGGAGCCCCAGGCTTGTTGTTGCAGAGGGGCTGTGGGAATTTTTCATGGCAGACACTTACATTTATTAAATCACTGTTTCAGGAAAAAACAAATGTGGCAGGAGCTTTGTGTAGAGACAAGCAAGCAAACAAACAAACAAACAACAAACCAAAACAAAAACCTATAAAACAACAAATCCAGAATAAAGCCACAGTCTAGCTGGACATATATAGACTGCTGGCTGGGGGAGCAATAGAGGGGAATAGTAGGATACAAGAGATTTGATGTGAGAAATGGGAACAATGGGAGCACTCGTTTGTGTGTATGTGATGTGTGTGTGTGTGTGTGTGTGTGTGTGTGTGGTGTGTATGTGGTAAATCCAGAAGAAGGAGGAGGGTAAAATAAACTAAGGATGTCTGAAAAAGTCATAGCTCCCTACTTAAAAATATCTATAATGTATGCAAGTCTGTATATATACATACATATACATATATATATATGTACACACATATGTATATATATCTAAATTTTTTTCCATCTGTACTGACAATGCTCATTCTAAGAGCCAAAGATCATCTAACAAAAGCTGCAACACCACACTGGCGAAGCCCTCTATGAGTGCTGGTCAGGACTGTCACAGAGATTCCCCAAACACACAGCCTACTGCTGTTGCTCTTGGTTGCCCCCTAAAGGCGGAAGGTGAGTCCTCGTTGCTGAAAATACCGGGCACTTTGGAGGGTCCACAAAACCGTGATTTGTAACCTGAATGCCTCCTCCTGAGGACTAACTTTTATGGTACAGAAGGCAGCATGAAAGATCCCAAAGGAGGGAGACAACTAACAGTGCTACCTAGATAGTAATCCTCATGAATTATGATGATGAACAGCATAGCACAATAATTTAAAGAGTGCAATAGTGACACATACACCTTGGTGGTAACCAACAGCTCCCTAATTGGACTTCAGATTCACTCAACAAGAGGGAAACCATGCCTGGTATTGGAAACCTAGCCCACTCCCCAGAGCTAGTGAAGCCATGGATATTGTAAAGAACCTATAATTGTTACTTTACTAAATGAGCAAATCTCTAGCTATATGCTAAATAATTTTCCTTATACCCTCAGGTATAATTGCTGAAAACAACATGGACAGATTGCAAAAGCTGGAGGATCTGGGAGCCTGCTGTGAGATTGTGTCTCTTGGGATTGTCAGGAGTTGCACCCATAACATCTCACCAGCGTGACTGTCTAAACATGAACCAAACAAGTACAACAACAGACATGCTTGCATGGAGAGGGGAACGCTCTTGGAGGTCTTAACCCTACACAAAGAACCACACACAACTAAGGATGCTGAGGGTGGGAGAAAGTCTTCCTCAGAGAAAAGCACATCAATTTCTTATCCAATACCAAATGGCCAGCCCTGAAACAGTACATACAGTAACATACAGACCGAGCAGGTTGCACTTGTGCATTTTGGAATGTGTATTTATATATTACATACATATAATTGTTGTTACAAACAATAAAAAAGAGGCAATAAATTTGGAAGAGAGCAAGGAAGGGAATACAGGAGGTTGGAAGGAGGAAATAATATATTATAATCTCAAAAGGTATTTACAAATTTACACACACACACACACACACACACACACCAGTAACAAAATATTTGAACAGATTCATTTCCTAAGATGCTATATGGATGCAAACGAATGTCTGAAAAGGTTAGGAACATGCTATCCATTCGGGAAATGGAAATCTAAACCACAGCACAGTACCTTTTCCACACTTATTAGAGTTCATAATATTGAAAACAAAAACAGAAGCTGATAATACCAATTACGGACAATGGATGTGGAAGAACTGAAGGGTTCACAGGTGGTATAAAATAATAGTCTTGTGCAAACCAATAAGGCATATTTGTATGCAGATAAAACAGGCTTCCCAAATAAATCAGTAAGCCCAAGGTTAAGCATTTTTTCCAGGTTGAAACTATAACCTACAAGAACCTGGATTCTGAATATAAAATTTTATATTAATCCCCACACCACACCTCAAAAAATCAAAAATAAAATATAGCCTTCGAAGGCAGTGAACAGAAAAATGTTATGCCCACACAGTGGAATATTGCCTGTCAATGATAAGAATGGGATCCTGAAGTATATAACAATTAGGATAATTCCAAGCACATTACCCCACTGAAAGAAACCAGACCTGCAATGGATTTGTGACTTTCAGGACAAGGCAAGACAGTAGGAGCCGAAATCAGAGGTGCTTACCAGGAGCACCCCACTCCAGTGTACATATGGGTGGCACTTAATCATGTTAGGAGGGGATTTTGCTCTTTATCTTGACGGTAGTGGTTGTGTGGCTATGCCTTCCTCACTATTTACAGAATGGTACTAAGGGCGGATTAACTGTATAGAAATATATTGCAATTGGGACTGACCCAGACCCCTGAATGTGGGTGTCAGTGAGGAGGCCTAGGTAATCTATGGGGCCTTGGGTAGTATTTATCCCTGGCGTACAAATAGACTTTGAGTGCTCATGCCATAATATGGAGGCTCTCTCAGCTGGGACTCTTGGGGGAGGGCCTAGGCCCTGCCCTGGATGAAATGACAGTTACTGGAGATCCACCATGGAGTGCCCCACCCTCCTTGGGGATCAGACTGGAGATTGGGTGGGGGACTGGGGGACCTGGTGGGGAGGGGGGGAGCTAGGATTGCCATGTGAAACAAGATTGTTTATAATCTAAAAAAAAGAAATATATTGCAATAGAGAATTATAATGAATTCTGGGGCTGCAGCCATATTTTCCCCTTTGTTTTATTTTCATTAATCTTGTGTATGATGCCTATTTTGTTTAGTTATTCATTCATTCATCCCTTTAGCAAGCATATGTTGAAAACCGACTTTGTGCTCAGCACTTTGGGCTCAACAGTGAGCAAAGCAGAGGGAAAAATGCTTCTTTGTTTGGCCTTGAGTAACATGAAGGTCATATCTAAGACAAACTGCAGGATGGGGACTGTCTTAGTCACTGTTCACACCATGAACAAAGCAACTTTTTAAAAATTTATTTTTTTAATTTTATTTCACATTCCAACCAAAGTTCTCCCTCCTGCTCCTCCTCCCACCCTCCTCTCCCCCCCCCCCATCCACTCTTCCCAAAGGGTAAGAGGTCCCAGGGGAGTCAACAAAGCCTGGCACATTAAGTTGGGTCAGGACCTAGCCCCTCCCTCCTGCATTAATGCTGAGCAAGGCATCCCACCTTATCGAATGGGCTCCGACAAGCTAGCCCATGAATCAGGAATAAATAGATCCTGGTTCCACTGACAGCGACGCCTCAGATAGTCCAAGCTTCACAACTGTCTCCCACACACTGAGGGCCTAGTTTGGTCCCCTGGAAGCTCCACTGCTGTCAGTCTGGAGTTCATAAGATCCCACAAGCTTGGTTCAGCTGTCTCTGTAGATTTCCCCTTCATGATCTTGACCTCCGTTGCTCATGTATCCCCCCCTCCCTCTCTTTGACTGGATTCCTGGAGCCTGGCCTGGTGCTTGGGTGTGGATCCCTATATCTGGTTCCATTGACTACTGGATGAAGGCTCTATGATGACAGGCATCCTCTCCACTATTGCTAGGAGTCTTAGATGGCTCATCCTTGTATATTCCTGGAAATTTCCCTGGCACTAGGTTTCTCCATGACCCCGTAGTGTCTCTCTCAAGATATGTCTTTCATTGCTCTCCCTCTCTGTGCCTTCCCCTACTAGACCATCCCCTTCCCTCATGTTCTCCCCTTCACTGCCCCCTTTCCTCCCCAGTTTACCCAAAGGATCTCATCTAATTCCCAGGGTGACCCATGCATCCCTCTCCCTGCTCCCTAGCTTCTCTGGAGCTGTGGATTGTAGTCTGGTTATCCCTGGCTTTACATCTAACATCCACTTATGAGTGAGTGCATACCATGTTTGTCTTTCTGAGTCTGGGGTACCTCACTCAGGATGAGTTTTTTCTAGTTCCATCCATTTGCCTGCAAATTTCATGATGCCATTTTTTTTTTTTACAGCTGAGTGATACACCACTGTGTAGATGTACCACATTTTCTTTACCCATTCTTTGGTTGAGGGGCATCTAGGTTGTTTCCAAGTTCTGGCTATTAAGCAACTTTACAGAAGAAAGCATTTAATTGTGGGCTTGCTTACACTTTCAGAGGATTCACCATGCTGGGAAGCAAAGGTGCCTGAACAGTAGCTAAGAATTTTACATCCTGATCTGTAGGCAGCAGATAGAGAGAACAAGGACTTTGCCTCTCATGGGATTTTGAAAGCTCACCCCCTGACCCCGACTCACCAGCAAGAAGGCCACACTTACTCCAACAAGGCCACAAGCCCTAATCCTTCCCAAATGTTGACATTTGTTGTTTATGGCTGGAGTTGCATGAACTAGAGACAGGAATTGCAAATCAGTTTTGGGAGTTCCAGTTTTCAAGCGTCAGTTTTACTTTGGCCACTAGATGGAGACATCGAGCTGTGCAAGTGTAGGAAACTGAGCAAGAAAATGTTGATTTTGCAAGAGGTGGGGCGGGGCATTTACTATGTACACTGGTTAGTGCTAAATAAACTGCTCCCGCTTTGAAGAAGAAGAAGGTATTGCAATTCCAAAATGAAATCTCGGAGTCATTCTTTCCTCATCCTCATTAACATTTACGTCAGTACTTAAAGACCTCTGAGGAATTGTGTGCACTGAACTGTAAACAAAAACCTGGATATTTATACAGAAGTGAGGGTGAAATTAGAAGATTTAGGAGATGATATCTCTGCACTTAGCTACTTATTGTATGCTGTTGTGAGGGTGTGAGCTAACAACCAATTTCAATACTATTTCACTATACCTTTATGTTATAAGGTAACAAGATCTGAATAATCACTGGTTATCGGCTTTCTGAGAGTCACAAACTGGCAGTTTTTCATGTGAGAATTCTGTGGTTATCTTACCATTTCCTTCATTTTGTAGGTGAGGAGAGATGAAAGAGCACCTTGTGCCCCCACACATCCTTTCCAAGTTGTCGTAGAGCTCTGGGTGTGACAGAGATCTAGACTCTGGTGACAGGATCATTTCTTACATCAACGTCTTGTGTGTGTGTGTGTGTGTGTGTGTGTGTGTGTGTGTGCGTGGGGTCTTTGCAGTCCACTCCACGCTCCCAGCCTGACACTGACAGTCACTGAAACTGTGGCTGTCTACTTCTCTTCAGTAGCCTAGATTTCTGAACAGAACCCAGACAATCCAAGCAACACAGCAAATGACGTGGGATTAAAGGAGTTCACAGCCGTATGGTACATTACACAATGAAGCTGTGAAACAGTAATTTATCTCAGTTCTCCAAGTTCCATTATTTCCTCTGTAAAATGAGGCTAACCCCCCTTCTAAGACACACACGCTATCCTCATGAGAGCACTTCTCTGCCTTTCTGACGATCGTCTCAGATTGAGGGGGAACTCTCCCTTCCTTGTCTTGGCACTCCAAATGCCTCCTCGTCCTCCATTCTACTGAGGCTGCCTATCTAGTTGACGAGGTTGGAAGCAGAGCTTGGGTAGTTCTCCCCATACATTTTAGGCATGGATTAATAGTAATCCTGTATGCTCTCCTCTATTCCCAGCCATGCACCAAGCTAAATGCCAAATGCCTCTTATGGTCCATTTCCGGGTCTATCAAAAAGAAGGCAACCACATTCTCTTGTCAGTTCCATCAGTAATAATGGTGAGTGTGTATCTTGTGTTATGTTTTTGATCTTTTGTCTGTTTTTGGCGGGAGTGAGGGGGACACCACCCAGCTCCCAAGTAATCACAGGCAGAGGCTTATTTTAGTTATGAATGCCTGGCCTTAGCTTGGTTTGTTGCTAGCCAGCTTTTTTTTTAACCTTTAATTATTCCATCTACCTTTTCCCTCTGGGCTTTTTCTTTTTTACTTCTGTAAATCTTACTCTTACACTGCAGATTACCACGTAACTGGATGGCTGGTGGCTGATCCTTCCTCTCCTTGTTTTCTTGATCTCCTTGCTCCTGAGTTCTCCTTCTATTTATACTCTGTGTCTGCTCCTGCCTCACTGTTGACCATTGAGTTCTTCATTAGGACCTCCAGTGTTTTAGATATGCACACTAACACAGCTTCACAGAGTTAAACAAAAGCAGCATAAACAGAAGTCACACACCTGAAAATAATATTCTACCACATGTGTATGAGTGTGTGTGTGTGTGTGTTTGCATATCTCTGTGTGTGCTGTATATGCATGCAAATATGTGTTTTACTCTCTAGCTTAGCTCTTTTACTCTCTTCTCAGCTAAGGAAGCAGGGGCAGGCCACTCTAACAGGGCCTCTGAAACAATACTGCAGCAGCTGCTTAGTCACCAGCACTGGAAAAAGGCTGGCTGGAGTTCCTAAGAGGATCAGACTCCATTTCTTGTGCCCAGAGACAGTCTGTGACAGGGACATCCTCTGTCCCCATTGTGAGTTGTTGGCATGACATTCAGAATTCCCAACACATGATCCTGAAGACTGGCATTTAAGTCTTTATTAATTCTTCAGGTATTCATTTAGGGTTGTCAATACTAGTGGAATGCATAGGCTAACAGCTTATTTTTAAGTTTCCATTCTGTCTCCTAGAAACTGTGATGTTTTTCTGCAAATTACTCAAAAGTGCTGTTTTACTTTGGTCTCTCATAAATGGTGAATAAATACAACTACCTTATATGGATATTATAATGATGAAGTTCCTGACTGATATGGTGAAACATATCATACACCCAAATTGTTTTTTTAAATTCATTCTTCTCTCATCCTGACGGGATTTCCCCACCCTCCTCTCTTCCCAGTTCCCCTTCCCAACCTTTTCCTCTTCCAGATTCACTTCTTCCCCGTTTCCCTTCAGAAGAGAGCAGGCCTTCCAGGAATGTCAACCAAACGTGGCATAACACGTTACGATAAAACTAGCCACAGACTCTCATATAAGGCTGGGCAAGGCAACCCAGTAGGAGGGAAAAAGTCCACAAAAGCAGGCAAAAGAGTCAGAGACAGTCCCTGTTCCCACTGTTAGGAGATCTACAAGAACACCAAGCTACACAACCATAGTTTTAAATGTCCCTCTGACAAAATCTAGAATCACCTGATAAAAGGATCTCCACGGAGGGGCTGCCTAGATGGAACCGGGTGGTGAACATATCTGTTAGGGACACTCTTGGTTGATAATTGAGTTGGAAAGTTCTGGCCTGAATCTGTATGGCCCCATTTCATGGGATGGACCCTCAACTAAGAGTGAACAAAGCTAGTTGAGCATGAAGTAACAAACAAGGATGAGTGGCCTCCCTCTCTGATCTTTGCTGTGGATGTCCTGTGACCACCTGCATGAAAAGTACAGTGATAAACTGGGAGTCGGTGAAGTGGCATTTTGATGGTAAGTGATCAAATAGAGAGAGGAAACCAGGAAGTTAGACAGTTTTGGAGTCTTATTTTAAAGTTATCCACCTTACACCCTAGTCTGAATTGAGAAACACCAGCATTTGGAATTGGTTGGCTAGTGGGTGGTTCTTTAATTCACACCATCACACAGAGGGCACATGAACTTTGGCTTGTCTCTATCTGTGGAAATACAGGTTTTCATGGTCATGTTGAGAAGCTTAGGCAGTTTGCTGACCCTTCTTTACCGGTTGTTTCTGGGATGTTAATACTGTCTTCGAGGATTCATCATTTTCGTCGGTCTAAAAATTGATATGGGAACAGAAGTCAAATTTAAAATAATTTAATAAGGTATAATTGTTAGTTGTGTCAACTTGACACAACCTAGAATAATCTGAGAAGAGTCTCAACGTGGGTTTGTCTACATGGGGTGTCTGTTGGGCATGTCTATGGGGCACTGCCTCAATTACGTGACTTGGTAAGAAGGCCTCAGCACAGTCTGGCTGGTTCCATTCCTTTGGCAGAGGGTCCTAAGCTATTCAGGAGTGGAGAAATAGAACTGAGCCCTGGCAAGTGAGTGCAAATGCATTTATTTCTTCCTGCTCTGAAGTGTGGGTATGATGTGAAGTTCCTGCCTTCACTTTCCCTCAAAGTTGGATTATAATATACAAGTATAAAATGAAATAAGCCCCTTTCTTCACCAAGTTGCTTTTTGGCAGGGTAATCTATCACAAAAAATAAAGAAAACTAGAGCACAAGGGTTTGCTGGATATAGGAGGGTTGGTGTGAGATCTGTTGTAGAGGAGACAGGACTGGGACTCTTGCAATGGTCACTGCATGCTCCATCTTATAGGACCAGACCAGGGGTATTTCGATGTTGTGACACAGCTTTGAGCGTTCATTGCAGCTTGTCAAGGAAAACCATATTCTGGGAATGCTAGTGGTGGAACAAGGAAGTAGGCACCAAACAAAGCCAGCCTGTAGTCAAGGCCATCCTTGCTGATGTTTGCATGCTAATATGATTCAAGACAAGCCTTCTGCCATCTCTTGAATTTGTTACCCATTTGTGTAATATTTATGTGAAAGTATGTTAACAATGCCTATTATATGCTAGGCAAAGAGAAACTTTTCATATCCAAATCTATAAAATGACTAACAGGTGAAGTCCTCCAAGATAAGAGAAATGCATTGGTAGTTTGCATAAATGGCAGACTCTCTTTTTGTCTTAATAAAACATGAAAAACAGCTCTTAGTTTACCTTTTCCTTAATGCTCTTCTCATCTTCAGAGCTTTCTTCTAGTGTTTCAAGTGATTCTTCTATGAAGGAAGACAGAGTTACTTCATCACTGGAGCTAGTCACACTTCTAAGGAGCACAACTATCAAACTAGGCCACATTTAAATTAAAGACACCTGGTATCTGTGATCTGACACACCAGTAGGATGAGAGGTCACTTTTAAAAGGCATGTCTAACAGGCTTTAATTCTAAAGATATGTAACAAATGCACTGGACAATTGAAAAGCTGGGATAAAAATAGATTATTTTAATATCCCCTCTATGCTATATATTATTATTTAATAAAACATCTGTAGTAATATGTACTGGGAGTGCCCATGTAAGCAACAAGGACCCACATGAGAGCAAAACTCAGCCATACTTTCTGAGTTCTTAGTTAGCAGTGCAACCAAACAAACATGAAAGCAGAAACAAGGACACTGGTAAAAAATAGAACACCATATACTAGTCTCCGGAGCACAGGGTTTGCTGGATTTGGATTTGTGTGTCTTTGTGTGTGTGTGTGTGTGTGTGAGAGAGAGAGAGAGAGAGAGAGAGAGAGAGAGAGAGAGAGAGAGAGAGAGAGAGAAAGAGAGAGAGAGACAGAGACAGAGAGACAGAGAGATAGTGAGTGAGCAAGAGACAGAGAAGTTGAAAAGGTAAGGTGTAGTAAGCCCACAAATGGAGAGATGTTGGGTAGGTTTGAGGGCCCCAGACAGAAAGAACAGTTTTTGTTTTTTGGTAAAGTCATACATGTTAAAAATCTCACAATGGTGGCTAATATTCACTGTCAATGGACTCGATGTAGAATCACTTAAGAGACACTACTGAGTGTGTATTTAAAGGAGTTCTTGAGAGGTTTAACTGAGGGGGAACAGCCCTGAGTATGATAGCCACATCCCCTGGACTGGGCTCCCAGGCTGAATAAAAAGGGAAACAGGCAGACATCAAGCTGGACACTGCATTCATTCATCTCTCTCAGCTTCCTAACTATGAATGCACCACCATGGCCAGATACCTCACTCATGCTGCCCCCCTGCCATGATGAAACTGTACCCAAACTGTGAGCCAACAAACTCTTTTCCTCTAAGTTACTTATTGTTAAATATTTAGTCACAACAATGAGAAAAATAATGAAAACACTCACTAATGAAGTGGACCTAATGTTTATTTCCTTTAAATATTAGCAATACTGAACATTATTATGTTTTCTTCCTTTTTCTTCTCCTTCTAAAAGGTGACTCTCATTTTCTGTCTCACACCCCCACCCCTGAGATTACAGCCACGTGTCACCACGCCTGCTTAATATTTCATTCTCAATGCATATTTCTTCTGTGACTTGTCCTTCGACAGTTTTTCCTGGTTCATGTATTCTTTATTCCATTATCATAAATTTTGATTGATAATATTGTTGCCAACTGTCAGAATTCTACAATTGCTTCCTATGTTTCTGAATTTAGTGCAAAGTTTATCCTTTAGTTAGATGATGTATTCATGTAGTTATTAATTTATTTAAATCTATCCTAAACAAATATGGAAATTCTTGTCAATGAATTATTAGTGGCGTTTCTTGTAGCTAAATACCTTTGCTCCATAGCTCATATGACCTGTAAATGTCCTACCTCATTCAATTGATGAGAATTGGAGCTCCTCAACAATGCTATTCGCTACGGTATAATTTTTATCAGTGAAATCTGTTTAAAGAATAGACTTTCAGCTGGGCGTTGGTGGCACACGCCTTTAATCCCAGCACTTGGGGAGGCAGAGGATCTCTGGGAGTTCAAGGCCAGCCTGGTCTACAGAGCGAGTTCCAGGACAGCCTCCAAAACAATACAGAGAAACCCTGTCTCGAAAAACCAAAAGAAAAAAAAAAGAAAGAAAGAATAGACTTTCTACCAACACCATTCATGTATCTGCTATTGAGAATGTAAATCATATTTTTCCTCTAATCAATATACCTAGCATTTTCCTTTGGGGGAAGGGCTAACCATTCTGTCAATCATTTCTTCATATTATTTTTATAATTATTCAGGATTAAATTTATAGATAAAGCACAAATATTTCTAAGTATAACTCTGATGTTAGGATGGTTGCTTTTGATTTCCACCAAAAGGTGACTTGACTGGATAGAGAACACCTGGGGGACGGTTAATAAAGCACACACTCTTGGTGTGTCTATGGAAAACATTTCCAGTGATTATTACGTCTGTAGGGGTACAGGCTTTCAAATCCAAGAAATAGGCTACTTTCACCAGGAGTAGTTGGTTGGAGCAGCTATGGGCTTCTTTGAGCGTTGTGTCAGAGTCCAAGGTCAGAATATAACAAAGCAGAGCTTTTTACACAATTTTGGATTCTCACACATATGGTAACTTACATTTTGATTGGGTGCTTTAAATTACTGGGCAAGGAGAGCAAAGAAGTTGAAATATGGAGGGAGGAGAAAAGGGGGTTTCAGGAGAGATGTGAAGTTGCAGGTACTTGAGGATACTGACCACTGCCTGGGTGTGTGGGGTACCATGGCTCTTGGTGTGTGGAATATATTGTCCTGGAAGTTTTGGGTTTCTCTTTGCTTCCTAGCTGCCATAAAGTAAAAGAAATGTCTATTTTCCCTCAGGCTCTTGGATCCATGATGTTATAGGCTCTCACCCTTCTCCCCAGCCCAATACAAACCTGTGGCATCAGAGAAGCCTCTGAGACCATGAGCTGAAACGAAGTTTCAGGTTTTCACCATAGTGATGGAAGATTTAACATATCAAATATGGCAGATAAAAGAAGCTCTCAACACTCTAGGTAGAATGCATACACCTGTTCCCAAACACAGGCATCACTATTTTATGAAAAGTAAGTCAGTTCTTATAATTGTGCCCAAGACATCACCTTTAAAATCTGGTTTCAATGAAATTCTCCGAGGTGGTATATACTTTTTTACATTCCATCTGAATTTTCTTACAGCAACTGAAGTTTGAATAATCATTACTTTTGTGAACTTTTCTGTGCCTTGTATCTGAAAGTTGATTGAATATACGTTACTTTCTGAACACGTGTTATGCAGTTACCTGTTGCTCTGGCAAGCTGGAATTCTATAGGTCATCAGCTTGCTGACTGCTGGGATGACCAACACTAGGCATCAAGCCTTGTTCTGCATACACACTCTTCCTTGATGTATTCGAGCATATAATTTCAGACAGATTTAATGATAACAGCCCTAACAGATGAAGACCAAACCACACTAAACATGCTGCTGCTTATTCTAACAGACCACTTGAGACATATTTTCCTTACTAAACATCATAAATTGCCAAGTTTTGCCTTTTATGTGATTAATGATAGGTGGGTCACTATTCACAACATATCTTTAGGATGAAATACTCTGTCCAAAGCCATTCTTAAGGATGTTTGGTTACAGGTTAAACCTGGTAAGTGCTGTTGAAGATCATCATCCTACTATTAGTATTTCCTGTAAGCATCATTTAGTATCTTTTCCATTTTTGAGATATTAGGAGCTGGTAGGGCCAGTCAGCATTTTGACTGACAGTTGACAGACTCCACCTTATGTCCTGTAGTCTTGAGTTCAGAGCTTTCAGACCCACAGCTTCTGCTCTAGTAACTCCTGTGAGCACTCAGAGAAAATACCACCCCGGCTGCATAGATCACTGTAACTGCAGCTGCTGTCCAACCTTCAGCCCTTGCCTACTGAGGCCTCACTCTGAATCAACCACATCTATAGGCAACTTGTATCAGCTTTACAACATCCCATGCCAGGCTTTTGTCAACTGGAGACCATATTCGTCCTGTAGTTATTTTCACAGAGACAGGAGAGGGAGCCCTCCCCAGTGCCTCTGGACAAAGCTGTGATTGGTTGTAATAGAGGCATGATTGGTGCATGTGAAAGGGCTGTAATTGGTGGAAGCAGAAGCTAGGCACACACAGGACTGTGATTAGTATACTACAAGGGTACAATACCCCCCTTCTAGCTATATAAACAAGCTGTCTTTCAATCTGTTAAAGTCATTTCTCCTATATATTCTCCTTTAGCATTGGAGCCATGGGTATTAACAGTCCTTCCTACTCCTGTACTGATCTTATTGCAGATACAGCAGCAGAGATAGCTGAGAAAAAAAGTAGACAAAACCCTGGGAGCAGGGGCTGCATCTAAGAGGTCACTGAAGAGTTGCAGAGAATACCCACGATAGAAACCAAGCTCAGACGGTGATATGACTGACATTGAAATTCTGTAAAGAGCCAAAGGCAGAAATTGAAACTACAGAAGAAGGCAGGCTGTGGTTGCTAGGAGACTGGTTGCTAGGAGACCAAGGATTATGGAGCTAAGAGTACTGATTTGCAGATCTCACCACAGGAAGCTCCCAGCTTTGAATACTTGGTGCTATAAGCCCCTGATTCTTGTGCCACAGAGCAAGTCTCTGAGTCAGAACTGTCAGTCCTAAGGGATCTGCTACATGAAGATCCATGATTTCCACCTAGGTGGCAGAAATATCCACAGGCTATATTTTGACAAGAAGCAATTGACTCAGTAGGTGAAAGGAATAAGTTGTATCAAGATCATAGTGAATGGACAGAAAACAGGAATTAGGGAATCAAATGAGAAAAAAAATACAATCATAAATTTGCTAGCACCACAACGCTTGACTAATCATCAAACTAAGAGTATTTTTGTGTCTATAAGCTTTCCATTTGGAAGCAACTCATCCAAAATAAAATGTGCCTTCTCAAAATCAATGATAATAATGTCACACACATGGCCAGGATGCTTGTTAAGGAATTCCACATAACAATGTGCTCTCTCTAGGGTGACAAGTTCATCTGACCCAACCTTCAATAATAACCTGAAGATACAGGCTAGCAGATCTTTGTAGGTGGTTTTCAGTTTCTGGCAATCAAGGAAGCTTGTGACATAGTTTGAATGAGTTCTGGTGTAGTCATCTGCTGCCTCCTCCCCAACCCCAGCATCTGACAGTGGTTCCCACCCTTCCCTGATGACTAAAATTCAGTAAAAATGACTGGAAGCTTGCTTTTTATCCCTCTGTCCCAAATCTATCCTGGAAGTGCCTCCATCCCAGCAGTTAACTATGATTGTACATATGTACGTGTTCATTTTCATGTGGTTGACATCTTGTGGGTAGTTTCATTGTCTTGCTCACTTCATTATTCTAGTGCTGTTTCTATCATATCACAGCTGCTTAACAATGAATCTGAATGTATCTGTGGCTGATGGAATTGATTTCCGTGTTATTCTTCCTAATTCAGTTTCTGTAGTTTTATCTGTCCCCAATTCCTCATAGTGTGTGCCTCTTATACTCTCTGTCTACCACGTGTAAATGCACACCCACACACGTACAAAGCTTTTCTTTGATGTTACATATGTCTCAGGTTCTACTTTTGAATTCGTAACGGTTTAAACGGAAATTATTCGTTTTTATATTCATTTTATGAGCCAGAGGAAGACAACTGCCACTCTATTTAGTGGGGTTAGTCAGAACCTTCCAGAGTACTGTTAATAACAGCTCTTCTGAAATGCATGAATGAAACCAGTAGGTCTTCTTTTCCTATGAACCACTGCACTAGAATGTAACTGTGGTCAAAATTCTACACCTTGGAGTGTTTTATTTGGAATTGACAGTGGATGGAAGAAGCTATTGTCTAGGCCATGGAGTACAGAAGCAGTCATGGAACACGGTATATGTAAGTGCACATGGGCGTAGATGGGTATGACATTGTGAAATGGAAGGAGGCAAGGAGATAGGAAGGTGGTGAGCCTGACTGCTATGACAGTTTTTCTTACATTAATTAATTCTTGGGAGAAAGACCTACTTCTGTACCTGGTGGCATGTCACAGGAATTAGGAAAGGTGCTTTATAAATTTTTCGCAACTGGCAGTCTTCCGCAGATCCATGGATTAGGACAACATGGGTTACGGTCTCATCATAGATGTCAGTTTTTGTGTTCTCGGGTATGTCCCTGATGAAGACATTGCAGAGTTTCAACTGCATCTTGTAGTTCCAGTCCTTAAGAAGAAACACAGCTTCATGTCTGTTATTGTTCACAGTCAGTTTCTGCCACCACCCCTGTGTATGTTTGCTTGGGGATGGGGGTGGGTAGGAAGAATTCAGAAAGACCTTTTTACCTCAAAAGACAAGTGTTCCCGGATCTTTTGGGCAGTGATGGCAAGTCCAATTTTTTGCCATATTTTATGTTTCAAGTTAGGACATCTTTTTTCAAAGCCTTCATACAAGTGGCTAATGGGAATGAAATATGTCTGAAAAAAGGAAGACAGAAAGAAAACAATTTGTGTATACCTGTGGCTGAAGAAATATCTATCTCCATACAGCACATTCAAATTAAGAATTAAGATACATGTTGCAATTCAGAAATCTCATAAAATGCATTTATTAGCTCATACTTGTAATGTTGTGATAGCCACAATTTTAGAAAGCTTCATGAATCAATAAGAATGCTTTAGTTTGCTTTTTTAAACCATATGTCTTTCTCAGTGTAGTCTATGTTTACGAATCATGAAATTATATGAAGCTAAATACCAGTCACCATCTTACATTTATAATTTTATTTTAATTGGCAAATAATACCTATGTATGCTAATGAGACACAAATAAAGCTAATTAACATATCTCCACTTTATCATCTTACAATGGTTTTGTGTCAAGGGCATGATACATATATTCTTTTAATCATTTTGACATATACAACAGCACAGTTCCTTAAAATCACTAGGAATCAGAGAAACATCACCCTTTACAATTGCCACAAACAGCCTAAAATACCTTGGGGTAATGCTAACCAAACAAGTGAAAGACCTGTATCACAAGAACTTTGAGTCTTTAAAGAAAGAAATTAAAGAAGCCCTCAGAAAGTGGAAAGATCTCCCATGCTCTTGGATAGGTAGGATCAATGTAGTAAAAATGGCAACCCTGCCAAAAGCAATCTACAGATTCATGCAATCCCCATTAAAATACCAGTACAATTCCTCACAGACCTTGAAAGAACAACAATCAATTTTGTATGGAAAAAAAAAAAGACCCAGGATAGCAAAAACAACCTTACTCAACAAAGCAACATCTGGAGGCATCACCTGACCTCAAACTATTATAGAGCTGTTGTCCTGAAAACAGTTTGGTATTGGCACAAAAATATACAGGTAGACCAATGGAATCAAATTGAACACCGTAATATTAACCCATACATGTATGACCATCTGATCTTCGACAAATAAGCTAAAAATACACAATGGAATAAAGAAAGCATCTTTAACGGTGCTAACATAACTGGAGGCTGGCATGTAGAAGAATGAGGATCGATCCATGTCTATCGCCATGCACAAAACTTAAGTCCAAATGGATCAAAGACCTCAACATAAATCCAGCCACACTGAACCTCTTAGAAGAGAAAATGGGTGGTACCCTTGAATGAATTGGTACAGGAGACAGCTTCCTGAACATAACACCAGTAGCATAGACAGTGAGATCAACAATTAATAAATGGGACCTACTGAAACTGAGAAGCTTCTGTAAGGCAAAGGACACAGTCAACAAGACAAAAGGCAGCCCACAGAATGGGAAAAAATATTCACTAACCCCACATCTGACAGAGGGCTGATCTCCAAAATTTACAAAGAACTCAAGAAGCAAGTCTCCAAAACACCAAAGGATCCAATTAAAAAGTGGGCTACAGAACTAAATAGAAAATTCTCAATAGAGGAGTCTAAAATGGCTGAGAGGCACTTGAGAAAGTGCTCAACATTCTTAGCCATCCGGGAAATGCAAATCAAAGCAACTCTGAGATACCATCTTACTCCTGTCAGAATGGCTAAAATCAAAGACACCAACAACAATTTATGCTGGAGAGATTGTGGTGAAAGGGGAACACTCCTTCACTGCTGGTGGGAGTGCCAACTAGTTCAGCCACTTTGGAAATCAGTATGGAAATTCCTCAGAAAAGTGGGAATAAACCTACCACAAGACCCAGCAACTTCACTGTTAGGCATATATCCAAAAGATGCCCATTCATATAACAAGGATGCCTGTTCCACTATGTTCATAGCAGCATTATTTGTAATAGCCAGAACTTGGAAGCAACCTAGATGCCCCTCAACCAAACAGTGGATAGAGAAAATGTGGTACATTTACACAATGGAGTACTATTCAGCAGAAAAAATAACAATGGAATCCTGAGATTTACAGGCAAATGGATGGCACTAGAAGAAACCATCCTGAGCAAGGTAACCCAGTCACAAAAAGAGAAACATGGCATGTACTCTCTCATATATGGATTTTAGACATAGATCTGGGGAGTGCCAGCCTACAATCCCATGGCCAGAGAGTCTGGGAAACAGAAACTTCATTCAGAAGAGGCAGACTCCCATGGCTAAGTACTGAGCTGAACTCAAGAAAGCCAGTAACAGAGAGGGAGGACTGATGACCAAAGAGGTTAAGACTGGGCTGGTTTAACCCCCAGAAACAGCTGACCTGACAAGGGTTAGCTCTTGATTCCCAGGCTGATGGCTGGGAATCCAGCATGGGACTGATCAAGACCCCTTGAGTGTGGGTGTCAGTGAGGAGGCCTAGGTAATCTATTGAGCCTTGGGCAGTAGATCAGTATTTATCCCGGGTATACAAATGGACTTTGGACTCCCATCCAACAATGAGAGATGCACTCTCACCCTGAACTCTTGGGGGAGGGTCTAGGCCCTGCCCTGGATGAAATGACAGACTATGGACACCCCCATGGAGGGCCTCACCCTCCCTGGGGAAATGAGGGGATAATGGGGGAGTTGGGGGGGGAGGGCATGGGGGAAACAGAGAGGGACCTGGAATTGACATGTGAAGCAACCTTGTTTTTAATTTAAATTTAAATTTAAAAATAAAAAATAAAAATATAAAAAAATGTCCAATGTGGGGGGGGGAGATCACTGTCTTGCTGAATGGTGACTAGAGAGCAGTATGAGGCAGAGACATGGTTGAGGTAAAGGGCTGTCATAGTTTCTTCTGTGTTGCTGTTATAAAATACTCTGGCAAAACGTATTTGGAGTAAGGATTTATTTGGATTCCCATTCTAAGTTATAGTTCATCAATCTGCGTGAGTGAGGCAGGAACTCAAGCAGCTAGTCACATCACATCCATGGTCAAGAGCAGAGAGAATGACTGTGTCTTTGCCTGTTCTCAGCTATCTCTGTCCTTCCTTTTAATGTTTAATGGCCTAGGGAACAGGGCCTCTGACAATGGGCCAGGTCTTCTCCATTGATTAAAAATCCATACAGGCCCCCACAGACACACTCACGTGCCAGCCTCACCTAGATCATTTCTCTTTACGACTCTTCCCAGACAATTCTGTCATTTTGTCTTTAAAGCTTAGCTTCTCTTCCCAGGACTTTCAGACTTGATCCTTCGAGTTTATCATGATGGAAAACATTGCCCAGTTTTGTAAGGTTTTGTGCTTGGCTGTGGTGGGTGTGCTATGTATACAACGGCTTCATAATTGCCTGATAGTGTTTTATCCAAATACTAGTTACTTAGAATGTAACATGTATGTATTTTACCATGTCATTACTTAAATATGTTTTCAACAGATGTGATTATCTACTAAAACAAACAAACAAGCAAACAAAACAAAAAGTCCATAGAAATATGTCTAAATGGTGGTGAGAAACTAGGTAGTCATATAAAATCCATACCTGAGTCACTGGCTAGACATTCTGTAACTCTTTCAAATGCTTTGCTTTATACAAGTTGGTTGAAATACCCCACCAAATTATGCTTATTCCTCTGTGCTCTACCTATACATAAGCTAAACTGTAAAGAAAAATATGATCCCTTGAGCATCAATCCAGAGATAAGATAATGAACTCTACCCATCCTCACACCTGGCAGTTGTAGCCTCTTTTTCACTTATAAGTGTATCCTTTTTTCAAGAGACATATACCCATGCTAAAATTCTGTTTCTTCTTTTTACCACATCTTCCCAGTCTTACCTACCCTATCCTTAAAATATATTCTAAAGGCTTTTTCTAATGGTTAAACATGTTTAATATTCAAATGGCATTTTTAGGCTCCCAAAGCCACTCAAACATTTCAAAAACTGTCTCTTCACATAGAACTCCTTATAAAAAACTATCCAATATTTTGTTCATATTAAAATTTCCCAGACTGTCTCCAATATATCCCTTTATAGTTGGTTTATTTAAATCAGAGCAATTGCACATGGGTGTTACATCTCTTGGGTCCATTTTTTCTAATATTCCCTTGCCTTTTCCCCATTTCCACCTAATGCCACTGACTTGCTACAAAAACCAGACCACTTGTCTTTCAGAATCTCTCATATTCTAGATAAAACAAGTAATTTCCTCTCGGTGTCACTTGCTTGTTTGACTCCTTGTGTTTCCTGGAAAAACCATTTCTAGAAAATGGCTTGGCCTATGGGTTTAAAGAGCCTCTGGCTTTGTTTCTGCACTGTGCTTTCATAGTTGGAAGTCACTGTTCTTTCTATGGCCAGTGGAGACTCCTGGTACACTGAAGATTTTGTCTCACCATGTCTTGTCTCTGATCAGCTTTCCTACCAACATATTCTGGTGCTGACTTTCCCCCTTCCTTTCCTTCTGATTTATGGCATATTCTTTCCATTTTCTTGTCCCTGTATTTAATTAGAAAAAACAAACTTTTTGTACTCACAAATAAAACATCACACGGCTAGATTAAAGTCTCCATTCAAGTAAGACTCTGCCTAGTCCTAAACTCTGTACATCTTCATGATCGACTAGCCAGTCAGTATATGCTATCTATCAGTAGTTAACTTACCCAATTTTACTATGAAACAGCTCTTCTGGCCCAGACTTCCTGGTTAATTTCTTCTTTCATTGTGGTAGGCTCACTTTTGAAACCAATTTGCAAGGGCATTGTATAGTGTGTATACATTTACACTTTGCCACTTGCCCCTAAGCACTAAAAGCCCCTTAAGTTTGGTACCAAGCATGGAAAGAGCTACAACAGCAAGACAGACGTACTTCACTAACCTCCACAACAGTTTTGCAGGTGGCAGAATATTGCATCCGTTCTTTAGTCAAGCAGTTTAGCTCTCCTATTATTTCCCCACTGAGCAAATATTCTGTGTAAAGTGGTGGGGAAGATTTAATATCTGATTCCGAGGGCACTCTTTCTATCCCCGGCTGTGGCTTTGACCTTTTAAGCTGTTAAGAAAATGAAGAGAAGAGTATATTTGCTGGTTAATTTACATCACCCAAACTGTTTGCCATTTTCCTGCTTCAGTTTTAACAATTACCCTGTAACCACATCGTTCTAGAAATAGTTCTTGCTTTAAAATAAAGTTGCAAAGTTAAGCATTATGGTAGTTTGAATGTAACTGGCCCCTGTAATCTCAGAGGGAGTGGTACTATTAGGAGGTGTGGCTTTGATGGAGGAAGTGTGTCACTGTGGGGGCGGGCTTTGAGGTTTTCTATGCTCATGATACTGCCCAGTGTTTCAGTCGACTTCCTGTGACCTGTAAGATGTAGGACTCTCAGCTATTCCTCCAGTACCATGTCCTCCTGTGTATCAGCATGTTTCATACCATGATGATAACAGACTGAATCTTTGAATCTGTGCACTGCCACCTCAGTTAAATGTTTTCCTTATAAGAGATGCCATGGTCATGGTGTCTCTTCAAAGCAATAGAAATCCTCAAACAAGCAGTGACTTGCACACAGCATATTTTGAAGCAATGGTGGATATTTCTGATTTTTCTCTGTAGGCCACTCTATATAAATCTTAAAGGGCTGAATCTCTCATTCATAGAAACACAAGATAAGTCATGACTGATAAATTTACATCTTCAGGGATGGTTCTTTTTATAGTTTCCTCTTATCTATTGAAACATGTGGCTTGAAAATTGGCAGTTTGTTGGCCATTATGCCTGGTTCTAGAAATTACCATTTGCATGCTAACTGCTCTCCTAAGGAAGGATCATTTCAGTTATAACATGGAAAGTCACTAATTCTTAACTTTGCAAAGTTCTTTTTTTACCCTGAAAATAAAGAACCTGAATATTCTCAATTACATTCAGAAGCATCTCTGCTTTACCTTGACCATGCCTGAAATAATTACATAGATCCCTTCTGGCTCATCACCTTCTTCAAATATGTTATTTCCACAGTCAAATGTTACAATTTTTGCTTTTTCCTAAAAACAAAAGGTAATTCAGGATTTTTCTTTATACTTTAACAGAACTTTTAAACATTTAAGGCCGTCATTAAGATCTAAAAGGCTGTGTTAGTTGCAAATTTGTAAGGGAAAATAGGAATTATGAGCAGCTCACAGAGAAATGTGGAGAGCCATGAATATTGTGTATTTCGTATGAAATGCTCATGTACATATGAAGAAAATAATCTAGGAATAAAAATAGAGTTGGAGAATGAAAATGTTTTGCCTAGGTGAAAAGTTACAGGTAAATGGGGCTAATGATATGTTCATGCCTCAGTCACTCTAAAAAGCTAAGTATATAGCAATCCATCTTGAATACTTAAGGGGAAGAAGCAAAATGGGTCTCTTGGTACTGAACATGTACTGCAAAGAATACTATTAAAGACAATCAGTGCTGAGAGCTGCTGGTAGAAATGACTTTACCAGAGGTTTCTGGGTGTATACAACAGGTGACAACTAGTATTTAACAGGTCTATCTACCAGATTAATAACTATCTGATGGGGAAACCCCACTGGGCAAAGACCGTAGGATCACTGACTGTAAATGACTGGTTGCTTCTGTCTGTAGTTTTCTCATGTACAGCTATTGGTATTTTTCCCACTGCTTATGTGATCATATATATATATAGAGAGAGCATCCACCAGGCACACATATAGCTGTGAATGACCACAAAGATGATTTCTGCTTAATTGTATAATTCTGATGAATACAAATAATACTAGGACATTTTTCATTAGACTGACATAGGAAAGGAATAGTATTCTCAGTCACAAGGACAGCTACTTTAGACTTCAGAACAGATTTAAACCAAACTGGTTGCTCCTGGAGATGAATATCTGGTTGCCCCTGGAGACAAACACACAAGGACAATTTCTCAGGTGTTTATTGCTGATTCAGGTTCAGGCACAGAGCAATTTTAGTGGCCATAACTTTCTCAGAAATGGATTTTCTGCATGTATTCCCAACCTCAAGGTTCAGCCAAATAACTGTTTATTGTTTAAGTCCTGAATTTTAATGTCACTTTCTGTCTGGTTACCCTGACCACTCAGAGCTACTTACCATGCCTGGTCAGTGCAACCTACCTAGCCTGAGAGAAGCTGTGTGATCAGTATGGATCTGTTTCTTATTGTTTACTCAAGCGGTACTGTGTGACCCTGAAAATATGAATTTGTCCAGAGGCTTTGCTGTGTGAAGTAGGAGAGAAATGTGAGGTGTGTGTGTGTGTGTGTGTGTGTGTGTGTGTGTGTGTACTGAAAGGGAGATGCAGCTGAATGTGCAAAGAGAAGTGTGAAGAGATGTAGCTGAGTGGGTAGAGAGATACAGAAGATGTAACTGTGTAGAAGAGAGGTATGCATGTAGGAAAGATGTATGAGAAGGAAGAAGTATATGGCTGTGTGGAGGATGTAACTGTGTGGAGAATGTACCTGTGAAAATAGATGTAACTGTGAAAAGAGACGTAACTACACATGCCTCTGTAGAAGAGAGCTGTGTGCATGTAAAGAGAGATATGTAACTGTCCGTAAAGAGATATAACTGTTTAGAGAAATTGTCAGGAAAGAGAGATTATTCAAGATGAAATTAAAGAGAAGGTTGCCATCAGGAAAGTGTGTGTGTGTGTTTCCTTATTTACTCTCAAATAGAAAAGTCTAGCTCTCATATAGAGAAGAAAATTTTCTAGGTCCTTACTGCTATCACAAGGCATTATTTATGCAACCCTGGGTGCAGACCTGGGAGCTGGTCTTGCATACTGGGGTAAGTCAAGATTTATCCATTACACAAGCACCCAATGAGCATGCCATGCATTATGCAGAATGACTGTGTGGGTATTCAAAAGATGAATGAAACCAGGCATGCCTATGCTTGTAATCTGACATCTGAGAAGTGGAGACAGCATGGTTGAGACTTTGAAGCCACCTTGGAATACATAGCAATATTCTTTCTCAAAATTAACAACAAAAGGGAAAGAAAGAAAAAGAAAAAAAAGAAAAAGCTGAACAGTGGAGGTAGAGATGTAAAATTAATTGTGATGTGATGTACTTAGTAATATAGTAGAAATGCACATTGGAAACAATGGTGGCACATTTCCTTACTTTAACCTGAAGACAACATGTTATTCTGGTGAGAAATTAGCCTAAGGGCCTGCTTCTCTGGCCACTTCTGGTAGTTTGCAGAAGTATAACAAATAGGAAAAGACAGAAAGGTCTAGGACTGGTGGACATTTCCAGGAAGTTACACAGAATCCACAGATTCATGGAATGTATGGCACCATCAGTAGTTCAACTTGAACAGAGTAAAGGGTATATGCCTTGGGGGAAACAGAAGCTGATGTGGGATGTAGGTGGGGGGCAGTTTGTGTTAGAACTTTGGGTTATATTCAAAGAGATGTTGATTGTATCCTAGAGAGCAAAGGGCAATTATAGAGTTTTAACACCGAGTAGCACAGCTAAATCCCTATTATTTTAGTGATTATTTGCCAATACATTAAAAGTATAGTTAGGAAGAGAAAAATTTTTACCTGAATAAACCTTAAGGACTGGCTATCTTTATTAAGCCAGGGGATATAATATGGGGATATCTCAATGTTGAGAGGCTGGATGACAGACTGCAGATCAAGCACCTCTATCTTTTTGGCCATGATTAACTAGAAGCACAAAATAAGAAACAAGGTGAACTAAACCCATGTATACAAAATGAGGTGAAGGAGGAGGGAAAGGAGAAAGAGGAGGGTAGGAGGAAGAAAGGCAGCTTTATAGTGTGTTGCATTAGTCAGTGTCTGCTTTGGAGGACACTGCAGATCTAAGGCACATGCTGTAATGCTCCCCCGCCCTGGATTGTGGTGCTTTGGATGAGAAGTGTCCCCTATAGGGACACATATCTGAACACTTGGTTGTCCCCGGAAGTCTTACATGTTTGACCACTTGATCCCCAGTTGGTAACCTATTGGGGGAGGGTTTAAGAGGTATGGCATTGCTTAAGGAAGCATGCCACTAGTGGTGGGCTTCCGGGGTGTCTTGTCTCGTCCCGCATCAATTTTCTTTAACTGTTGTTACATACATACATATCAACTTACATCTACCTACTTATATCATAGATCATCCTGTTGAGTCCTTTTGGTGTTAGCAGTATGTGTATGTGCTTAGAGCTGATCACTTGGTATAGGATAATACATCTGTGTTTTCAAAGTAGAATTTTAATTTGCCATTTTAATAGCTTGCTAATTTGCATTTAGTCTATATTATTTAAATTTAGTTTATCATAACTGGATTGAGCATTAATAATTTTTTGTATTTTTATGAATTGACAAGCAAATATGTCATTACTAGTTTTCATTTTCTTAGTTCTTTTTTTCCTTTATTTTATGACAAGGTCTTGTGTAGTCCAGTTTAGCTGTTAATTCACCTCTACCCAAAGATTGTCTTAAACTCCTGATTCTCCTGCCTCTGCTTTCAAGTGCTTCCATTAGAGGCATACTCTAGCCCTACCAGCTATTTTTCCTTTTATATATATGTAAATAACTTATTTATAGTACTAACTACTGAATTCAGGGCTTTATTTATGGTAGGCAAGCACTCTACCACTGAGCTACATTGTTCAACTCTATGTGGCAGACACTGTACATACTGTTTATATGAATACAGATGTAGAAATCTCTCTTAAAGATTCTGCTTTCCTTACTTTGAGTTTATGTTCAGAAAAATTGCTGGTCCAAATGGCAATGGCAATGTGCTGTGAGAATTCAATAGCATTTCCATAAAGGCCATCCCAGTTTACATTCCTACCAATGGCATGCAGGGATTCCATTTTCTCTACTTGCTCACCAACATATTTTTGTTTTCCTGAGTTGGTGTGGCCATCCTGTTGAATGGAAAATGTGATTTCATTTCCATTTGTTGTCTCATTTTTTAAAATTTCCATTTGTCTGGGGACCAGTGATATTAGGCACATTTCTTCATATTTACTTGGGTCATTTGGTTGTCTTTTTTTGGATGCCTTTTCAGATTTGTTGCTGTTTTAAAGATCAGGTATTTTTAGTTTTAGGAAAATTCTCTACATATCAATATTTCAAAATGTATAGATTGAAAATATTCCCTCTCATTTCATGGGTCACATTTTTTAGCACGCAATAATTTTATGTACTTTAGAAAAAAATTAAATTTAAATTAGAAACAAACTTGCTTCACATGTCAATCCCAGCTCCCTCTCCCTCCCTTCCTACCCCATCCCCTCACCAGCCCCCCACAGCTCCCCACCCAAACCCCACTCTGTTCCCCAGGGAGGGTGAGGTTCTCCATGGGGGATCTCCAGAGTCTGTCATTTCATTCAGGGCAGGGCCTAGGTCCTCCCCCAAGAGTTCAGGCTGAGAGAGCATTCCTCATTGTGGGATGGGCACATATTTTTTTAAATGCTGTTTATTTTCTTTCTTTCTTTTTTTTTTTTGGTCTATTTTAGCATGTGCTTTTGGCATTAATTCCAAAAAAAAATCAGCTTAGTTAGTAATGGAATTTTAGTCCTATGCTTTTCTCTTTCAGTTTTATAGTTTTAGGTTTTACTTCTAGGCTGTGAATGCATTTTGAGTTATTTTCTCTGCATGGTTATAGGTAAAGGCCCAACTTCTTTATTTTCAATAAATAGTATGCAGTTTGATGGTGTTGGCTTTAGTCATTTTTCTCATCTTTGCCTTTTGTTTGGAGAGCCTAATCTAAATTTAAGGTAATTTCTTTAATTTTTTTCTTTAAGATTTTATATCTACACTCCACTTCATCTCCTCCAACTCCCCACAAGATTTGTTTCTGTCATTTTGACTTACGTTTTTTTTCTATTTGTGTTTTCTAAACACTTGCATTTTCTTTTTGGTTCAACATTATTCTGCTATTTTGCTCCAGTTTGATATTTGTAGTGAACACTTAGGTTCTTCTTCCTTTGTGTGCCGTTTTGGAAACTTTTTTGTGCATCTCACGAGGAGGGTATTTAACATCATGACGTTCCACACTGAGCCTGAGTCTAAACAAGCTTCAGTTTCACAGAGCACAAAAGGTTTAGTGCTCTTAATATCTCTAGTCTCATCCATTTCAGTCACTTGTGTCACAATACTACATGATTACTTTGAAAATATACCATCTTACCTTATTAATTTCAGTACCTTCCATTTTATGTAAAATTCCTTTGGACCTGAAAGCCTTGACAATTTCTTTAGCCATATTGAGCATGACATTAATCTCCTCCTTGGTTTTCATAGTGACAGCGATTTCTGGATGATCATACTCTAAGTAGCCTGAAGAACAATGCAATATTTTCAGGTAAAATGAAAAGATGTCCTTAAGTATTTTGTGAGGACAGGAAACTAATCCTTCTTCTTTAAGTCAGTGACTGCAACTTTCACCACAAGGGCATGTATCTCACTCTCAGGCCTGCTGCCGTCAATCCCTCACCAGTAGTGCTGGGGTTCTGTCATTTTCTTGGTTACACCCACATTTGTGCTAAGCCCATGAAAAGATGGAAAGCCATATCCCTAAACTAATGGTTACACTGGCCCACCATCGTTGGGTCCTACAAGCATGCTTGGGGCACGAGTCTCCTATTCGTGATCTGCTTTCCTGTTAAGTTCTCTACAGGATTTTTGGCTATATACTGCATGTTCAGCTTTGGTTTCTGATTAAGTTCTATAGCTCATCCTGGATCATTTTCTTCATGTCCTGTTGGCAAACCTGGAAGACACATCCATCTGGACCTCTCTACTTAGCTTCTCTGGATTCCCAGATGTCCATGTAAACCTCACCGGCTCACATTGGACACGGGGGCCATCCCTTTGTCTTGATTATTTCTCTGTCTTGTGACTAGTTGCTCTACAGCTCTTTCAAGTATCACTCTCAGGCTCTCTGTACTCTTTTGTTGCCTGCCACTTCCTGCCAAGCCCTGTCTTTACATGTGAGCACTATGTCTTTACATGTGAGCACTGTTTTCACATGTGAGCATTATGTTTCAGGATATTTGTTTCACTCAGGATTTTTCCTCTACCGAAAGTACAGCCTGGCACATTCAGAGATGACCCTCTTGCCAAGTGGGCATTGTGCACTCTGCACTCCTTAGGGATATACTCAGGTCTCTGCTATGATCTCAGTCCAGTCCACAAATCCCAAATCTCTCTGTCAGTACTCTTTAAGCCAGTCAGTAAGGCAAAAGTTACAACTAGTTTGGAAGAAAGGGGCATTAGGGATTAAAAAAAGCTACAGATGTTATAAAAATTATGGAGTGACAATGTGGATTGTTTGAACACGTAGTAAAAATCTTGTGTGGTTCAGGTAGAGAGAAAGTATGATGAGTAATGTTATACTGATATATGTTATATGTCAATATAACTTTACACTAATATCACATACACTAGAACAACACAATCATGCATGTTGTTTAAGTTTACCGTATTACTATTAAGAATTAGGATTTAGGGAGGAGGGGAGGGAAACAGAGAGGGACCTGGAATTGACATGTGAAGCAACCTTGTTTCTAATTTAAATTTAAATTTAAAAAGAAAAAAAAGAATTAGGATTTAGGGAATGGAGAGATGGCTCAGTAGTTACGAACATTTACTGCACTTGAAGAAGACCAAGGTTCAGTTCCCAGAATCCATGTAGGGGCTCACAACTGTCTGATTTCAGTTCCAGGGGATTCTACACCCTTTTCTGGCCTCTTGAGAACTGTATGCACACGATGCACAGGTGTGCGTGCAGGCAAAACACCCACACACATAGTAAAAATAAACATCCATAAAAAAGAAGTTGAATTCTTCATAGATTTTTGGTTCTAAAACCCATTGATTTTCTGAAGTTGTCAAAATATGGTTAAGTTGCACACTTAGAGTGAAGGTACCTACCTAGCTCTTTCATGGCACGTTCCAAATTCCTCATTACCCGCTTTAACAGTATCTATAGAACAAAAAATATGTTATCTCCGCTGGAAAGATAAACCACAACAAAAGAGCTTTACATTTGTAACTGATTTCAAAGCTAATCAGATAACTTTATTAAAAAGCTTGATGGAAGGTCTGGAGAAATGCCTCAGCAGTTAAGAGTTCTTGCTGTTCTTACAGAAGACCTGGGTTCAATTCTCAGTACCCACAAAGCAGCTTACAACTGCTCCTAAGTCTGGTTCCAGAGGATCAGGTACCCTCTTCTAGTCTCCATGAGAACCTTGTATCCACACTGTGCAGGCATACATGTGTGCAAAACACATAAAATAAAAATAAATATTTTATGCATGATGGAGAACATCTTAAGGGTCATAATAGAATGTGGGTAATGAGATTTCAAATTAGAGACATGGTGTGGTTTTCAATCTCAAATGGATAGAAGATTTGACCAAAGTGTATGAGAATTAAAATCATAACAAAAATTGGTTGATATTGTAGAAACCCAAGTCCTTTGTATCCTATTCTTTGCCCTCTTAAATTCCATGGCTAGGTATTAGTCATGGGAGATGCTAAGCAAACTTAGGAAACTGGCTTATATATAATGTTAGGCAGCAGAGAGGAGAAATGCTATTTATGCGTTCTACAATGTGTTGGGTGTACAATATTTTTACTATGCTTGTGATGTATAAAATTTGGCATTCAAATATTACATATTATGTTGAAAGGTGAAAACTGAATCCCACCTAGCTGTCAAACTTCTAGGTATGTACAGAAATCAATCTGCTCCAAATTGAGGATAAAAACAAAATTAAGCTTGTTTCTAATTCAAATAAAAAACAAAAATAAAACAAAAATAATTTAGGTCTAAGGTGTCTTTGTCATCTACCAGCCATTGGAGGGTAGGCATAATCAAGCAAATTTCTCTTGGCCTTATTTCTCATCTGCATGATGAGAGCATGTGACTGGGCACATGTGGATAATTGTTTTTTTTCCTTATTCCTTTCTGTATGCCAAACCACTGGCTTCCATTTCCTTTATTTTGTATTCAGGTCAAAAGCAGAAAATGGAGAGAAATGGAAGGAGCTTTGGAGCATGATGAGGAAGCTGTGATCAACACGGCGGCCAATCCTCCTCACTTTGCCCTGTTTCCTCACTAATCCTGAAGGTTGAACTGGGAGACAGTTGAGCACTGTGCATGAATACAGAAGCACCTTCCAAGATCATCCTTGTGTGCTGATATGGCACAGACTTTCTAGCTAAAGAAAGTAAGTGATGTAGTCATAGAAATAGGCCAGCAACTCAGGACTTAGAGACTACACCTGTGTGTAAGGACGCCAGACAGGATATGTGATGGCAACAGGGCACTGAAGAGAGTTAAGGTTTCTCCTTATGTTTGGCTTTTCTCTCACCTGTTTAGCCTGTTTGGAACTTGCAATCTGATCGATTATATTCAGTACATCCATTTCCCCTTGGACATAGCCTTTTAGTATAGCATACCGAAAAGACATCTGATGGCTCAACCTTTTGTCTATTATTTGCAGCAGCTTTGGTGTTATGAGCTAAAACAAAGGGACTATCATTAAACATTAACTATATATTTTTTGTTTGTATTTAACTTAGTTGGGTCAGTTGCTTTCTCTGTTTTGTGCTAGAGGTATAAGATGTGAGCCCTTAGTTTCTGGACCAGCTGTCATGCCACCCTCCCATGACAGACTCTTGTCTCTATGAACCCAATTATATTCCCTCTTCTCAGAGTCACCTTGGTCATAGCGCTTTACCTCAAGTATAGAAAAGTAACTACCATGCTACTATTTTGCACTTCTCCTGCTCTGTGACGTTGGAAACTGTAGGTTCCATGCTGCTTCCCTTCTAAAAAATATGCTCCATAGGAACCAAGGTCTCATCTAGTCTCCCTTCACATTCCCAAATCTACCATCTGACATAAGCATTCAGAGTTATTCTGAACATACTTCTGAATTTTCCTTAGCCCACCAGTTCATCTATTTCCTAGACTCTGTATACACATGTTAGAGAGAATGGACTATATATAGTCTTTGGAATACTTTAGACTTGCCTTCCTCAGATTAAATTGTGTATTAGTGTGATTTATTGTCTCACAGAGCACTACAAAAGTATATACTAAAGAATGACTATATCTGGTTGGTTTAGGTCTTAGTAGCTAAAGCATTTCTAAGAATGCATGAGAAAGATAAAATATTCTATGGCTGTTTCTCTACCTATACATCCTCATGTGATTATGGACTAGCTTTCCAATCACTTATATAGTCATATAAGAAATAAGAGACTGTCATTATACATGTGAATGCAACATTGATTACACATGTAATTTTGATACCATATCACTAACTTTACACAATATGAAATTGTACTATTTTAGTTCTTCATCTGTGTGAATATATACTATTGGCTTCATCGATGTGGATTATTTTGTGGTGATTGTTTTATTTCCATTTTTAATTCCCAGCTAACTATATAGAGAAGCATTACTTAGAATGTACTAATATTTACATAAACATGGATTTTCCAAGCATTCTCTATTAAAAGGAAGGGTGAGATGAATGTTTATAGCTCCACGAGCTAAATGGATTTATAATATAATTTGGGTATTTGAAATTTTGACTTGTTATAGGTAGCTAAACATTCAGACTTTAACATCAGTCCACCAGAAAATGTTTTCTCTGAACCTGTTGACTTGATTTTTTTTGTTGAGCTGATTTTAAGCTGATGTCTCCTGATGCCAAACCCACAGAGAGAACCAAAGTCATGTGCTTTACCTTCAAGATGCGCGGGACACGAAGGAGTCGAACTGTGTTCATGAAGATCACAGTCTCATCTAACTCATAGTCGTAACTAATGGAGCCTGTTTCTGTAAGTATTAAATCTATGATGCCGATTAAGGTAATGCCCAGCTCAAACAGGAGCCAGGAGTGCGAAAAGAATTCTTTCCTCATTGCTGCCACCTGTTGATACAAAAGGAAGCGACATCATCATATTTTCTGCTTTTATTAAAGCTCTCCCCGCCCTGAATGTAAACATTATCAACTAGGCTTTTCCTTGTTCTACCTGAGACTCTGTGTCAAAAATACCTTGGACAGGAAAGCAAGCAGAGGATGCTCGTAACTGCATCCCTTGGAGAAGGAAAACTAAGATTGCTGATGTGGGCTTAATTGTACAGCATGGGTATAGATGAAAGACAGACTTATCAAATGACACTGGAGTTGTCACTGGTCAGCAGTTGGGGGGCAAGACAAATACACAAAAATATTCTGTATTAGGGTTCCTTGATTTCAACCAACTCTAAATGCCACAAGAATCCTGAGGTCTCCATTTTATATTATTTAGTTATATCAAATGTGTGATGCTGAGTAGTAAGAAAATAATATATATATGTGTATATATATACATATATGCAGATTTGTAATTCACATGGGCTAAATTTTATTAAATCAGTTCAAGATTTAAAGATTAATTTGTTCTATGATGATATAAAAGAGAAGTAATTTTTTAATATCTTGAGATTTTAAGTGACTCTAAATATTTTATCAAAACTGCCTTGGTAATTGGATCAATGCTTTTATTTCAGCACACTGTAAAGCTAACAGAAGCCATCACACATAGCACAGGTTCAAATATGTACATTTCGGAGCTGTTTTTGTTTTTTATTTTTTCAAACCATGCATTCTGCCTTAGAGTAGTCAAACAGACACAAAACAGGCTTTGTGGGATTTGTGTACTTTTTATTTTGTTTTGGTATTTTTGTGTTATTAGTTTTCATTTAATTTTATCTTTTTGAGGGAGTGGAGAACATGAAATAATGTAGATAGGGAGGTGGTAGAGTCTGGGAGAACTTCAGGGAGGGGAAAGTATAAGATCAAATGTACTGTGTGAAAAACCTTTTAAAAAATGTGACTGATACAGTTTAAGTTAACTCTGTGTCTTCGACCTGCATCCTCTTATTTTGCCAAAGACAAAGTCAATGCTTAAAGTACCCATATTTTATGTTGTTGCTCTCAACATCACCTTTAAAAATGAAATTTGTGGACTTTGAGAAGACACAGAGTAGTCCACAATACCCGCTTAGGAAACCCTAGCTAAGGCTGAAATGTGTCTCCCATTACACATTCATCTTAGATTACCTTAAGTAGAGTCTCTAGAATATAAAAGGTAAGAAAATAGTAGTTAGCACACTTTATTTCATCTTCATAGATGTCATTTAAGCGGGCTATCCAACAGATTATCAAAGGATATATGTTCATTAATACAGCAAGGTAACCAGTGTACTCAAATTCATCTGCAAAGACTATTTTATGGCATGTTTGAAGAAGCAAATATCTGCAAAAAATAAAAAGGGAAGACAATTTTATCTGAAAAAAAAGTTACATGAAATTCTTTTTTCTTTATTTGGTCAGTCCTGTTCTAGTTATCAGGAGTCAGAGAGCCCTGCTGAAGTCTAGGCAGTAGCCCCACTAACTAGGTATTAGCATCTTGAACAAATCTAATGGTTGGTAAGCTAATTTAAAAAATTTCAGTGGAGATACCTGATGTGGGAGAATCAAGCTGCTTCTAGAAGCCATGAACTTTTAAAGGAAAATCCCGGGGCCAAGGGCAGGCTATCTTCCTGTGAACTCTTGTCCAGAGAGTTCCCTCTGGTCTTACAAACAATACAGACAATTTCTGCTACTGTTGGTTGCCTACTGGAACTAGTTGGTAAGATCCAATTGCTTGACCCAAATGGCTTGGTCACAGGATACAGAGAAATCAACCTGATTGGTAAGATTCCTTCCCGCTGTCTAGCCCTCATGGTTTCAGGAGATGGCATGAAGCAGCTGGGAAAATTTGTCATGAGCAGTCTTGCTCAGCTGTGGAAACTGTGTGCAACAATGCTGCCTGGCCAAGCATGATCAGCTCACTGATGTAGAAGTGGGAAGTCTTGTCATAGAGACAACCGACTGTCTTCTGAGTGGACTTGATACTCATGCCACATGAGGGAATTCATATCTAGTATGGTCAAAAAGTTTGTGACTAGGGAGACAGGAGGCTCTAGTGGGGAAACTAATGCTCTCTATGTGATAAATCAACATGCTGTATTTACCCAAGCTGCTAAACAGCCATGCTTATACCCATAGACTAGTGCTACTGTCAGCTTTGACCAGAGAAGTTTCTGTTTGTGTTTGTATAGAGAATAAATGTATGCCCAGTCATAAAGGGGCATCTGTATCACTGCTTGGGAGGTTTGAAACATCATAGAAGAAAGGGAGGAAAACAATGCAACAACCGGAGATAGCTGGTAACGCAGGTCTAACATGGCAGGTGCACTCGAACTCACAGCAGCTTTCATTGCATAAGATCTGTAAAAGACTAGAACTGTCGATATGCCATTATGTCTAGAGTATTCCTTTGGATATATGTGCAATTAACATGATGGGAAAATGAGACATTTTCTTCATTGGTGTATCCATTATTAAGTAGTAGACCATTGATCTAGCTGCTGTGAAGTTTCACAGACTCTCGCCACAACAAGAACTATGTTCCCTTATCATGGGACTGGGCATTTCCAGTTAATAAACTCCAAATATAGAAGGGGTGCAGACAGAACTGTTTAATAACATATTAACTAGGATGACTGTAATTGTAGATGCCCCTTATCCAGCAATATCCAGTGATCTTTTTAAATACCCAGAAATACATTCAAAACACAAGAAAATGGAATATATCTGAGTCTCACTGGATGAGATTAACCCACCTGTGGCCCAATTGGGAGGGGGCATAGCATCTTTCTGCTCTCTACTCTTGCATAAGGATTCTAAAAGAACTAACTTCTTTTTCTCTGAGTGAGTTAAAGTGTTTCCTTCAACCCACCCCTCTGTCCTGGCATCTATTAAACCTTTTACTAGATCTATAAATCTCTGTCTCTCTCAAACCCTGCTCCTTCAAAAATAAGTTAGGTGTAAACAAACTACTACCCATGAACCTACAAATAAATCTCCACTCATGCCCAGGTAAACAACTGTGCTGACTAGTTTTATGTCAACTCAACACAAACTAGAGCCAATTGGGAAAGCAAAAACCTTAATTGAGAGAATGGCTCCACCAGATTGGCCTGAAGGCAAGTCTGTGGTTCATTTTGTTGACTAATGATTGATGACCAATGTGGAAGGACCCAGCCCATCGTCGGTGGTGCCATCCCTGGGCCCATGGGTTTGAGATGTATGAAAAGGCAGGCTGAGCAAGCTATGTGTAGCAAGCCAGTGGGCTGCACTTTTCCATGGCCCCTGTATCAGTTTCTGCCTCTGGCTTCCAACCTTGAGTTATTGACCTGATCTTCCTGGATGATGAACTACAGCTGTAAAATGAAATGAACACTTTCTTCCCCAACTTGCTTTTGGTCATGGTGTTTCATCACAGCAACAGAAACCCTAACTGAGACAAATGAAACTCATTTAGGGACACACACACACACACACACACACACACACACACACACACACACACACGGATATGAAAGTTAAAAAATGGTTAGTTTGGAAGAAGAGTTGGGGGTGAAAAGATAGTGTGTAACATGGTGAATATGTACCTGTATGAAAATCTCACAATCAAACATATTATTATGTATAATTAGCATGCTAATAAAAAAGAGAATATTAACTAGAGATTTAGCACAGTAGTAGAATATTTCCTAGCATACACAGTATGTTAAAAATACAAAACTTAGTTACAAAAAAACAAGCAAAATCTTATATCTTATATCTTTGCTTCTTTCAAGTAATTTTTGTACGTATATAAGGATTAAATTGTAATCTACTTCAAAATAGTTTGCAAAGCTTTTAGGTTATAATTTTAACAGGAACTAACTTTCAAAAGTTAACATCACATTTCTTATTCCAAGGTTGCTCACCTTGATGGAACCCCTTTATCCTTTTTAGTATTGTACACCCAGTTGAGAAGTAATTTTCTAAAGAAGGAGAGGACTTTTTTGCCTTCAGAATAATTCTTTATGTTCTCAGGACTCAAATATCTAAAAAACACAGAGAACTCATTAAATGTGTTTTAAATACTTTGATATGAGACAAAAGGGCTACTGTCAGACACAGGAGGACTATTTTACATTATAATGACTAAACATGATTTGCAGGTACACAACTGTGTAGTCAGGTTGTGAGACCAACTCATTGAATGGAGCCCAGATTATTAGAGATACAAGTACTAGAGATCTAAATGATCAGGAGAAAACAGTCAACCATATTTCAGACATTTGACACCTAGGTTTTAATTTTAATGCCATCATCTGTTATGACAATGAAGAAATGCTCTCTCTAACATGGAGATAAAATGAGCTTTCAGACTGGGATAACTCAGTAGTACGTAAAGCATCTATCCCACTTCACACGGGCTTCCCTTCGAGGCAAGCAGATGAGTTTAAGTGACAGCAAGAGGGTAAACAGGTTCCCTTGGAGAGGTCAATGTCATAAGAGACTCAAAGGCAAGTTGGCAGTGCTTACCAGAAACTGCTTGTAGATTTAATTTTTCATCGGAACAGCTCAGATCTGTGAGTAGTGGCTTGGTTTGGCTCGGAAAGCCCTCTTGATTTTATAAGGAATGTATTTTTAGCAGATACTCTCATTGTTTTTGTCTAAAAGTTCATTAGGCCTTGTGTCTTATTGTGTCATTTTGCTTAACTGAAGAAGATTGGAACTCCAAGTACCAGGGTTGACTTTGTCATTCCTCTTGCTTATTTTGTCTCACTCTGAGATTTTCATGTTTTTTCTCTGGATATATTGATATCATTGAAAGTGATGCAGTCATTCAATTCTCCAGGATTTAATATAATAAAGTAATTACACAGAGATGCTTACATTTCTATATAAACCGACTCATCTATAAATTATAAATAGTTATTGAACTAGTCTAAAATGGTTGTTTACACTATGGATAAACCATGAAGAAATATTGCTCTCTGTCCTTAAGTGTCCCATGGATCAGTGTGATGAAATAAGCAAATCACCCCTTCCATAACTGTTGTCATGGAGATAATAAATAGGAAAAAAACTCTCCACCAACAAAGTGAATATGAAAATAGAGTTCTGGATAACTAGGAAACTTTTTTGAAGGAATTATTGTCTCAGATAAGATCTGGATCTTTCACAGGTTTTATAAATCTTTAAATTATGGGATTCCAGAGCCCCAATTACAAAGTAGTCAATCACTAAGTAGACATATCCAGAGGACTTAGAGAAAACTGACACAAATAAGGGGACAACAGTTGGCACCGGGAAGGAGCACAAAGAGACTGAAGAGACAATGTGGGAGATTGTTGTGACTTACAACATTTTTTTCACACGTGTAGGACACATATTCAGCATCAATAAATGCCAAGCCATATACCAGGTACAATGTAGTTCAGGCACTTAGATTTTTGTTGTATATGAACATGTTCACAACTGAGACCTCATTTGGGGAAGAAGTGTAGTTACTTTGCATCCCAGCCCTGTTATTTATTAGATAAATAACCTCAAGTAAGCAACTCAGTTCCTCTGTCCTTCACTTCCTTCTAATGCATCATGGAGATATCAGGAGCACATCTTTTATAAAGCTTTGTGAGATAAAAATAGGTAATGCATGGGTCATGCTCAAAAGTGTGTCGGGCACTGAGTCAGAGTAAACAGTGTAGAGTATTGTTTCACGGGGTTGGATAGGCACTATGGGTAGGTACTGGTGCCCTTTGTAATCCCTCTGCATCTCCTATTACTAGACTTGTTTTTCTCACCACAGGTCACCCCAACCAGTAGAGCTATTGAGTGGTTCCAATCAAGAAATGGCAAAATCAATTCCAAGGTAGGCGAGGAAAAAAGCATGTACCAAAACCAAGTGTGATCAATAGTTCTCTAGCAGTGCTACTACTTTGGTATTGCCTGTAGTACTTGGCATGAGGATCGGCATATATTGCTGCTAAATATATGTCCTATATGTGTGAATACATTGTCACATGTCTCAGCAATCTCCTGCATTGTCCCTTTAGTCTGTTTGTGCCCCTTCCTTGTGCCTGCTGTTCACCTGTCTTTGTGTCGATTCCCTCTCAGTCCTCTGGGCATGGCATGCTTCTGCCTTAGTGCTTGATTTAAAGGTTAACAACAAATCAAGTTGTTTTTTTGCTCTCTGATGCTTTATTTTTGTCACATTGCTCTAACCAAGCAATATCATGACAATGAATTTTAGAGTGGTATTTATTGATTCATTAAGACATTTCTACTGTGCTCTGTATCTCTGTCACCTCTCTAAAGAGAGGTCTGGATTATTTTAAGAAGATACATTTCCCCAGTTCCTTCAATTCTGTGGAAGTCATCTAAGCATTTGGAAGGTATGGATTTAGAGAACAAGTGGATACTATTGTGTTATGCGTGGAAATATCTAAGTACATGTTAAGGAACCCCAGTTTTAAATAACACATTTTATCTTCCTTCCTGGATATATAAAGTGTTTTAATGATTTGCACAGAATAGCTGGAAATGAAACCCCATATGCTCTTGGGGAACGTCTGTACTTGAACTATAGGGAGTATTTATTGAATATCTGTGTTCCTTATAGATATGTGATGCATGTTATGGATAAACCATGATTCTCTTCCTGCATACAGCTTTTCTCTTACTGTATAGGATAGCACATGTGAATAAACACAAGAGAAATGTATTACATTTAGGATATATGGACACCAAAATCCAGGCTTATTTGTGGGATAATAAGCCATGGATACAGCTCTAAGATGACTCTGGAAATGACCTTGGCATCATTTCAGCTGAACTTGAGTTTATTTGGCATTAAGGGGGAGATATGGATTTGGGAGGTAAGTCTGATTGTTGGGTAGATATGTCACCTGCACTGCAGTTTAATTTCTTTCATATTTCCAATCATAGATCTTCTGTTCCCTTACAGAGGTGATGTGAGGGTTCTCCCCAACAAACCAGCTTTTCTTAGACAATGGATCATCTACGGAAATCAGTACCAGATTACAGACATAGGTGCAGTGTTAACAGAGGGTATGTGGGGTCATCTGTGCTTTGGGAAAGTGCATGTGTAGAGATTAAGGGACTCTTGGCCCCTGTTAGGTGTTCAGAGGGCCTCCAAGGAAAAGTAATTTGCTAAAGTTTAGCTTCACACATGGAAAACAAAAAGGAGAAAAGGTTATTTCTTTCAGGAGATGATTGCCAAGTACACCATCCTTGAGGACTCAAGTGTGGGAAATGGAAGGAAGGAGATTCAACTTGAGTGTGGGGTGCAAAGCATGGAGTGATTCGTGCATATGGTACCAGATGAATGGAGGTTACAACATATGAACTTAGGGCAGAAGCCCTCTCTTGGCAACATACTTACTCTCCCTTCCTCTCACCAAAGCTTCCGGCTGCGCCTACCAACACCTGCACTGCCTTCTGGGTCAGAATCTCATTCCTGTACTGTCTTTGGTAGCTGGCCTGAAAGAAGTGTTGATTCAAATTATTACATGCTGTGGGTGCAATGGCAACTTATTACTTCCTTAATAGAAAAAGAAATGATGTATGAAAAAGAAGCCAAAGTCACCAAATGACCTAGCATGCTGGCAGAAAGAATCTTTCCACAGAGTATGGGTCACCATGTCAACACAGTGTAGATCTGGGCTTTGGATAGAGTAAACCAGTTCTGCATCGAAACTGTGGGACTGCTAGTCTTTGACTAGGGTTCTAAAAGATAGAGTTCTGTGAAAAATAACATGGGGGTTGCTACAAGCTGTGGCTCACCATGAAACTCATGGTGCATATTAGAGTATTAAGGGCATTTAGAAATCCTAATGGGTTAAATGACCTTGGCTCATCTTTATTTAAACCTATGTTCCCAAATATTTCACAATTCAGCTCTGCTGTCTCATGTCTATTAGACAACACAGTCACCCTTTCACTATGTTTATTGATGATCTACTGAGCTTCAGGGACTGTTTGAGGCTGAACAATCCACTATTGGATGTTGGACCTGATAGAAGTGAGCTGATCATGGTTGTAAATCACTTTATAGGACACATTTCTAAAATGTTTTAATATGGGAAGGTTCTCAGAAGAAACAGAAAAATGACTTCTATTTCCTGAGCCTTGTACATGACATGCATTATTCTAGCACAATCTTTTTCAGAATTAGAGCCTAATTCAAATGCAGTCAACATCCCCAGTCAAAGGGAAGAGTCAATCATCATAGCTAAGAGCAGTCAAGCAGGACTGACCTGATCACCCAGTGTTAGACCAGCACAAGCCCTATTTCCCTTCTTTCTAAATCCCATACTTGGAAATTGCTGTCTGGTTGCTGTCTATTCTGTTCCAGTTTCCTTCTGACCCACATTTTCACCCTCATTTCTGCTGACTTATATTCAAGGAAGGGCACTTCCCTGTCTTTAGAATTATCTCAGGGGTAGTTCCAAGGCAAAACCCTGATGACTGGCTCCATTTACCTTAGGGACCATGGCCCCTGGAGCATCAGCTTTCGAAAAGATGGAAGAGGCAGCAAAAAGCTTTCCCCCATGGTTACCTAACTGTGGGAGGGACATTCTTGGCCTTTCAGGTGGTAACACTTAATTTGGCATGGCAAGTATGAAGTCTCATCCACTGTGGACCTGGCACTGATATGTCAAAGAACTCAAGTTCTTGGGAAAACAGTTTAAGAGAACATGGATGCCTTGATTACTGCTGAAGAGAGAAAACTCACAGCTTACAGATAACCCATTTCTCAAGCAGAATGAACAAGCAAGCAAGGCTTAGAGCCCTGAATGGCTGCAATAGTTGAAAACCATGGGTGGTTCTGTACGGAAGGAGAACAAACACAGATGCTGTGAAAGGTTGAGTCCCAGCGTGTGGTTGGGATTCTGACCTGGATAGAAAGCTGAAACTAGGTTAAAAGCAACTGCCCCAAGTCCTGTTCACTGCTGCACTACAGAACTTCTCTAATTTTAAACTGACATTTGAGTGAATGAAAGCACAATAGCCTCTGTAAGTGTTACAGCCCAGATGGAAAGGTATCTTGGCAGTCTGGAGCCAAGGAATATCACAGTCACACTGCACAACAAATCTCACATGAGAGATTGATGGGGAGGGAAAACCCCCAGGAGGGTAGCTGCCTCTCCTCTGGTGAGAAGCAGCAGACAACTGGGCAGAACACAAGGTTTCTTGGGGGAGGTCTTTCCAGAGTGGCCTTGGATTGGAGGAATTATGTAGCCTGGTGGGGCCACATAATTATGGGGCAAGATTAGAGATTGGTGAGATTTTTGTTCTTGCAGGAAAGGGCCTGACCACTCTCCGAATTTGGGACTGGGACTGGTGGTCTGCATTTATTAGAGGATTTGGGGAAAATCTTTGAAAAAATAACTGGATAGAAATCAGAGAGGGTAGTGTCTTAGAACCAGCTATTTTAAAAACAGATGAAGGCTGCCGTTTGCATCTGTGAAATTCCCAAACTAAACACCTTTTTCTTAATCCATTTTGTATTTCATTCATCTTTTTTCCTTCCTTCCTTCTTTTCTTCCTTCCTCCCTCCCTCTCTTCCTTCCTTCCTTCCCTTCCTTCTTCTATTTTCCTTACTCCCCTCAATCACTCTTCTCTCTAGTTTCTTTCTGAATTCCCTCAAACATTGACAAATGTTGCTCTTGTACTAGCATTTGTAGATGGACATAATCAAAATATATAGAGCAAGGGAAAAGCTGTTCAGTACAGTCCTGGGTCCCCAGTATTTTAAAGGGAATGCAATGGAGAACTAACTATCTGTGCTGACAGGAGACGCCTGTTGGCCAGCTCCATTGCTTCAGTGTTGAGGGTCTCATCTATTTCCTTGTTGCAGTCTGGACATTTCACCTTCTGACGCTCTGCTGTTTCTTCTTGGTTCAACTAACAAAACAAATCAAAAGAAGCAAAAAAAATACGTGAATACTAATGTAGAAAGGTCTACAATCTCACACCAATTTTTTTTGGGAAAATGACAGAAAATATGGTAAGTATATAAAAATATCCAAATGTTCCTCATTTTCTCTAGTGTCCTCACAGGGATTCAGTTCTATAGGAGATAACATAACTGACAAGTGGTGGGGAAGGAGTTGAACCTTTCCTCTCTGTGGAATTATGCGGAGTTTATAAAAGCTATCATATACACAGTCATACTTTGACTCAATGGTCCTGTGTGGTTCCCTGACAGCCTCAACATGACTTGTTGGAAATGCACATCCTCTCATAACCCACTGCATCAGAACTGGGGTGCTGGGTAGCAATTATTATGTCTGCTGCCCTAGAGCTTGATGACCACTAGCTTAAATGAATCATTTAAGGCAGAAAAAAAGTGAGCATGAGTTAAAGAGATACAAATATAGTAAATTTGCCAATGAAGAAAACTGAAGCTTAGAGAAAATTCGTTTGCTCAAGGTTACAGAACAGACCTCTAATTCCAGCTACTAGGGCAGTGGTTCTCTACCTTGCTAATTTTGGAACCCTTTAATACAGTTTCTCATGACTCCCAACAATAAAATTATTTTTGTTGTTACTTCATAACTTTATTTTGCTACTGTTATGAAACATAAGGTAGATATCTGTATTTTCTAACGGTCTTAGGCAAACCCCACGGAAGTGTCATTCAACCCCAAAGGGGTATGACCCACAGGTTGAGAACCATTGCACTAAGGAGACTGAGGTAAAAGGATTGCAATTCAAGGCTTTTGTGAACTACAGAATGTGTTAACAAGGCCATTGTTCATGACTTAAGTTGGGGATGTAGCTTTGTAGTAGAGCTCTATATTCTGTCCCCTGCTTTTAAAGTAAGCAATTAGTTAAAAGCTAGGATATAAACTAGGTCTTCTGAGTGAAGCAAGGGCCCTATCTATAACACAGAAATCACCACATGACTGCAACATCAAGAGGACAATACCAGTATTTGGTCATCTGCTTCTGAAACTAATCAAGTGACAAGAGCAATGGCTTCGGCACACACTGTCTTATGACCAAATAGGGAGTGGAGTGAAAAGGCCTGAGACCACAATATACACCAGAATCTCTGTTGTGGGAGCAGAGAATTTAGGAGTGGTACAGACACTCCTAATGCAGGCAGGTCTAGTCAAATACTCAGTCAAACTGAAGAAACCTGGGATTCAAATTAGTATTTGTCTAACCAAAAATTGTGGTTGAATTTCTGGACAGAGCTGGGTTCTAATTTGATGCAGAAAAAGGCCACCATGAAAACCCACATGGCATAGGACACCGGGAGAGAACAGTGACCTTGGGTAGATCTGGGGACACTTGACTCTTTCCTTCATGGCAGCTAGGATGCAATGCTGTCATGGCTAAATATTTTCCCTTTCTCTCTCTTTTTAAATAAGATTCTCTTGTAGCCCAGGCTGGTGACCTGGGCACTTTAAAATGATTAAATATGATCTGGAAGATACTAAATTATTTTTCAGATATAGGTAGCGCTATTTCACTCACAGATGAACTTTTGGTGCTGCTCTTGGCTTCTGTTTTATACAAAATGCAACTAACCATAAACTAGGCTGCAACCAGTGCTCAACATACATAACCTAAATAAACTGTGAATAAGTAAATGTTTGTAAGAGCATTCTCTCTCCTGATCTAGTGAAAAGAGGAATTTTCTCAGTCTCGTTTTCTTCTTTATTACACTATATTTAAAAGGCAATGCCAATATGCTGTTCTCTCTTTTTAATTAATGTGTATTTCTTCTATACTCAAATGGGTTTGAACTTCTACTTCATCACCCAATAACCATAAAAAGTCTTAAAATGCTTTCTTTACAGAAAATGAGTGACAAATATACCTCCCTATGAATTAAAAATTACACAAGCACTTTGAATCTGAATTAATACTATGGTTTGATCTATATTTAATGACAATCATATTTACTCTAGTGGAATAGAGAGCTATTGTGTGCTTACTGCATATGGATTTTGAAGTATAATTGCCTTCTCAACCATGTTCCAGTCAGCATTAGCAAGATCTTTGTCAAATTTGAGTGCCGTGGCTGTAGACTTGGTTAGCTCTTGAAAGTGTTGGAATGTGTAATAAACCGATTTCTGTTTTGTTGATGTTACATCACGAAGACCTTAGGGGCAAAGAGTACATTTTACATACAACAGAAGGACATAATTTTGATATGAATAATAAAATTTCCTTTTGTTCTTTACTAGTCCACACTAATCATTTGTGGTGTGTGTGTGTTTGTAGTGTAGTGTATTTGCAAGTGTGCAGGGGTACTTGTCTTGTGTGGTTGTATGTGGAAGTCACAGGTTGATATTAAGAAACCACCTGATATTTTGAGACAGGGTCTCTCACTGAATGTGGAGCTCACTATCTGGGATGCACTAGCTGTTCAGTGAGCTCCAGGCATCTGCCTGTATGCTTCCCCAGTGCTAGGGCTACATGTGCATGCCACCATATCTGGCATTTGCTTTTTGCATAGGTTCTAGATCTACACTCATGTCTTTATACTTATGCATGAAACACTTTACCTACTGACGCATCTCCCAGCACTACCACTGAGAATGCTTAAATACTAAAGATTCTACATAAGTTCATTATTGATATAATACTAACATTCAGTGTGTGCACTTGAATACTCCTTTTGAGCTCCAACTGGAAGAGCAATAGTGAAAGTTTATTTAAATACCTACAATACACTAGGAAAAGATGACTCAGCATTTTGTATGTCCTGGTTCTTATTTATCTTGACCATCTTTGATGGTGATTCTTTTATCTCATTTTTCTAGGTGAGGATACTGCACTGTTTGCAACTTGATCTTCTTCCTCTTTTAGGCTTGGATTAGAACTTATACAACTGGCTTTTGTATTTCTCAGGCATCCACACCGAAGTTCTTAGAACTCAGCTTCCAGAATGGCATAGGCAACTTAGCACATCAGATGAACTACCTGTCTGATTCTCTGAGGGTCAAATCCTTCTACTGTTTTCTGTCCTTGAACATACACATCTCTAACTTTTCCAGGAAAACAGCACTTCTTTTCTATTTTATTAGGGTGTGATTTATTTATTTTGGTTTATCTGTGAATCTCACGAATATTTCACTTGACTTATTCACTGCTTACCTTTCTTTATTCCAATATGACCTCGGTCAGCTAACAAATCTTATCTGTCTTCAGAATTTAGTACTTTACAATAGTGCCTAGTATCCAGAGCATTATTGGGCAACACAAATGATTATCTAAAATAAGTTTGTTAGCCTGAATAATTTATACATTTTTATACATAGATTCAATTAGAAAACACTAACATATTTAGATGGATATTTTCTTTTCAGTGTTTCCTAGAGAATTTGGAATAATTTTTCTTTTGTCACCATAGTAAACAGTAGAGCTTACCTAATTTAGTAACTGCCATTGGCAAAATAAATCTATTGACAATCAGGGTAATCAAGCATACTGACACTCCATGAAATAATATCTAGAATTGAAAAAATATATTAAATAAGTATTCAGGATAACTTATTACAATGCATTCTGTATTATGAATTGCACTAGGTTGCTATATGCATATGCTAACAGATGGTTGTAGCAAGTGAAGAAGTTGGATGTCGGGCATGAAAAAAGTGATGTGGAGACTCACTATATTCTTGCACTCATGCATCTTCAGCATCTTTTAGGAAAACAAACAAAAACAGAGTCAGGACTCTGTCTTCCCTCTTGAGGTTTGCAAGATTCTTTGTAATAATCTCACCTTAGATGCAATAAAGGGAGAAACATTCTAGCATGTTCTGTTAGGCACTACTTAGATAACTCTACCTGACAAAATCTTTTGCTTCCTAGCGTTATTAAAGGTAACCACATAGAGTGATACAAGGAAATAGAGCCAACTATCAGCAAGACCCCTCCCTGAGTGAATGGATTCTAGTGTCTTGCAACAGCTACTGCTTAAAAATGATTTATAATTTTTAGTTTGTCTTCATCTGAAACCCCTTAGACCTGTGAAGAAGGCTGGGTGTCCCTAAACTGATAAGGGGATGAAAATCATTGAATTCTCCCCTCCTCTCAGTCTTCCAGATTCTTGGCCAGAAGCCTCACTCAGACCCTTGACTCCTGGCTCTCCCTATAGGTTAGTTCACAACTTTCTAAGGATGAACAATGGACAAAACAAGAACCCCTGCCCCTGGGAAAGCCATATGGGATTGCATTACAAAATCACATTCAACACTGAACAACACTTTCATCATTACTCAAGTAGGAAGTTGTAGCTTTCCTTACTTGAGATTTTTCCTTCTCAGAACCGAGAGAAATGTCAGAGTAGGCAAGCAGGAGGGCCATGTTTATGTTCGGTATGCCTTTCATTTCACTCCAGACCATGATGAATGCCCAGCGCCAGCTGAAGCCATGACCAAGTCGAGATAAAATGGGACTCATTAGTAGAAAGACCAGAAGTCTGGAAGACAAGACACGTTTTTAAGTTACATTTGTGATGGAAATGTCTTCCTGTTTTATCCTTGTGTACTCCCAATGAGTCATATACTGTTGTCATGGCTTCAAAGGAAGCCATGTATCTCAGAGCTATTCATAGAGAGAATGGTTCGTTCTTGTTATTTCTTTCCACTGTTGAGTGGTAGGGTAACTTTGCATCATGTGTGGGTGGTGCTTCCACATGTGGAAGACAAAAGTTAGACATTTTATGGGGCCACAATGAGAAGGGATAAACAGAAAATGAAGTGTTCCAGTTCTTTCACATTCCCCGAGTCATTTCCAATTGTATACCCATTTTATATGATAATTTGGGACAAATACTTGAAACTAGTGGGTTGATGTCAATAAGCTACTTTTCCTAGATGGAAGTAGAAGGTTAGTTGTTTGAGTGACAGATAACTGTGAGAATCTAGTTATGGCCAACTTTCCTGGTGTACATCTCCATGTAATGTAGATGCTTCTATTTCTTAAGATGAAATGGGAACCACAAAAGTTATTGGGTGGAGAAGACATTTGCAAGTAGGCTTTCATTCTGGTTTCCTAAAGAGATATTTCCAATTATGGTTACAAATTCAAAGGAATGAAAATATAATATTGAGCTAATTCCCAAGATAAAATTTCTAATGCTAGATAGAAACTTTGTACAAAGATAGGACATACTGGATGAAATATACCAAATATTGTTAGTAGTTGTCTCTTAGTAATTGTAGATTATGAAGCTTTTTATCTTAAAAAGTTTCCAAAGTGTCTGCATTGCTCTAAAACTGCCAACAAAACTCCTGGGTTTTACTTTGCCAATGATTACTTGAGAAGTTTGAGTCAACTATCTGTTCAATTTGAGGTATGAAATAATTTTGTTATTTTAGAAAATAATCTTTAGATAAATTACTATAAACAAAGTTTGCATGGCATTCTTACCTTAAAACAATCAGGGTGAAGTAGATATTTAATGAATAATAAACATCAGAAAATGATATGTATAAATACGTGTGTGCAGGGATTAGAAGTCCAATGAATGTAAACACCGTAAGAAAACTAATGAAGGACAGACAATTCCAGAATCTGCATGTTTGAGAAGAATAAGATAAAGTTATAATTAATTAACATGTTTATTACAAAGCTCACCTATATGACACATTGTGCAGTTGCCAATAAAATAAAGGTGAACATGGCAGCTAAGACTCCTAAGCAATAATGGAGAGGGTAATACTGTAATCAGATTAATGACTAGCATAATTGTTATTAGAGATCGTTCATCCAGTAACTGATGGAAGCAGATGCAGAGATCCACAGCCAAACACTGCTGAAGAATGGGAGGAGGGATTGTATGAGCTAGGGGTATCATGGTCATGAGCATAGAGGCAGCTGATCTGAGCTCTTAGGAGCTCATGGACTCTGGACCAACAGAGAGCCTGAATGGAGCCAACCTAGACCCTCTGCATGTGTGTGACAGTTGTGTAACTTGGTCTGTTTGTAAGGCTCCTATCAGTGAGATCAGAACCTGTCCCTAGAACTTAGCTAGCTATGGAGAACCTCTTTTCCATGCTTGATTACACAGGGGAAGGAGCTTGGTCCTGCCTCAACTTGATATGAGATGTTTTGTTCAAGTCCATGGGAGGCCTTCTCCTTCCTTAATGGAGATGAGGAGGAGTGAACAGGGACAGGGAGAGGAGTAGATAGGAGCGAGATAGATGGGGGTAGATGGGAAGGAATTGGCAGATAGAAGGGAGGGGAAGCTGTGTTTGGTATGTAAAATAAATGAAAACATTAATTAAATAGAAAAGAAAACTAATGAAGGACAATTCCAGAATCTGAATTTTTGAGAAGAATAAGATATAGTTAATACGCATGCTTATTATAAAGCTTACTTATATAACACATTACACAATTGTCAATAAAGTAAAGGTGAACATTGTATTCATCAACTCTCAATAAGGATTAAAGTTGAACTGTGAAGAGAGGCAAACTAATCTAGGTAATTTTAAAGCAATTTAAATTAGCTTATTTGTTTACATTAGTAACTTTCTTTTTCTACTGAGTCTGAAAGAAATATTTAGGGTGCAGTTATAAGCAACGTAACATGATAACACAGTGACTAAACATTCAGAAACCTTTGTTCATGTAATTTGAAAACACCAATAGTAAAAACGTCTTAAATACTGAGTCTCCCATCCAGGAAATAATCAACTGGAGTGCTGAAATCAATAGAGTAGAAACTAGGAAAACAATACAAAGAGTCAATGTAATGAAGAGTTGGTTCTTTGAGGAAATCAACAAATAGACAAACCTTTATCCAAACTTACCAAACAATAGAGTGTGAGCATGCAAATTAACAAAATCAGAAATGAAAAGGGAGATATAACAATAGACACTGAGGAAATGAAGAGAATCATCAGGTTGTACTTTGAAAACCTGTACTCCACAAAATTCAAAATTTTAAAGGAAATGGACAATTGTTATTAGAGATCGTTAAATTAAATACAGTACAGATAAGCAATTTAAATAGACTTATAACCCTTAAGTAAATAGAAGCAGTCATCAAAAGTCTCCCAACCAAAAAAGTCCAGGTTCAGATAGCCTCAGTGCAGAATTCTACCAGAAATTCAAAGAACAGCTTATCCCAATTGTCCTCATACTATTCCAAGCAATAGAAGTAGAAGGGCCTTTGCCAAACTCTTTTTACCAGGCTTCAATAACTTTGATACCTAAGCCACACAAAGACACAACTAAGCAAAAGAAGTTCAGACCAATATCCTTCATGAACATTGATGCAAAAATGCTCAATAAAATACTGGCAAATTGGATCCAAGAACACATCAGAAAAATCATCCACCATGATCAAGCATGTTTCATCCCAGGGATGCAGGGATCGTTCAACATACAAAAACCCTTCAATGAAATCTACCATGTAAACAAGCTGAGAAACAAAAATCACATGATAATCTCACTAAATGCTGAAAAAGCCTTTGATAAAATCCAACACCCCTTCACGATAAAGGAAGGTCCTGGAGAGATCAGGGATAACAGGAACATACCTAAACATAATGAAAGCTATATATAGCAAACCAACAGCCAACGTTAAACTAAATGGAAAGAAACTCAAGAGGATTCCTCAAAAATCAGTAACAAGACAAGGCTGTCCCACCTCTCCATACCTCTTCAATATTGTACTTGAAGTTCTAGCCAGAGCAATAAGACAACAAAAGGAGATCAAGGGGATACAAAGGAAGAAGCCAAACTTTCACTATTTGCAGATGGTTTCTTTACATAAGTGACCCGAAAAACTGCCGGGGAACTCCTACAACCGATAAACACCTTCAGCCAAGTGGCAGGATACAAGATCAACTCAAAAAAATCAGTAATCCCACTCTATATAGACAATAATAGGGCTGAGAATGAAATCAGAGAAATATCACCCTTTACAATTGCCACTAACAACTTAAACTACCTTGGGGTAATGCTAACCAAACAAGTGAAAGACCTGTATCGCAAGAACTTTGAGTCTTTAAAGAAAGAAATTAAAGAAGACACCAGAAAATGGAAAGATCTCCCATGCTCTTGGACAGGTAGGATCAATGTAGTAAAAATGGCAATCTTGCCTAAAGCAATCTACAGATTCAATGCAATCCCCATTAAAATCCCAGCACAATTCTTCACAGACCTTGAAAGAACAATTCTCAACTTTATATGGAAAAACAAAAGACCCAGGATACCCAAAACAACGCTGTTTACCAAAGCAATGTGCAGAGGCATCACTATCCCTGACTTCAAGCTCTATTATAGAGCCATAGTCCTGAAAACAGCTTGATATTGGCACAAATATAGACCAGTGGAATCGAATTAAACACCCTGATATTAACCCATACATGTATGAATACCTGATCTTTGACAAAGAAGCTAAAACTATACAATGGAAAAAAGAAAGCATCTTCAACAAATGGTGCTGCCATTACTGGATGTTGGCATGTAGAAGACTGCAGATATATCCATGTCTATCACCATGCACATAACTTAAATCCAAAGGATCAAGAGCTCAACATAAATCCAGCCACATTGAACCTCTTAGAAGAGAAATGGGAGGTACCCTTGAACAAATTGGTATAGGAGACTGCTTCCTGAATATAACACCAATTAGTAAATGGGACCTTCTGAAACTGAGAAGCTTGTGTAAGGCAAAGACCCAGTCAACAAGACAAAAAGGCAGCCCACAGATTGAGAAAAGATATTCACTAACCCCACATCTGACAGAGGGCTGATCTCCAAAATTTACAAAGAACTCAAGAAGCAAGTCTCCAAAACACCAAAGGATCCATTCAGAAAGTGGGGGACTGAACTAAATAGAGAATTCTCAATAGATGAGTCTAAAATGCTTGAGAGACACTTAAGTAAATGCTCAACATCATTAACGATTGGGAAATGCAAATCAAAGAACTCTGAGATACCATCTTACTCCTATGAAAATGGCTAAAATCAAAACTACCAATGACAATGTATGCTGCAGAGAATGTGGAGAAAGGGGAACACTTCCCCACTGCTGGTGGGAGTGCCAACTCATACAACCACTTTGGAAATCAGTATGGAGATTCCTCAGGAAAATGGGAATCAGTCTACCACAACACCCAGGAATTCCACTCTTAAGCATATACCCAAAAGATGCACATTCGTACAAGGATGTCTGTTCCACTATGTTCATAGCAGCATTATTTGTAATAGCCCTGAACCTGGCTGCAACTTAGATGCCTCTCAACTGAAGAGTGGATAGAGAAAATGTGGTACATTTACACAATGGAGCATACTATTCAGCGGAAAAATCAAACAGTGGAATCGTGAAATTTGCAGACAAATGGACGGCACCAAAGAAACCATCCAGAGTGAGGTAACCCAGTCACAAAAAGACAAACATTGTATATACTCACTCATATATGGATTTAAGACTTGGATCAGGAGAGTGCCAGCCTACTATCCCACTGCCAGAGAGTCTGGGAAACAGAAAAGACCCTAAGAGAAACATGCATGGTACCCCAGAGAAAGGGAATGAGGCAAGATCTCCTGAGCAGATTGGGACCATGGGGGGAGGGGAGAGGGAGCTGGGAAGAAGAGAAGGGAGGAAGAGGAGAGGAGAGGAGGACATGGGGAGGAGGAAGGCTGAGTCAGGGGCAGAATAGAGGCGTGCAGGATGAGAGATACCATAATAGACAAGTCATTATAAGTTTGAGGAGAGTTCTGGCACTAGTGAGACTTCCAAATATAAGCATGGATGACACCAAGTGGCAAACTAAGCAATAGTGGAGAGACTACCTTAAATGCCCATCCCTGATACTAATTTTGACAACTACCTCATGTGCCTTCCTAGAGCCTCTATCCAGTAACTGATGGAAGCAGACACCCACAGCTAAACACTGAACTGAACCTGGAACCCAGTTGCAGAGAGGGAGGAGTGATGAGCAAAGGGGTCAAGACTGGTCTGGTGAAACTCACAGAAACAGCTGACCTGAACAAGGGGGAGCTCATGGACCCCAGACTGATGGCTGGGAGGCCAGCTTGGGACTGATCCAGACTCCCTGAATTGGGATGTCAGTGAGGAGGCCTAGGCAATCTATGGGGCGTTAGGTAGTAGATCAGAATTTATCCCTGGCATACAAATGGACTTTGCATGCCCACCCTACAAGGAGGGATGCTCTCTCAGCCTGGACTCTAGGCTCTGCCCTGAATGAAATGACAGACTCTGGAGATCCCTCATGGAGGGCCTCACCCTCCATGGGGAACCGAGTGGGGATTGGGGGGACAGGAAGAGGGAGAGGGAGAGGGAGCTCAGATTGACATGTGAAACAAGCTTGTTTCTAATTTAAATAAAAATATCTTTGAGTCCTAAAATCTCTCCCTGATACTGAGATGTTGAATAATAGAGTTAAGCAGTTGAGGCGAAAGTGCTGGAGGTTGGCACAGAAGTGTTGGGGCAGCCATGGCAGATTTCCTCCAAAGCACCTCAGTTCAGGGTTATGGAGGCAAAAGGGCATGCAGTGGTTACAAAATGACCTGAATATGGAGGGATTGGGTAAATAACAAGATGGAACAGGCAGTTAAGGATGACAAGATCAATGGTTTGGCTGAGGGGTTGCAGCGTTGCAAGAAGTGGAGGGAAGGAGAGTTAGAAAAATGTTGGGAAGTGGAGATGCTTTTTCTCTCCACTAGTAGAGATGACTTTCTCCAGGTTGTTGTTGTCCCAGATTTCTACCATCTTTAAGAATAGGGCCTGGTGAATGTTATATTTTCAATAGATTCCTGGCATTGAACTGAGATTATGCAGTAGTTATTTATGTGTCTGTGGAAGTGAGTAGCTTGAGCAAGGTAGTAGGCATGCTCACAGGAGGGGAGACAACTTGGAAGCTGAAAGCCAGAAGAGTTTATGTTTATCAGCATCAGTAGGAATAATGCTGGCCAGAGTCAGAGAGATATTGAAGGGCTCACACACTCACCCACCCCTCTGCTTTGGCAGACATAACAAGCTGCAAAAAAGACCCAGCAAGATGTAGGCTTCTGATTCAGCAACACGTGCTGAGCCTTGACCTTGCCCGACCTTGCCAGAATCACTAGGAAGCCACGTACCCTCCATGTGGAAAGGAACCAATTAGAAGTTAGCTGGCAGGCTATGGATGTACTTTACTGATAATACTGTAATGCAGAACATAGCAACCACCCTGGGAAAGTCTCTAGGCATAGCAACCTTTCTGAAGCTGCAGCTGACCAATCAGCTCAGAACAGGTTGCCCAAGTCCAGAGGTGCACTAGTCCTGAGACTGTTACTATACAACTCGTGGACTCTCAGACTTTCCCCTTGCTCTGCCCCAATATATGCCCTGCCCCACTGGTGCTCAAGGTCCCTTTTGCTCTACCCCCTGTGTTGGAAGGACAGAGGACTTGAGTTAACTCCAGTTAACTCGTAATAAAAAAGACTCTTTGCTTTTGCATCAGAACTGGTCTTTTGGTGGTTTTGGGGGTTCAGAGTCTTGGCATAACAGGCACAACAATATCACAGAGAAATCTTCACTAAAATGGATGCAAGATAGTGGGAAAATAGACCCAATGTAAACTCAAGATTAGGTCATTTGTTTTGTCTAAAATTGTGAAAAACATGAATGTTACCTAGAAATTAGTGGGATAGTGTACATATCATTATCTTACTCTACCATGTTGATATAATTACTGTTGTAATTTCACAGCTTCCGATGTAAAACAAAGTGAAAACAGAATAGCCACTCACTCAATGAGAAATGCTTCAACTCCTGGTTTAAAACTTGTAGAATTTAGAAAAAGTCCCACGGTGGTCACAGTAAATATTCCAGACAATCCAATTATCTCACCTATGTTTAGAATGAACAACAACAACAAAAGGGTTAACTTCAGCAGTAGCTTGATCTCTACTGGATATGAAAATGTCAAATAGTGTGACTTTACCGAGAAGTTATTCCACTTGATTTCACCTAGGAAACATTGCAAGTTGTTACTTCTATTCATAGTTTGCTTTCCCCCTCTCAGATGCAGCCTATATCAAGCAGTAAAATATGTGATGCCCATCTGTGTCATACTTTGGCTTCATATCATCAGCATTTCAAGCATCTCTTCATCTATCCCAGTGAGGCAGAGCATCCTCAGCAGACCTACTGTTCCAGAGGAACTCTGGATGGGTGAATTGGAAATGACTAGGTGAATTCTGTAAGGACATACCCACTTCACACACCTTCCTGAGTGAGGTAACCCAGTCGCAAAAAGACAAACATGGTATGTACTCACTCATATATGGATTTTAGATATGGATCAGGATAGTGCCAGTCTGCACTTCCACAGATAGAGAGTCTGGGAAACAGGAAAGAACCTAAAAGATATGCATATATGCATAGTACCCAAGAGAAGAGGATGGAGACAAGATCCTCTGAATGGATGGGGAACAGGGCGGGGGGGTAGTGGGACCTGGGAAGAATAGAGGGGGTAAAGAGGAAGGGAGTTGGTCATGGGGGAACAGGAAGTTGAGGGGGTGGGGGTAAAATAGGGGGAAGAGGGAATCATAGGATCGAAGACAGATCAGGCACCAGAGTGACCTCGAGTGATCTAAAGGTATAACATCAATTGGCAAGCTAAGCAATAGTGGAAGGACCACCTCGAATGCCCATTCCTGATAATGAACTTGATGTCTATAACTATCCGGGAGCCTTCATCCTGGGACTGATGGAAGCAGAGGCAAACACACAACTAAGCACTGAACTGAACCCAAGGAACCCAGTGACACAGAGAGAGGAATGATGAGCAAATTGGCAAAGAATGGGCTGGCAAAACCAGCAGAGACAGCTGATCTGAACAGGGGAGTGCTCTTGGACCCCAGACCGACAGTGGGGAGGCCAGAATGGGACTGATCTGGACCCCCCAAATGTGAGTGTCAGTGAGAAGGCCTGGACAACCTATGGGGCTCTGAGCTGTGGATCAGTGTCTATCCCTGGTATACAATCTGTCTTCATGTGCCTATAGCACAAAGAGAGATGCTCTCTCAGCCTGGACTCTTAGGGGAGTGCCTTGACCCTACCAAGAGTAAAATGATAGAATCTAGACATCCCCTATGTGGAAGGATTTGGCAATAGGGTGGGAGGGAGGGTGGAAGGGGAGTGCGGGAGGAGGGGAGGGAGAGGGAACCGGGATTGACATGTAAAACAAGCTATTTAAAATTAAAATAAAAAAAAAGATAATAGAAGAGCTGTTTTGTAGTAGAAGTTAGGAATTGACGACAACAAAGTCATAACATGGATTTACTCCTGTTTAATTTTTTATTGGTGCATTTAGTTCAGAAGAACTGAAAAGTATAGAAAAAACTGTTGATGGATTTTTTAGGTAGGTAATATACTTGTAAAAACATCAATTATGTGGTATATATAGCACAAAGAGAAAGCTCATAATCCCATTTCTAAGGCTGCAAATATAATTGTAAAGAAATTTTTGGAAGCCAGGTATGGTGCTGCAAACATGTAATCCCAACGCTTGGAGGCAAAGGTAGCAATGGGGGCAGGGGCGGAGGCAGACCAGGGGCAGGGGCATGGGCAGAGACAGGAGGATCTCTGTGAGTTTAAAGCCTGCATAATCTGCACAGTTCATTTCAAATGATATTAAAGGAGACTGGGTTTGTTGGAATGCATCTCTATAGGAATTCAACTATATACATTTATACTATACATATGGAATTTACATCAACTGACAGATAACCCTTCATTGTTTTAGCTATAAATGGAAATTTTCTCCATTGCGGTTTATTCAAATTCTATAGATCTCAGTAACTTTTGTACTTTTCTGTGTAGGTCCAAGCCTCCTAAGTTTATAGCTTGAAAGTTTGTAAATTTCTGTTAATGTAAAATAAATCAAAATTCCCTAATACAGAGGGCTTAGTGTCTCTGTAGAGCGTCTACAGTCTGTCTGGTAAGTAAATTCTTTATATATCTTATAACCTAAACATGTAACATTTTTTTTACTCAAAACATTTGTACAATTGGTTATGAAATTCTTTCTTTAGGAAAGGTTTCACCAGATTCCTTTTTATTTTATTATTTGTTTTCTATATCTAGGAACATTGTTCTCTGTGCGCAGATATTTACATTTTTTACGTTGGATGTTTCTATGTAATTTAGTGTGAAGCATGCCCCCCATTCACTTACAAACGTAAAAGATGAGATAGAGAACCGAAAAGACAAGAGTGATGTGATTGACATCATCACCAAAAACGGTAGACATCCATAGCTGAATCAGTTTTGTGTTTAGGATTCCAAACAAGAAGCTTTCCACAAGATATTCCCAAGCTGTAGCTATGACATTATGGGCTATAGGAAAATAGAGAAATGGAAAAATGTCAATAGAAGTCACCTGGCCTTCATATTAAATGATGCTCTAATCAACTTTTTTTGTCATTATTAAAATTAGCTTATTGTTGTAATGAGCGTTGGAGTACAGACACTCCTTCATGACACCCAGTTTACTGAACTATATGTTAGTCCTGTTTGTAGTTTCTTAGGGACCCTTAAAACCATTTTCCTCTGACTGAATTAGTTTATGCCAAGGGTGCATGGCAGTGACCTTTTCCTCACATACTTACCAACATCTGTTAAGTCTTCCATTTTTAATGAACTTTTTTCTAAATATAACAATACAATCTGTTCAGTCTGTATAAGGCTACTTGTGCGGAAGGAATGAGGAAATGATGTAATTGTATTATAATCTCAAAAACAAAATAAAAATGATTTTTAAAAACATTAAATCATTATTTTATGTGGAACTATGTTTTGGCTACATATATGTCTGTGTGTACCACATCTGTACCTGGTGCCTGAGAGGGTCAAAAAGTGTTGGATCTCTTTAAATTAGAGTTACAAATGGTTGTAAACCAACATGTGGGTTCTGGAAATAAAACTGAGGTCCTCTGGAAGAACAGACAGTGAGTGTTCTTAACCAGCGAGCCTTCTCTCCAGTTCCAAGTTCTGTTTCTTTGTTTTACAAATGTCATTTGTAAAATTTGAGGTGATATTGTATGTTTGTATATCCATAATAACTGATGACATTAGTGGCTGAGTGTTTTATGTGTCTATCGTACATTTGTATGTCTTCCTTGAGAAATATCTGTTCAGCTCTGTCTTGGTTACTCTTCTATTGTTGTGAAGAGACACCATGATCAAGGCAACTCATAAAAGAAACCATTTAATTGGGGACTGCTTACAGTTCCAGAGGGTTCATCCATAGCAGTCATGGAGGAGAGAATGGTGGCAGGCAGGCATGGTGCTGGAGCAGTAGCTAAGAGATTTTATCCTGCTCTGCAAGCAGCAGGCAGAGAGAGGGAGAATGATGCTGATGTGAGTATTTGAAACCTCAAAGTCTACTCCCAGGCACACACCTCCTACCACAAGACCACACCTTCCAATCATTTTGTAACAGTCCACTGACTAGGGATCAAGCATTCAAATATATGAGCCTATGGGGACCATGTTCATTCAAACTACCACAACCTTTCTTTGTCCACTTAAATTTATTATTATTAGCAGCAGCAGCATCACCATCATTATCACTATCAATATCATTAATGTGTATGTGCATCTGAACATGCTACAGCATGCATGTGGAGATCAGACGACAACTTTGTAGTGTCAGTTCTCTCCTTCTACCTTTATATGGCTTCTAGGGATCAAATTCAGCTTACCAGGCCTATGTGTCAAGTTCCTTTATTCACAGATTGTTCTCACTGACCCTGACCTCCTAAAATTGCTAATGCATCTTTCCTAGTATGGAAAAAAACACTTAATGTCCATCAGTAAGTAGATGAACAAAGAGCATTTGGATCCTGGTTGGTGGCACACACTTTTAATCCCAGTACTTGAGAGGCAGAGGCAGGGGAATCTCTCTGAGTTTGAGGGCGCCAGGTCTACATAGCAAGTTCCAGGATAGCTAGGGCTATTCTCTAAACCCTGTCTTGAAAAACCAAAACCAAAAAAAATGAAACAAAAAATCCAAATAATTTGATCTATATCTACACAGGAATAACATTCAGCTTTAAAAAGAAGGAAATTCTGTCACCTAAGAGGCATGCTAAGTGAAAAAAGCCAGATACAGAAAGACACAAATATCAAAATACCACATGATCTCTCTCTCTCTCTCTCTCTCTCTCTCTCTCTCTCTCTCTCTCTCTCTCTCTCTCTCTGTCTCTCACACACACACACACACACACACACATACACACACTGGTATACATACAAGGACACGTGGTGCAGTAAGCACTAAAGGTCACATTTGGTCACTTGGAAAGCTTCTTTTGTCACATGGGGTAGTCTTGGAGATACAGAAATGATCAAGGACTATGAAGTCCCAGGCTTGGAACAGTTATTCTAGATGTGTTGTAATATGACTAGGAAAGAGGACAAAATAATCCTTCTGAGCCAGGGATTTCGATCTCAAATGTCCTACATGGGTATGTGTTTTGAATTTTTGCTTCCCAGTTTGTGGCACTGCTTTGGGAGCTGTAGGGCCTTTAAGAGGTGGGATCTGGCTAGCTCAAGTAAGCCTCTAGAGGTAAACGCTGACTCCTGTCCTTCTCTCTGCACCTTTCTTCATCACTTGCAGCAAGCCCCTGCCACTGCATAGTGTTAGTACCCCATGTTTTCTCATTGTGATTAACTGCAACCCTCTGAAACCACAAGCCAAAATCAATCCTTACACACACACACACACACACACACACACACACACACACACACACACACAGAGTTACCGTAAGGTATTTAGGCAGAGCCCCACAGAAGTCACTAATATAAGGTCTCTGCCCAGTCAGTCCCTTATATTTTATTGTCTTGTCAAACTGACTGACAATAGTTGCTTTCTCTTACCAAAGCAATTCTTCATTAGATATTTCTGTACAGAATTTTGTTTCTCTGATTTCTTCTTAAGTTCTAAAAATAGTTTCTCTTTTATTGCTTATTGTTATTGATTTGTTTTTTGCTTGTTCATTTGTCCATTTGTTCAATTGTGTTGAGATAATCTCATATAGCCCAAGCTGGAACTGAATTTAATATGTAGCTAAGACTTTTTAGTGCCTGATCCTCCTGCCTCTACCTCCCATATGTTGACTCAGTTGGGCAATGAATCTTGACGTGATGCTCTGGGATGGCTGAAATGGGGAGAAAATTCCTTTATGAATCCTTGTCTACACATGTCCATTGGCAGGTATGGCATCATCAAGTTTGCCAAGGGAGTTGGATTCCTTCCCACCTGGACTCATTCCCATAGCTAAGAAAAGAGTATGAATCTTAAACCTGCCCAATAGAAAGAGGAATGTCTCTGGGGATAGTTAGGATGTGCCATGGGGATTCTGTTAATGACCCCGAAGGCACATGAGCTCTAAACATGCAACTGACTGTGGCTGAGTCCAGCACCACACACCACTGGAAGAGGAGACAATGACTTGTGAAGCATGAAGGATTCTGCTCCTAGAAGCATCCAGCTTGACAGTGGCTATCTCTTTTAAAACAGGAAAACAGATTTTGGCAAGTAACAAGTTTGCTGACTGGATATATGAAGCCAGGAAAAGCCTCAAAATGAATTTCTTGGAAACTATCCTTCTGAAAGATTAAAAAAGAGAATGAGGATTTGTTCCATTGTTTTGTTATCAAAACTACTTGCAGGCTCTAAGAATGATGAACCCTGAGGTATCAGAGAAGACCTATCACAGAGTGGACATCAGTAAATGATAGTTGATGAATGAATTAACGGTGGCATCAGTGCCTTCTTACTACATTTTCCCTTTGACCACTTGACAGTGAGGGTCAGTAAGATCCTCTTGATTAGACTGTAGACATAATTTCTCATGACATATCTTCCTAACTGTAATGCATTGTTGTACCTGTGTTTTTTGGGGTATTCATTTGTGGGTGACTCTTGAGGTTTTAAGAATTTCCTGAAGATAGCAATGTCTCTGTTTCTCTCTTAGCTGTCTGTGGGGAAGGTTTGATTCGAATGAAGTCCTGTGGTGAAAGCTCTCTCAGTGATTTCCTAGTACTCTGGAAGAGGTTTTATGTGTGATTGTTTGCTTTTTCATACAGAACAGATGGCAAATTTTAAGCTTGTGACTTTCTATATGAAACAGGGATTCTGGGCTCACTAATCAGTTTCCAAGATGACATGGCCTGGGTAAACAGATACTGAATAATGTTCTAGTGACTTCTTGTTTACAATTCTTGAGGGCTGAAGGCTGGAGGCAGAGGCTCTTTCCAACTAAGTGAGGCAGCTGTCTTCTACCTGGATCAGTCACCTTAAGAAAGGGTAAGAGGTCTGGTGCTTTGAGGATGGGCTTGTTGGGGAAGAAGAATCCCCATGTCTTCACTGACATATAAACAATTAAGACAGAGGTTGGTGGAAATAGAGTAAAATGAAGTTGCTCGTGCTCCCTCCACAAGAATGTGCTCTTCTAATAAACTGCCATATTGATTTTCAAAGCGGGTATACAAATTTGCACTCCCACCCACAGTGGAGAAGCATTCCCCTTACTTCACAACCTCTCCAACATAAGCTGTCATTAGTGTTTTTTATCTTAGCCATTCTGACAGGTGTAAGATGGTATCTCAGAGTCATTTTGATTTGCATTTCCCCAATGACTAAGGATGCTGAAAAGTTGTTTAAGTGTATTTTGACAATTTGAGATTCTCTCTTTGAGACATCTGACCACGGGACAGAGAATTTATGCAGTGCTTGGTCGCGATGTTTAAGATTTGGGTTTGTTCTTTGATCAGCAATGGTGTCATGACTTAAAGACATGCCAGGGCAATGATGGCACAAAGCTCACTAGAGTAACCAATCAGTATCTGATTTGACTAAAGGTCCAATTCATGAAATGAAACCCATATACATCAATGCTTGGGTGGCCAAGAACTGGAGGCTAGGTAACCCAGGGACCTTATATTAAAAAAGCAATGAAATAAAAAAAAAACTCCTAATGATATTCTGCCATACTCATAGATCATCCACCACCAGAGATGCTTCCACCTGCACCAGATGGGAATGAATACTGAGACCCATAGCCAGATATCATGTAGTGCGTGAGAGACCTTGGAACACTCAGTCCTTCATGGGCTGTCTCCATCGAATCCCTCCCCTCATGTCTGGAGGAACACTGCAGAAAAGGAGGCAGAGTGTAAGAACCAGAGGGAATGGAGGATGCCAAGAAAGCCAGGCCCTCTTAATCAACACGATCAATGCTTATATGAACTCTTGGAGATTGAGGCAACATGTCCAGGGTCCACATGTATCAGATCCTCTGATATTAGTGTTTTAATGGGATTCCTGAATGTGTGAACAGGTATGTGTCTGATTCTTATGTCTTCTCTTGGGCTCTTTTCCTACTATCGGTTTCTTTTGTCTAATTCCAATGTGTTTATTTTTGCTTTATCTTATTATATCTTATTGTTATCCCTTAAAAGTCTGTTCTTTTCTAATGAAAGACAGAAAGGGAGTGGGTCCAGATGGGAGGGGGTGTGGTGAGGCAGTGGGAAGTGTAGAAGGAGGGGAAACTGGTTAGGATATTATGTGAGGAAAAAATCTATTTTCAATAAAAAAATTAATATGACGTTAAAAATGTGCTCCTCTGGTGTTCATGGAAATATCAATTGGGATTTTTCTTAATTTCCAAGATGGGGATATTAAAAGGATCACATTTCAACAAAATGTAATTAGGAATCATATAAACGCTTTGTTCACATCCACACTTCCTGATTCTTCTTTAAACTTTCCACCAACTAGGGACTAAACACTCAAACATCTGAGCCTATTGGCAGCCATTTTCATTGAAGTCACCACATCCTCAACTAGGACAATGCCACTGAGGGCCTCAGAAGCTAGTGAGTGGCATAGTGCATGCTACCCAGGTCTTGAGATAATACTTTTATTGCTTTCCCCAAACCTGTACAGATGCTGATACAATAAAAGACAACTACCTTCTTAAGAATTATGAAAATATTTTTAATCTTGGAAATCTTTAGAGTCCTGTGGAATTCTTTCTCCCATTACCCACTGGCTCAGAGACTACACATTGAGAATGATGTTCTAGATTTGATCAGAGATGAGAAGTGAGAAGCTGTGGCATGTTGGGAACATTAGATTTCTTTTCTTCGGTGATAACTGCACCGTTTATCATCCTTCATAATGCATACCTACTATTTATTCTATACACACACGTGCATATGATACACTTGAGATTCAGGGTGATGTGTAAAAGCTATGTTGGACAGCTAACGTGCACACTGCAGTCCCTTCTTCCAAGCTCTGCTCCTGGCTCTGTAGCCGAATAAGTAACTCATTCTTTCTCCTTTAGAGAAACTCTTAGGAGATTGTGCCAAGGCAGAGGAGAAGGAGCTTCCTTATCTTCCTGTGACTGGATGCATGACTGGCTTGTCTTCTAAGCTGTTTTTTTAATTTCATTGTTTTGTTTCTATTTTGTAAGGGAGAGGTTGGGAGTGCTTCACAGGAGAAAACAAAATGACAGCAGCAGTGATAACAACATCCCATCACATCATTGTTCAGAACAGGCCTGAGGACAGCTGCTCTAACAGATAACATCATGGGAAGTTTCACTCCAGTCTGCAGCAGAGTCACAACATGCTACATAAGAAAGAACGTTCTACATAAAGGTCAAGTGATTAAGTTTAGTCAATACTTGACACTTTCTATAAGCATAATTTATAATAAGATACAACATTCATGACCACTTTCAAAGAAAAGAATAATTCACATTTGAAGGAGTTAAACAACATGTCCTTACCTAGGGTATGGTTTGTCTGTTTGGCCTTGAAGTTTATTTTCACAACACCACTATACATAATTAAGGATATAACTGAAGTCATTAGACTCTCCCCATTAATTAAGTTTGCGAGGCTTCTAGAAAGACCTACGTAAGTCAGAGAAAAGAAAACCTCATAAATATTAAGAATGCAATTGCATTAGCATGCAGGACAGTATTCTTTGCTATGGATTTGTGTTATCTAAACCACTGTCACGTTGGGAAAAAACAGTAAATTTAGTTATTTACCAGCTCCAAGTCTTTATCATCATAATCAAATACTAAATTAACTATAGTCAATTATGTTTATGTAAATCAGATAACTAACTTGAGAACTTGTTCATTGTTTAAAATCATTGGTGACATCATCAAATTTATTAATGTAAAGAATTTAATTACTTGACTTACAAGCCAATTCCTTATAATTCATATGTATTTAAGGTGAGACAAAAATGATGACACAAGGAGAGCAAAGTCACAGGCCAAGGTCTTACAAACCAGAATCAAAGTAAAACATTAACATATTTGTCTCGATAAAATTAAAAACTGTCAAAAAATTAAAAACTATCTGACTTTTCTGTGTATTCTATTCAACGTTATTAAAATTCAAGTTCCATGGACAGAAAACATTCTGATATGCCCTATTTCCATCCTAATTTTCTTCTAATTATCATGGGATTCTAAGCTTAGGCAACTTCCAGTTATACATTCCGTTTGCCATTAAGTATGACAGCACTGGCAAGATGGTAGGTCTGGAAACTTTTGTGATTTGGGAGACAAAGGGCAATGACTGCAGCCACACCTACATATGGTCAGTTTGCTGATAGGAAAAACAAAGTCTGAGCATCATGTTCCTCTAATAACGTCATAACTTGTGTTAGTTTTCCAGTTCCTTGCTCTCCCAGTAGCCATGCCTATTTCTCAACCTTCCCAATGCTGTGACTCTTTAACATAGTTTCTCATGTTGTGGTGACCCCAGTCATAAAATTAGTTTCATTTCTACTTCATAACGGTAACTTTGATATTGCTCTAATTGTAATGTCAAGGTCTGTGTTTTCTAAGGGTTGTAGGCAACCTCTGTGAGAAGGACATTTGACTCTCAAAGGGGTTGTGACCCACAGGTTGAGACCCACTGCTCGAACATTACACAAGAAGATCCTGTATATGTGGTTACCATATTGGTGGAAACGGAGACCTATGCCTCTTTTCTCTTGCACACTAGTAATCATCATGGCAGTGTCCCTCCCTCCCAGTGATACTACAGAAAATTGGGAGGTATATGAAGGAAAGGTAGATCACTTGGTACCCAGATGCTCATGTGTCTGTTGAATGAAGGTTAATGAGTAAACTAGCCAAGATCAGCAACCCTGGTTTATACTCTTTTTTGTTTTTGTTTTTAGATAATTTAATTTAAATTAGAAACAAGCTTGTTTCACATGTCAATCCCAGTTCCTTGTTCCTGCCCTCCTTCTTTGCCCTCCTTCAAATCCCCACCCAATCCCCACTTTCCTCCCCAGGGAGGATGAGAACCTCCATGGGGGAATCTCCAGAGTGTGTTATTTCATCCAGGGCAGGGCTTAGGTCCACCCACATGTGTCCAAGATGAGAGAGCCTCTCTCCATGTGGAATAGGTTCCCAAAGTTCATTGGTATGCCAGGGATAAATACTGATCTACTACCCGAGGCCCCATAGACTGCCTTGTAGATTGTCTTCACTGAAACCAAAATTTAGAGGGTCTGGATAAGTCCCATGCTGGCCTCTCAGCCATCAGTCTGGGGTCCATGAGCTCCCCCTTGTTCGGGTCGGCTGTTTGTGTGGGTTTCACCAGCCTGGTCTCGACCCCTTTGCTCACCGCTCCTTCCTCTTTGCAACTGGGTTCCAACAGTTCAGTTCAGTGTTTAGCTGTGGGTGTCTGCTTCTGCTTCCATCAGTCACTGGATGAAGGCTCTAGGATGGCATATAAGGTAGTCCTCAATCTCACTGGGGAAGGGTTTTTAAAGTAGCCTGTCCATTATTGCTTAGTTTGCCAGTTGGTGTCATCCTTGTAGATTTCTGGAAATCACATTAGTGCTAGATCTCTCCCCAAACCTATAATGACTCCCTCTATTATGGTATCTCTCATCTTACTCTCCTCTATTTGTCCCTGGACTCAACCTTCCTTTTCCCCCATGTCCTCCTCTCCCCTCCCCTCCCCTCCCCTCCCCTCCCCTCCCCCAATGCTCCCAATCTGCTCAGGAGATCCTGTCCCATTCCCCTTCTCTGGGGTACTTGCATATCTCTCTTAGGGTCCTACCTGTTTCCCAGACTCTCTGGCAGTCATACTACAGGCTGGCACTCCCCTGATCCATGTCTAAAATCCATATATTAGTGAACACATGTCCTATTTGTCTTTTTGTGTGTGGGTTACCTCAATCAGGTTTCTTCTAGTGCCATCCATTTGCCTGCAAATTTCAAGATTCCATATTTTTCTACTTAGCAGTACTCCATTGTGTAAATGTACCACATTTTCTCTATCCACTCTTAAGTTGAGAGGTATCTAGTTGCTTCCAGGTTCTGGCTATTACAAATAATTCTGCTACAAACATAGTGGAACAGATGTCTTTGTTGTATGGATGCACATCTTTTGGGTATATGCCTAAGAGTGGAATTGATTCCCATTTACCTGAGGACTCTCTATAATGATTTCCAAAGTGACTGTATGAGTTGTCACTCCCACCAGCAGTGGAGGAGAGTTCCCCTTTCTAGACATTCTCTCCAGCATAAACTGTCATTGGTAGTTTCGATTGTAGCCATTCTGACAGAAGTAAGATGATATCTCAGAGTTCTTTGATTTGCATTTCCCTAATGGTTAAGGATGTTTAGCACTTACTTAAGAGTCTCTGATTTCTGTAGACCACTTTTTGATAGGATCCTTTGGTGTTTTGGAGACTTGCTTCTTGAGTTCTTTGTAAATTTTGGAGATCAGCCCTCTGTCAGGTGTGGGGTTGGTGAATATCTTTTCCCATTCTGTGGTCTGCCTTTGGTCTTGTTGACCGTGTCTTTTGCCTTACAGAGGCTTCTCAGTTTCATTCACTAATTGTCGATCTCAGTGTCTGTGCTACTGGTGCTATGTTCAGGAAGCAGTCTCCTGTACCAATTCATTCAAAGGTACCTCCTACTTTCTCTTCTAAGAGTAGTTGCTAGATTTATGTTGAGGTCTTTGATCCATTTAGATTTAAGTTTTTTATTTATTTTTAAATTTAAATTAGAAACAAGGTTGCTCCACAAGTCAATTCCAGGTCCCTCTCCCTTTCCCTCCCCTCCTCCCGTGCCCTCCCCGTAACCCCCCCCATATCCCCTCATTTCCCCAGGGAGGGTGAGGCCCTCCTTGGGGGTATCCATAGTCTGTCATTTCATCCAAGGCAGGGCCTAGACCCTCCCCCAAGAGTTCAGGGTGAGAGTGCATCTCACATTGTTGGATGGGAGTCCAAAGTCCATTTGTAAACTCGGGATAAATACTGATCTACTGCCCAAGGCTCAATAGATTACCTAGGCCTCCTCACAGACACCACCATTCAGTCTTCTACATGCCATTATCCAGTTATGTCAGCACTATTTGTTGAAGATGCTTTCTACTTTCCATTGTATAATTTTACCTTTGTTGTCAAAAATCAGGTGCATGAACATGTGTGGGTTAATATCAGGGTGTTCAATTCAATTCCATTGGTCTACCTGTCTATTTTTGTGCCAATACCAAGCTATTTTTAGGACTATGGCTCTATAATGGAGCTTGAAGTCAAGGAAGGTGATATCTCTGGACATTGCTTTGTTGAACAGGGTTGTTTTGGGTATCCTGGGTCTTTTGTCTTTCCATGTAAAGTTAAGAATTGTTCTTTCAGGGTCTGTGAAGAATTGTGCTGGGATTTTGATGGGGATTGCATTGAATCTGTAGATTGCTTTTGGCAAGATTGCCATTTTTACTACATTGATCCTACCTATCCAAGAGCATGGGAGATCTTTCCATTTTCTGGTGTCTTCTTTAATTTCTTTCTTTAAAGACTCAAAGTTCTTGCGATACAGGTCTTTCACTTGTTTGGTTAGCATTACCCCAATTAATGCAATTGTTTGTGCAAAAATGCAATTGTTTGTGGCAATTGCAAAGGGTGATGTTTCTCTGATTTCTTTCTCAGCCCTTTTATTGTCTGTATATAGTAGGAATACTGACTTTTTTAGTTGATCTTGTATCCTTCCACTTTGATGAAGGTGTTTATCATCTGCAGGAGTTGCCTGGTAGAGTTTTTCGGGTCACTTATATAAAGTATCATGACATTTGAAAATAGGGAAAGTTTGAGTTCTTCTTTTCCACTTTGTATCCACTTGATCCCCTTTTGTTGTCTTATTGCTCTACCTAGAACTTAAAGAACAATATTGAACGGGCTTGGAGAGAGGGGACAGTCTTGTCTTGTTACTGATTTTAGAGGAATTGTGCTGAGTTGCTCTACATTTAGTTTGATGTTTGCTGTACATACTTTTTATTATGTTTAGGTATGTTCTGTTATCACTGATCTCTCCAAGACCTTTATGAAGGGATGTTGGATTTTGTTAAAGGCTTTTTCAGTATCCAGTGAGATGATCATGTGATTTTTGTTTCTCAGCTTGTTTATAGGGTGTATTACTTTGAAGGATTTTCATATGTTGAACTATCCATGCATCCCTGGGATGAAGGCAACTTGATCATGGTGGATGATTTTTCTGATGTGTTCTTGAATTTGATTTGCCAGTAGTTTACTGAGTATTTTTGTATCAATGTTCATGTGGGATATTGGTCTAAAGTTCTCTTTCTTAGTTGTGTCTTTGTGTGGCTTGGGTATCTAGGTTATTGATGCCTCGTAAAAAGAGTTTAGCAATGAATCTTCTGCTTCTATTGCATGGAATACTTTGAGGAGAATTGGTATTAGTTGTTCTTTGAATTTCTGGTAGAATTCTGTACTGAGGCCATCTAACCCTGGGTTTTTTTTTTTGGTTGGGAAACTTTTGATGACTGCTTCTATTTCATTAGGGTTTATAGGTCTATTTAAATTGCTTATGTGTTCTTGATTTAATTTTGGCAAGTATCCAGAGAATTGTCCATTTCCTTTAAATTTTCAAATTTTGTGGAGTACAGATTTTCAAAGTATAGCCTGATGATTCTCTGGATTTTCTCAGTGTCCCTTGTTATGTCCCCCTTTACATTTCTGATTTTGATAATCTATATGTTCACACTGTGCTATTTGGTAAGTTTGGATAAAGGTTTGTCTATCTTGCTGATTTTCTTCAAGAAGCAACTCTTCTGTTACATTGATTCTTTGTATTGTTTTCCAGTTTCTACTTTATTGATTTCAGCCCTCAACTTGATTATTTCCTAGTGTCTACTCCTCTGGGTTGAGTTTGCTTCTTTTGGTTCTAGAGCTTTCAATTGTGCTGTTAATTCTCTAGTGTAACTATTTTCCAGTTTCTTCATGTGGGCACTTAGTGCTATGAACCTCTTAGCACTGCTCTCAAAGTGTCTTGTAAGTTTGGGTATGTTATGTCTTGGTTCTCATTGAATTCTAGGAAGACTTTAATTTCTTTATTTCTTCTTTGACCTAGGAATGGTGCAATTGCATTATTCAATTTCCATGAGTTTGTCGGGTTTCTGCAATTTGTTTTGTTGTTGAATTTTAACTTTAAAGCATGGTGGTCTGATAAGATACATGGAGTTATTCCAATTTTTTGTACCTGTTGAGGTTTGCTGTGTTGCCAAGCATGTGGTTGATTTTTGAGAAGGTTCCATGTGGCACTGAGAAGAAGGTATATTCTTTTTTTATTTGGATGGAATGTTCTATAGATGTATGTTAAACCCAATTGTGTCATAACTTCTATCAGTCCCTTTGCTTCTTTGTTGAGTTTCTGTCTGGTAGTCCTATCTAGTGGTGAGAGTGGGGTATTGAAGTCTCCTAGTATAAGTGTGTGAGGTTTTATGTCTCTTTTGAGTTTTAGTAATATTTTTTTACGAACTTGGATGCCTTTGTATTTGGGGCATAGATGTTCAGAATTGAGACTTCGTCTTGGTGGATTTCTCCTATGATGAGTATGAGATGACCTCCTTCACTTCTTTTGATTAGTTTTAGTTTGAAGTCCCTTTTTTTAGACATTAGGATAACTAGACCAGCTTGTTTCTTAGGGCCATTTTCTTGGAAAATCTTTTCCCAACCCTTAGCTCTGAGGTAACGTCTGTCTTTGAAGCTGAGGTGTGTTTCTTGAATTCAGCAGAAGGATGGGTTCTGTCTCTGAATCCATTCTGTTAGCCTCTGTCTTTTTATGGGCAAGTTAAGACCATTAATATTGAGAGATGTTAATGACCATTGATTGCTCATTCTTGTTATTTTGGAATTGGTGTTGGTGGTGGTGGAATTGTGTGTGGATTTCCACCTCCCTTTTTTTTCCTTTAACTGTTGGTAAAGTGGAATTATCTATTCCCTTTGTTTTTTCTGGTTGTAGTTAACTTCCTTGGGTTGGAGTTCTTCTTCCAGAACTTTCTGTAGGGCTGGGTTAGTGGATATACATTGTTCAAATCTGGTTTTATCATGCAATATCTTGTTTTCTCCATTTATAGTGATTGAAAGCTTTGTTGGGTGTAGCAGACTGGGCTGGCATCTGTGGTATCTTAGTGTTGGTATAATATCTATCCATGACTTTCTGACTTTCAGAGTTTCCATGGAGAAGTCATTCCATGGAGGTGTAATTCTGATATATTTGCCTTTATATGTTACTTGACCTTTTTCCTTAGCTGCTCTTAATATTCTTTGTTTATTCTGTATGTTTGGGGTCTTGATTATTGTGTAGCAAGGGGAAATTATTTTGTGGTCCAAACTATTTGGTGTTCTGTAAGCTTCTAGTACTTTCATTGGCATGTCTTCCTTTAGGTTGGGAAAGTCTTCTTCTGTTTTTGTTGAATATATTTTCTGCCCCTTTGAAGTGGGTTTCTTCACCTTCTATACCTATTATTCTTAGGTTTGATCCTTTCACGGTGTCCCAAATTTCCTGGATATTTTGTATTAGGGATTTGTTGGACTTAAGATTTTCTTTGGTTGATAAATCTATTTCTCCTAGTGTATCTTCAACGCTTGAGATTCTCTCTTCTATCTCTTGCATTCTGTTGCTTGCATCTGTAGTACCTGACCATTTATTTGCCCAGCTTTTCTATATACAGCATTCCAGCATTCCCTCAGACTGTTTTTTTTTTGTCTCTATTTCGGCTTTTAACCCTTGCACTATGTGAATTGTTTCTTGCAATTTTTGCTCTGTCTTTTCTTCCATTTCTTGAATTTTTTGTTTTTTTCCATCTCTTAAAGGGATTTTCTCATATCCTGTTTGAGGACCTCTATCATTTTCATGAAGTTGCTTTTCAGGTCATTCTCTTCTGCTTCGTCTGCACTGGGATCTTCGGTTCTTGCTGATGTAGAGTCTCTATACTCTATTGGTGTCATATTGTTTCTTCTGTTGCTGAGCGTGTTTTTATATTGTTTCCTTCCCATCCCTTCTTCCAGTGGATGCAGAAGGAGTCTCTTCCTCTCCCTGGTGGGTATGGGATCAGGGTTCTTTTCTGGTGGGTGCAAGAAGGTCCAATAGTGTGGTATCTGCAGCATTTCACCATACCCAGGCCTCAGTTTGCTGCACATAGGGCATAGGAAGGTATCCTGGAAACAGTCCCAGGCTTACCTTGTCCCAGTCGCTTGGGCAGAGAAAGGGACTATGATGCTGTCAGTCTCTGGATGGCTCCTGCTGGAATGGGAACCACAGTGTAGTCCCTGAGACTCTGCTGGTTGTGCACAGGGTACAGGAAAGTGACTTGGTTATCCTCTTAAAACTGCCACAACCATGAGCGATAATGAACAGCCATTGCTTTATGATACCACATCTGGGGTGTTCAGCAAAACCTGTTGTATAATGACTGCTGTTTACAAAATACAACCATCTCAGCAAACACTGACTTCTTTATTTGAATACCAAATTTGGAGTCAAGGAAGGAAAAAATAGCTCAAGACAATGTACATGTACTCATGCCCTCTACAGAACTGGGCTCTCCACCATAATGAGATTTTCTTGTGAATAATGTACAATTATATATGACTTATAGAAGTACAAAAACAAAAAAACATATTTATAGAGTCTTAAAATATTTGGAGACAGAGTACACTCAGTAAAGTGCTTGTGTGTAACCATGAGGACCTGAGATGGATCCCCTGATCCCACGTGATGCATCTGACCACAATGGTATGTACCTGTAATTTTAGTCCTAGGAAGCTGGAGGGAACAGCCAGCTCACTGGCTCCCTTGGCCAGCAAAGTCTAACCAGTGAGGTTGGGCTATTGAAAGACTCTTTCTCAAATGAGGTGAGTGACAATCAGGAGGGTGATTTCTGAGGTTCTTCTCAGGCCTCCAAGGGTACATGCCCATATGTGCCTCAGCTGGGTATACACATGTACTCACATGCACAAAATCACATTTTCAAAACCAAGCAAAAATGCTACTAGGAGAAAAATACTTTTTACAAATGTTTTTTGAAAGGTAAAAAGTTATAAGAACAACAAATTTCCAAAAGTTATTTGTCAAGATGCCCAGTATTTATGACATTAGCTTTCCAAGATCCACCAATTAGATTATTGTAATTTTTAAAAGACAAGTAAAACTTCAGTGGCATACTAGATTATAAAATTTCTAGATTACATAAGTACAGAGTGGGCTCATGAGTGTCATAAAAAGCTAAGTTTTTTGAGTAGAAAATAAATGCTGGATTGATGAAATCCCCAAAATGTAGGAACTTAGAGGGAGATTGTGGAGAAGATGAGACCTTATGGTTCATGATGGATTCTGGCATACTTTAATGTGGATTTCTTTATGATGCACAGGCTGACCTTAAACTCATGCTCCCTCTGCTTCAGTTTCTGGGAATCCAAGTGGGTACCATATAGCTAAGCATATTCTTCTTTTAAAGTTTCACTTGAGGTATAGCATAATGGCAGAACACTTGCCTAGCTCACTGAAAACCATTGTCAGTACCACAAAACAAATGCATACAATAAAAAGAAACACACCCTCCCTTTACCATCTTAATCTCCTTGTTTTAGAGACTCAGCTTTCCTTTATTTACATATTTACATTTTATATACCTCCTATATTCTATTTCTACTTGCTAAGAGCAGCCCTGTTTCTTTTATCTGGCCACAGAGTAGAAACAAAATTGACAAGAGCGTGTGTGTACTGTTAGTGTGAACATGTGCATGGGGTGTACCCATGATTAAAGTATATTCTACCTAAAATAAAGTTTCTAGTGCCCATCATTTAAAAGAAAATAAAAAGAGAAACTGGGTCGTCTTTCCTGCAGAAGACTTTGGATTATTTTGCTGTTCTAAATAATTTAACTTAGCATATTACTTCTGACTATATATTTGTCCACCCTAAAATAGTATATGCCACAATAATTCTATGACTGGTAATTTTACTGTTTTGCATCTTCTGGCTATTGATTAATGGTAACAGTGACACAAAGGTATTTTAAAATGGCATTATCCTAATGACTGTCTTCAAAGGCCAAGGGATATTGAACAAAAGGAAGTTGTACAGTGTATATACAGTAAGTGATGGCCCAAACTTCTGTTAGTGCAAGGTAGCTGCTTGTACTGACCTAGTCCATGATGGGAGACTGCTCTTTTTAGATGTAACATGAGTTCCTCATTGGTCTTTCCTTCTGCCCCAAGAATTACTTACAGAATATGTGCCAGTCCTCCATTCCCTCACCACACCACTGCACATGGTGAAAATCCATCTCTAAGAAAGGATCTTAATACAAAGATGAGTTAGCTACAAAATATGTCCTTAGCATAGAAAACAAACCAAGAAGAGAAAGGGGGTACCTACCGAGGTTTCTGATGGAGGCTGAAGTCAGCATAGGATCTGAACTTACAAGAACAGCTGAAAATAGTAACCAGGGTACAGTCTTCAAAGTCAATTTATTCACAGATTGCAGATACCAAAGGATTAAGGTATAATTCATCACAAATCCAGGAATTGTAATTAAGAGTATCTGCAAAGACATTTGATAGTAGAAAGATCGATTGTTTTTGCATTCTCTTTTGAAAAGCTGAAGACTAGACAGAACTGGCTATCAGTGTGGTCTTCAGGCTCACTTTGCTGGAGCAATCCCCTACCCGCAACCACCACCTCAACAGAAGTATAGAAAGTGGCTGAGCAGAGATCCTCTAGGCCAACCTAAACCACATCTATAGAATGTTGTTTGCTGCTATGGCTCCCCTATTCTCCCTGCCTCCTGGTCATTTGTCTGAGCTCCATGTGCCTAGTTTTGAGTTAAGATGTGTTACTTCTGAAAGTGTTTAGGCTAGACTGTTTGCAAAACTATTTTCCTAGCTTTGGAAGTTGTGTGTGCATAGCTTGTAGTCAGGTGTGTTTTATCTCAGTGTCTTTCTTTGATACAGCCCTCGTCTTCTGGGCCTAAGAAGTCACTGCGATTTGGGTTATAGCTACTTCTGAGTTGCCTTCTGTACTTTTGCTGTTCCTGGAGTTGTAGTGTTATGTAGTAGGGATTTAAAACCAGACATTTATCATCAATTTTTTTCCTTGAGATAATATACTTCACAGTCATGCTCTTACAGATTCCTGGAGCTAAAATGATGATTGATATGAAGTTCTGTCAGTAAAATAGAATTGTTTCTTTTTCTGCACAATTTTTTCTGAGCTTCCAATATGCTAGAATATTGTCAATATATGGTTTCTTTGTTTGTGGATGCAAAACTGAATTTACCATGCTGGTACCCTATACTTTCCCCTTCTTTATTTTCTATTTTGGAACAAAACATTTTTGTTATCTGAAAATATTTATTATCTGAAAATAATTAACATGGTTCATGAATGGACAGTAATATGAGAGCAGAATTATTACCTGCCATAGTAACTTCTGGAACATATATACATCCATGTCAAATGCAACATTAAAGATAATTACTGGCGTAAATATACCAAAAAACAAGTCTGGATCCATCCACTGTATGACATCTGCATATATCTGGATCTAGTAATATAAAATTGATTATTCACATATATCCATGCTTCATTAGCATAGAAAACATGCCTGAGGCCCTTCTCTCACAATAGAGAAAGAAAGTTTTAGAAAGATACACCATGATAGGAGGGCTGAAGTCTTACTCTGTTGAATATTCAGAACTTTCCATCTCATTGACATATGGAAACAGGTATCTAACAGAGGTAAGTTGATACATATACCTAAGCCCTTTCTTTACAAAGAGTAGATAGAAGTAATCTATTGACACAGGTGTAAAGAACATACAGTGGACTTACAGATACAAAAGAGAGAAAAGGTGTTTGAAGTTAGTGGGTTTTCATGAACAAGAATCAGCAGATGAATAAATGACCCTTATGAAGCCTCAGATGCTACAAATAGACACATTCAAAGATTGTTGAAGATTGAATAGGATAGCTGGAACAGAGTAGAAAGTTGATGTGAGTAGTGAAATAACTCATGGTGTCTCTCCTAATGCCAATTGGCATCAGCAGGTTGTACTAGGAACATTCATTCAATTCTTGTTTCTTCTGTGGTGCAGCCTACATGCAGCGATTTCTCCTGGTCTCTGGTTTCTACCTATCAGAGTTTTGAGAACAGACACAGGATAAGTTCATAAACTCATAACTGCTGTTGCTTTGAAAGTCTTTAATCTCTGGTCCAGGTCTGTGCTTTTTCTCCAAAGTTGAAACTACGGCAGACTGACTTATTAGCTTACAGAGTGCTATCTTAGACAGGTGCAGTTTGTGACACAAGGTATTCTCCATTGGAGGGGTCTTTGAAGGTACTTGAAGTTGTATTTATGTAAAAATTATGATTAGATAAGTGAACAATAATTTGGTTTGGGTTCTTGTATGGATAGATAGTCTCTTTTAACATTACTGGCTGTATCTGAGAAAGTCCACCATTTTCAAACAAGCTCTCACATCCCCTGGACTGACTGACTAAAGCAGGCACTGACTAGATACAGTCCTTGGGCTAAATCTGACTCACTGTTCTTTTAATATGTGATGTATGAGACACAGCTGTACCTTTTCATTAGTGTATTCAGAATACCTGCTTTTGAACCACCATGGCAGAGTTCAGTAGCAGGACCACATATCATAAGGCCTGCCCAATGTAAACCATTTTACATTATGTCCTCTCAAAAAAAACTTTACCACAAATTCCTGGATCAAGCACTATTTAATGTGTCAGGAATAGTGTATATTTCTTTTAGTAAGTATTCTCTCCTGCCTATAAAATACCAACAGTTCCTAATGTTGTCACTTCCTTATCTAAATCTAGTTTGTCATTTTCATTTCAATAAATAGGCTCAATTTATGTTTCTTTCTATGTCCTACCATATGCACCCTTAGAGACTAGCATATCTTCTAGAAAATTTGTAAAACTTGTTGTAACTAAAGCAACACTATTGGAATTTATTTTCCCAGCAAAATCCTATTCTAACAACTCCAAGTTTCCTTGAATACCTATCTGCGTAGCTGTACACACCCTAATTTCCAGATACACTGTGGCTGTGTTCTTTCAGGGTTGCTATTTTTCTACACTAGAAGCATCCATTGCTTGTTTGAGTGGAAAGAGGTGGGTCTCTTTTCAAAACCTCTTTAGCTTTCTTTGCACTTAATCAATCCTTAGATATCATGCTGATATTCATTTATTATACATACCTGAGTAGATGCAAAACTCAGAATTTCAAAACAGCATCCAATTACAAATAATATCACAGGAAGAGGAACTGGGAAATCTTTCAGATGCATGTTCAAAAATGCTGCAAAAAGTAAACTTGTTACTGATAGGCTATGTAATAATCTTATTTATAGACTTTTGCTATTATGTGTTATATGACTTAATATCAAGGAAGCAGAATGGTATCTACTACTAATTTACTATTTGCACGTGATTGAGACCCTCTCTCATTCTTGAAGATATAAAATCCATGTGGTCATTAATTTATCAAATTTCTGCCTTACAGCTCTTATTATGGACTGTATTTCTTTAGAGACTTTGGTTAAATATTTCTAGAGACTACTGGTTCTTGGATTATTACTGATATATTTGTAATAGGTTTTGCAACCACTGTAATTCATATCGGTTTCGTATGTAATTCTGCAATAAAAGGGTAATTAACTCCAATGAAACCTCTTAGCTTAGGAACAATGAGGACCTAGCTATAATATTCATACATATACATAGACTAGACTAAGGAAGGGGGGTATTTAAGCTTACCTCCAGTAGTGTAGATCAAAGATAGAATCAAGATAATTTGAGGGAGGTCCTCCGGAGTGCTCAGAAACACAGTTTTGAGAAGATCCAACCATGCACTACTTAGTTTGACACTTCGGGTTGTTGTTAAATTCTCAGCAAATTCTTCCATCCTCTTGTTTAACTATAGTCTGTCTGCCTTTAATCCTATGTCTCTCTGCAAAACTCAGAGGGGATCATAGGAAATAGGGGTTTTCTTCTTGGTGTCCTCCTAATGCATTGCTAAAAGGGAAGAAAATCACTTATTTCTCTAATTATCCTGAGTCTTCACTCATGATCTGCAAACATCAAGGAAGACTCTCTTTTCTGCAATGCTTCCAATTGAAATAAAATGGAAAAGCCAGAATCCCAGGTGCTGGGGACTAGCCAGCAATATAGCACATCCTCTCCCAGTCCTGAGTGCTATCCAGTCATTGCCCACCTTGAACCTGTGCACCTACCCAGAATGTTTCTTCACCTAACCCTTCTCCCAACATTGAGACCTCAGCTAGTGCAGGTGACTCATCTCTGGGGGTGCGACACTCTGACACTCAGGCTAAGTTTATCCAACTGTCTGCGGAGGTGAAGGAACATTTTGATTTATATCATAATTTCAAAAGGATAGCAATAAGAGGCCATGCTGATAGAAACTTTTTCTTTTATCCCTAGAGGAGCACCTGCAGGTCAGCATTCTGATAAAACAATGAACAATGGCCACAATCAGAGAACTTATCTCTTCACAAGGTAAAATAGTTGTAAAAACAAAGGTCTTTAACTTCCTTCATGAAATCATACCTTGTGGATAGAGCAAGGACTCTCTAATTTCACATACACACGATATGCTTTTCTGGTTACAAAAATATTTTGAAAAAGAAATTAGATGAATATATGTTTATTGTTAACACTTCAGTAAAACAAATCACCTGCACGAATCTCATCCAGTGGCTTGCTGTGCTTTCTTTATACTGATGAACTCATTCTCCTGTAAGGAGGCTGCGTGCTGCTTTCTCCCTCTCGCTGTATAATTACCATCAACTAGACCCATACACACTGTTCACAGTGACTGATCACATGAGCACAATCTTCACGATCAGGCTGTCTGGATGCAGAGTTCTGGAAAGTTTCTCTTTGTGGCGTCAAAGCCAGATTTTCCTAACTCCACCAATTTGTTTTCAAATCACTTTAACTTCCTAGACAGTGCAACTCCTCTCTGCATCTATTATTTACTGGAATCCTCTGGGGAGTCATAATGATGCTGATTAGTCTACTCAGAGATTGCCTAGATGTCCCGGGTGATTTAATAAGTAGCTATTTAACAATCACTGCAACTGTCTTAGTTTAAGAGCAACAATTGCTCAGTTTTCAGTCTCAAAGCCAAGTTCTGATTTTGATTAGGTTTTGTGACAAAGATGCTTACAATCAGAAATACATCTGTAACCAGCAGATTTTGTTATCTGTAACAGTTAGGGTGACTACTCACCATGCGGAACCATGGGGTACCTTGGTGAAAATGATGCTATGAAGACCTCCCTATAAGATCTGGGCTTTGGGTCATTTTGAAAAGGGTCTATGGGATGAAGCTTTCCTCTAAGTTGCCACCGAGTGTGTCAGGAAATCTTAACTATAGTGAGAATAAACCTAAGGAATAACTGATATAAAATTATGATGGAGGAGAAGCAGGGCAGAAATTTACCATGAGGTGGTTGATCTTAGGGAAGTCTTTGGTCGCGATGAGAAAGGCAGAATGGCCTAGAGGAAAGGGTCAACTCTAAAGTTGAAGGCTGTGGTTCTCTTTGTTCCTCCAGGAGAGGTAGTCCAGAGACCAAGTGTCAGAAGGAAAGGCCAACTTCAAGAAAGGGGGCTCACCATCGGGAGCCCAGGAAATGCGAGAAGTGGGGGCCTGGAACTTCCTCTCACTTCAGAACAGTCACAAAGCAACTGCAACCTTACTGACAGTTACTTGCTCCAAGCCCCGCCCCTACTATCCACCTACTGGCTGCAGTTTCATAACTCCTGACTTGGTTGGCTGATGAAAACAGCATCCCTTTTCTGTATATTAAGGGCATTTAAAGTTACAAAGCTGTGTTTATAAAAGAAACAAAAAAGGAAACGTGAAAAGAAAGCACCAGGAACTGTATTATTTACACATATTTAATCTGTGGCATAACGAGTATCTGGCCACGAACCCACGGATAGTGTTTTCTCCGCTTTCAAGAAGGAGGAAGTCTCCTGGACAGAGTGGGGTTGTGGATATTTTGAATGCAGGAATTCTGTTTGCTGAGTTTGAAGCATGAGGTTGGGACCTTGGTTCTGGGCATGTAAAAGAATGCAACCAAGACAGAAAGGGAAAGTAGCTTCTCATTGACTCTGGGGCAACTGTGAAGATGGTTTCAGACATAGTAATATGTTCATGTATTTTTTCAAGTACATATAAAGAATAATTTAATTGAAATTACTTAGCAGCATTATTGTGGAATCAAGCTTTGTGTTTTTGCATTCTTGCTTGCATTTGTCAGTGTTCTCAAGAGGCACAGAGTCTGTCTGATGAATATGCATAATATACATATCCTAATTTGTTGAGATTCAAACCAACCACCACACTATTCTAAGGATATATTTTGAGAAATTTTTTAATACTTTCAAAATCTAGGCCATCTTTGGGCATGTGGGAGACCACTTTATATTCTGACTCACACAAATGTTTTGGGAGGATGTTTAGATGCCTATGAGAAGGAAGAACAGAGAAAGGAGTAAAGGAAGAGGAGTAGCCATTCCGTAGTCCTCCTGGATGTGCTCAGAGCACTGCCAGACTTATACAGCATGGCAGCTCTAAACAATAGGGATCATGGAAGGGAATTATATTCAGAAGTTAACAATGGGGATACATTTTAGCAAGTGGTCAAAGAAACCGTAAAAGGATTTTAAAAAGTGATAAACTAATATAAAGTTTTAATGAAATTGAAGTTAAGATTATTTCTGACTAAACATTTAGATGGAAGTTATAAGGAGTGAATACATATTTTATATTAGATATAGAATTAGATTATTAAATGAAATAACCTCTGCATGTTTATGCCTATAGAAAGATTATTGATACTGAGAGATATTCATTGTTTGGGTCTCATAAAGATAATTTCTTTTGAGTGGATCATGTAGTTTGACCATGTTCATCTCTCATAGTCTGCCTTTCTCTCTTTTCTTCTTCTTTTGGCTTTTCACTTCTCCCCTATTCACAGACTCCTTCTGCTTTTAAGTCATATATAGAGATGCATACATATGATTTACATATTTATACTAAATCTAGGATTCACAAATAGGAGAACTTGACCTTTGTCTTTCTGAGACTGGTTTATTTTGCTTATATGTTGGTTGCATCCATCTTTCAGCAAAGCCCCCCCTCTCTCCCTCTCTCTCTTTCTTATGTCATTATTTGTGAATATGACTCCATATATAAATATATATTCTATGTTTTCCTTATCTATACATTTGTCAATTGTCGCACAAATAGTAATACACAGAGACAGATACTGGGGTTCAAGCTGAAGATCAGAAAATCAAAGCAGCCAGCCAGTAGCTCTTACTTCTACCAAGGCTGAAATGGAGAGCCTGTCTTCCCTGCTTCTGGAAACTAAATCTCACATGAGACCCTTTGCTTCTTCCTTATATACCTCTCTAGTACTGGGATTAAAGGCATGAGCTCTGTTTTTCTTTTAGACTGACCCATTCTCATGCAGCCCAATGTAGTCTTGAAGTCACAGAGATCCATCTGCCTCTGTCTCCTGGGTCCTGGGATTAAAGGTGTGTGCCACCACTGCCCAGCTTCTATGGCTAGCTAGTGTTGCTAGCTTTGCATTCTGATCCCTAGACAAGCTTTATTAAATCATAAACAACATATCACTACAGTCGATGGGTACCTAGGCTGATTCTATAGGGTGGTTTTATTAATGGTGCTATAATGAACATGATGTGCAAGTATCTGTGGGACTTTAATTTAGAATCCTTTCTGTGATCAGCTGCCCCGTGGATGTGCTATTTTACAATCCACCAAGAGTGTGCAAGAATAGCCTTTCCCTGCATAATTGCCAGCATCTGTTGTTATTTGATGTCTTTCCACTAAGGTGAGATGCTATCTCAATGTAGATTCAATTTGCACTTCCCTCATGGCTAAGGATGTTACATATTTTTCATATGTTTATGGATATTTGCACTTCATTCTTTAAACTTTTTTTAGTTCTTTTGCAATTTTGCACTAGGTTTTTGATCATATTCACCCTACTCCATAACTTCTCATAGATAAACTCCATCTTCTGTCCTCACTCAAATTTGTGTTCTGCTTTTGTTGTTATTTGGTTGGTTGATTTGGGGATTTCATGTGTTTTGCTTTTTCTTTTTTTTATTTTGTTTAAACACCAATTGAATACAATATAGTTTATCCTTTTAAGACCTGTTTGTCTCAGTAGCTCACTTATTGATTGGGTAAATGCAAAGAATATCAGAAAGTAAACACAGAAATAAATCTAGCATTTTTTCAATGTTTTAATTGTGTAATGTTTAACTTCCTTAGTTAGCTTTATTCATATAATTTCCTCCCTCCCTCCCTCCCTCCCTCCCTCCCTCCCTCCTTCCATTCCTTCCATCCTTCCTGTCCTGGAACTCACTCTCTAGATCAGGCTGGACTTTAACTCAGAGACCTGCTTGCCTCTGCCTCCTGAGTGCTGGGATTAAAGATGTGTGCCACCATTGCCCTGCCTATTCCTAGATTTCTTAAGGATAGTATGAATAAGATCATTTTCACAATTTCTCTTTCATTATATTCTTATTAGTATACAAAAAGCTACTGACTTTTATGTTTAGTAGAATTCACTAAGGAATATGTCTGGTGATTTCCTCTGTTGGAGTTTCTTGATTATTGAGTTAATATTCACACCTGTTATGTGTATATTAAGATTTTCCACTTATTTTGAAAGTTTTGGAAACTTTGAGCAATATTCTGTGTAATGCTCATGGTACTCTCTCATAAGTGCTTTGTATTTTAGGGTGTCTCTTTTTTTTCTTCTTCTTAAAACTTAAATTAGAAACAGTCTTATTTTACATATCAATCCTAGTTCCCTCTTCCTCCTATCCTCCCATGTTCCATCGACAACACCCCCCCCAAGTCTACACCCTATCCACTCCATAGGGAGGGTGAGGCCTTCCATGGGGGATCATCAACGTCTGTCACTTCATTTGGGGTAGGGCCTAGGCTGTATCTAGGCTGACAGAGTATCCCTCCATGGGGAATGGACTCCCAAAGTAAATTCATCCACTAGGGATAAATACTGGTTCCACTGCCAGAGGCCCCATAGCCTGCCCAGGCCTCTTAACTAACACCCATGTTCAGGGGGCCTGGTTCGAGCCTATGCTGGTTTCCTAGCTGTCAGACTGGGGTCCATGAGTTCCTGCTTGGTCAGGTCAGCTGTTTCTGTGGGTTTCCCAGCATGGTCTTGAGCCCTTTCTCATCATTCCTCCATCTCTACAACTGGAGTTTGGTTCAATGCTTAGCTGTGGGTCTCTGCTTCTGCTTCCATCACCTACTGGGTGAAGGCTCTAGGATGGCATTTAAGGTAATCATCAGTCTAATTATAGGGAAAGGTCATTTAAGGTAGCCTCTCCGCTATTGCTTAGATTTTTAGTTGGGGTCAGCCTTGTGGATCTCTGGACATTTCCCTAGTGCCAGCTTTCTCTTTAAACTTTTAATGGTTCCCTGTATTTAGGTATTTCTTTTTTCGCTCTCCCTTATTCTTCCCCCGACTCAATCTTTCTGATGCCTCATGTTCTCCTCCTCTTCTTGCCTTCTCTTTCTCCTCCCTCCCTCTCCTCTGCCCCCCACTCCCAGGCTCCCAATTTGCTCAGGAGCTCTTGTTCCTTTTCCCTTCTCCAGGGGACCATGTATGTCTCTCTCAGGGTCCTTGTTTCCTAGCTTCTCTGGAGGTGTGGATTGTAGGCTGGTAATCCTTTGTTCTAAAGATACACATTCATTGCTGGTGGGAGTGCAAACTTGTACAGCCACTTTGGAAATCAGTATGGCAGTTTCTCAGGAAAAAGGGGACTCAGTCTACCTCAAAATCCAGCAGTTCCACTCTTAAGCATATACCCAAAGGATGCACATTCATACAACAAGGACATCTGTTCAACTATGTTCATAGCAGCATTATTTATAATAGCCAGAACCTGGAAGCAACCTAGATGTCCCTCAATTGAAGAATGGATAGAGAAAATGTGGTACATTTACACAATGGAGTACTACTGAGCAGAAAAAAAAAGACAATGAAGTCTTGAAATTTGCAGACAAATGGATGGAACTAGAAGAAACCATGCTGAGTGAGGTAACCCAGTCACAGAAAGATAAGCATGGTATGTACTCTCTCATATATGGATTTTAGACATAGAGTGTCACTTTCAATGTCTCCTCATTCATTCTTGATTTTGAGTTTTAGTTTTGTTGTCCTAGCCTGGCTAAGTGTTTCTAAAATTTATCATCTCAAAAACAAAATGAAACAACATAAAATCTTAGTTTTATTGATGCTTTTATAGTCTATCTGATTTTATTTTATTTTCTTCCTTCTGTCAACTTTATGTTTAATCTGTTCTTTTTCTACTTAACTTATAGTAGGTTATTCATTTAAGGTCATTTGACTTTCATACTATGGGCAATGACAGAATTATACATGCTTCTTTCAACTGATTTTGTTCTATTGCATGAACTGGGCATGATGTATTTTTCTTTTTACCTTTCCAAAGAATTTTTTTCATTTATTTTATGAAGTGTTTGACTCATTCATTGGTTCTTCAAGAGCATGTTTTAAAATTTCTGTAAGTTTGTGAATGTCAATATTATCCTACTATCCTTTTCATGCCGTTGTTTTTGAAATACATATTTTATATGATTTCACCAGTATCTTGAATTTATTAGGACTAGCTAGTTATACAGTATTCAGACAGGTGCTGGTAACAAACCAGGACTTTGAAGGTGTGTATTGCCCCATATTTTATTGACAAAAAAGAGGGAGTGGCCAAATTCCTTTGAAATGAATAACCACCTTTTGGCAGAAAACAGTGGAAGAAAATTAGAAGTTCAGCTAGAAAACAAATTTTGACTGTTGGTGAAGACTGTGATGATTTTCATCAACAGATTCCATGGGCTTTTCACCCCATTGCATTCTCCATCTCTTAATGCTACTCTGCACAGAAGAATCAGGTAATTATTTTCTTTTACAGATGTTTAGCTGGGAGTTAATGACAAATGCACACTGGGTTACAGGCTACTTACTTTTATACCAGTGGGTAAAGAGGGAAGTGTGCTTGAATCTGTGTACTAATCATACACCGATATAATCATACAGCTGGCAAATCATTTAATGTGAGTGTATTTGAAACAATGGTTTTAGAAGATGGGATAAAGGTGAGAATGAAGGCAGGCAGGCAGACAGGTTATGTACAGCTTGCTCAAATGAGATATTTTCTGGTATGTCTGTTTTATGTAATTATAAACCTGGCAGCCCAGATATATACAGAGAATCTCCTCACAAATTCTGTGTTTTTTTTAAAATTATGCCTTTGTTCACAGTCAAGCACCATATACAACTTTTAATTTTGAGATTGAGTTTATTTAAAGCTCTTCTCAGTAATTAAGGGTTTTTACTAAGTGGGCAAGTCTATACATAATTTACTTCATATATTTGTCTACCATTGCAAGTTGACCTAATTAAGAAATTCCACAAATATTGTCTTATCATTTCCTGATCATTATGAATGATTGAATTAACAGCATTTAATCCATCATTTTCCTTCACATTAAGGTAATAACGAGTGTTCTTTAAGAATTTGCGTAAAGGGTCCAGAGAAGTTACCTGGTAGTTAGGAACACACACAGTACTCTTTTGGAGGACTCAGATTCTGTTTCAAGCACCTGTGAATGCAGCTTCAGGGGATCCAAAGACCTCCTCTGTCCTCTGTGAGTGCACGCACATACACCATGCCACAAGCATAGTTAAAAACCTGGAACAAGTCTTTAAAAAAAGAAGAAAGGAGAGGAAACAAAAAAAATGACACCTGAGAATAGGGTCTAGGTTTAATGACAGACCTTGTGCTTAGCATGGGTGGGGTCCTGGGTTTAATCCCTAGCACCAAGTAAGAATAATGGATGAATAAATAAAATGCCCAATGAGGAAATTTTCTCTCAGGAAGTAGCTCATACTATAAAGGAGAAGAGAACCTGGGCGCCAGGGATAAGGGGCAAAGCAATACGGAGACCGCTGTGCAATCAGTGATGGACAGCTGGGTTGTTAACTTTTTGTCTGTTGCCAGCTTACGTTTTCATGTGTGTTCAATCCTTCCCTGAAGGCAAGGAGCAAACTACCTGTGGAAACTCAAATGTTTCTGATAACATATTACTGTCTCAAATGTTTCTGATAACATATTACTGTCAGATGACCCGTGTTCTCATTTTATTCAACACTGTGTGTCAGATAATGTTAAATCTATTTCTGAGATGAAAATGCTGAGGAGTAAGAAAGTAAAATATTGCTAGAAGACCAAAGTGCAATCAGTTCAGGTGAACTAACTGATGAACACAGTGTTTCTCTAACAATAAACTCGCCTCGTGTTTGAAGGGTTTGTGATTCTGTGGGCACAGTTAGGTTCACTACATTTATTTTGAAAAAATATTTGAAAAAAAGTTGCTTGTAATTTGATCATGGAAATGAAATAAATGAGTGAAAAATTGTATGGTATCATATGAGTTATGTGGATCAAGCTGTGTAGTTGGGTTTTTAATCTTCATATTTAAATAAAGCACACACTTGGGAAAATAGAATGTATTCCATAACAGTATTCAGACTTCTTCAGACTTCCCAACTTTTGCTCTCCTCATCCTCACATTATGGATTTACTTTATCTATTGTTGACTTAAAAAATATACATGACCCTTTGGACTCCCATCCGACAATGAGAGATGCACTCTCACCCTGAACTCTTGGGGGAGGTTCTAGGCCCTGCCCTGGATGAAATGACAGACTATGGACACCCCCATGGAGGGCCTCACCCTCCTTGGGGAAATGAGGGGATATTGGGGGGTTGGTGGGATGGCACGGGAGGAGGGGAGGGAAACGGAGAGGGACCTGGAACTGACTTGTGAAGCAACCTTGTTTCTAATCTAAATTTAAATTTAAAAATAAAAAAATGTATATACATGACCACTGAGAATCTATTCAGTTGTTTCTGGTTTCTTTATATATTTGTAGAATTTATTAACATTTTTAGAGGAATGTAATTTATTAAATCTCATTATTGAATGAATTCCTTTGTGTAATGTTATAATTATACAACTTCAAAAATATTTACTTATTTTATGTATATGAATACTCTATTGACCTTATGCCAGAAAAGGACATCAGATCTCACTATAAATGATTATGAGCCACCATAGGTTGTTGGGAATTGAACTCAGGACCTTTGGAAAAGCAGCCAGTACTCCTAATCACTGAGCCGTCTCTCCATCCAAACATTTTTGGTTTGTTTTGTTTTTTTGAGACAGGCTTTCTCTGTGTAGCCCTGATTGCCCTAGAACTCACTGAGCTGTCTCTCCATCCAAACATTTTTGTTTTGTTTTGTTTTTTTGAGACAGGCTTTCTCTGTGTAGCCCTGGTTGTCCTGGAACTCACTTTGTAAACCAGTCTGGCCTTGAACTCAGAGATCTATCTGCCTCTGCCTCCCAGTTGCTGGGCTTAAATGTGTGTGCCATCCCACCCGGCCCAATTTTTGTTTGTTAATTGTTTGAGAGTTTCATATGACATATCTTGATCACATTGGCCTGTAGGAGAACATGAGGTCTACGTGCTCACAGATAGCACTGGAGAAACCAAAGTTGTGAAACATGCATAATTTCTTCTTTAAGAGAAGAAACTGACACCTATTCACACAGAAGCTAGAGTGGGTGTTTTCTAACAACCTGATCTTTTGCTATTCTGTGATCCAGTCTTCACCTAAATCCCGCAAACAGTCAATGGAATCTGTGCTTATGAAAGTCATTCCCATGCAAAAGAGTTTTATATTGTGCTTATTACAAGCCTTTCCTCCCTAGACTTAGACTCCTGAATACCATTTCTCAGTCAATAGTACCCATTCCTGTGAAAAAGGTCATAGGTGCTTTGCTAAAGAGACCTGTTTTGCAAAGGAGTTTTGATGTAGCCATGCCTAAAGCTTTGTTGTGATAATTGCATGTAGTAACTTTCCCCCAAAGTTTTACTGTTACTGTAAAAACAAACCACTTTGCATCAGGCTTCAGAAGTTTTGGCCCAGCACTGATTAACTAAAGTCAAGTTTCATTTTGCCTCACCCAAACGGTTTCCCTGCCCACTGTGACCCTTGCAGAGACCCCAGGTTTACACCAGCACTCTTCCTCTGACTCCTCTCAGATCTGCATTCCCCTCCCATCGCAACTTCATGTTCTTTTTAAAAATGATGTAGTGAGTCTAATTTATTCTGCCATTTTACCCATGATTGTGGACCCATTCTCTGTAGTGTGATATGAGATGTGTTCTGAATTTACAATTCTATTTTATCATGATGTGTTCACATTTTTGGAGAATACATGAATTAGCTTCTGTTGGGTGTATGTTGGAGGTAGACCGGCTACTTGTAGGGTATGCTTATGCTCAGTGATAAGATAGCCCCAAGGGTTTCCACTGAGTACCCGACAGAATTTATACTTCCTTCAGCAGTGTGGGTGAGGTATGTTGTTTCTGCAAATTTTCAATAAAACTTGACATTGCTTGCCTTTCATTTTAGGCAACTAGTGCATATATAATCCTCAGTTTAGTTTGTGTTTCCTTGATGTTCAAGTTGAGCACCTTAAGTACATGAAATATCCAGCCAGATGTAGAATAATTCATAACTTAGAATACATATGTATATAATATATATAATTATAATACAAGTTCAGCATATATATATGCAAACAAAGTCATATATATGCTTAACAGATAAAAATATACACACATATACATATATACAGGCAAAGATACATATATGCGTGTACATATATAGGGTAATTCATAATTTTTAATTGTAATAAGTATTTACTAGGTAATATGTGTCAGAAACCAATTTAGGAACTAGGCAGTCAATGTTGAAGAACATACTGTAGCTCTTGCTGTCTCTCTTTGTCTTTAGTTCTGAGGATCAAATGTAGGGGCTTGCATGTGTCAGGTCATCTTTCTACCACTGATAACATACACAGGTTACAACTCCAAACTATTTCCTTTTCATTGAGATGCAGTCTCTCTATGTATCTTCGGTTGTTCTTGGAGGCACTATCCCTTTTCTTCATTCTGGAGTATGTCCTTTTCAACCGTGCAGAAGAGGCAACTACAATGACAGTCACAAGCAAAGAGAAATGCTATTAGGAACGCTGGGGTGGTATGGGTATATATTTCCCTTAACATTGGACCTCATTTTCAGTTTATTCACAGAAAATAAAGCATAAGAATTATGAGACAGCTGTGCTGGGAAGAAACCTGACCATTTTCTGCAACATGACAAGTTTGGCAAATGTTCTGCAAGTTACCTGGCAGAAAATCCAAGGCTCTCAGCCACAAAATATCGGCACTTACAGTCATAAATATGGAGAAAATATTCTCCCACCATATGTAAACAGGCTACAATGCAATATCCTGGAACCCAATGTCTCCTTCATAACTATCCAAGAAGTGACATTTGAAGATGAAGCCTGCTACAAATGTCTGTTTAACACTTTTCCACATGGCAGCCATGGAGAGCAAACCTGTCTTAACATTCTAAGTATATAACCCTTTCTCTGTGTTCTGTAATGGAGTAGACATCCTGGGGTTACAGTGTTTAAGGACATTGTCCAGAGAGTTACATGAAGGAAAACTGTTGACGAGTCCAGGTTACTTGGAGAGGGGAAAAATAATGGCAGCTGATGCAGTTATGCACTGAGACAGGACCTTCTCCAACTCTACATAACTTCTTTACATTACACTACGCTGGTTTCAGTTAAGTGGAGAAAACCCAGGAAGAGCATCAGAATTTTGCTACCAAGGCAAGGAGAAGATATGAGAAAAGAAAGAGATATCAGAGAAGAACAAGTAAAGGTGAAGACTAAGGGAATTAGGGCTCCCCAGTCTTTAAATAAGCAATACGTCCCAGTACTAGTGAGGACACCAGAGTTCCTTGTTGTGCTGCTGTAAGCGTGGGTGTTGGGGTGTATATTATATAATGTATAGTTGCATAGAACTTGAGACGGCAGTCAGTGAACAGAGGAAATGGTATTGGAAGTTTTATGACATGTGAGGGGAGTTACACAAGAGGGATATGTTTCAGCATTTATGTGTCACTTGAAAACTGGGGAACAGTCAGTCATAAGAGCAGAGAAGTTGGTATGACATACCTTTGTATTAATTTCATTTCCCTCTTTTTGCCTCAGCTGTATCTGAATTAGTAACGGAACTCCATTCTGTTCCTGGCTCTGAAGATCTCCTTAACCTTCATTGTTCAGCGGTGGGAAAGCCTGCTCCTAGAATCTCCATTTACCCTTCACAAGACCTAGTGCACTCACAAAAGGAGTTCTTTACTGAGAACCCAAATACCACAGTGACCATCACTAAAATATACAACATCTCTTTGAAAACTGTAAGGTTATTGGGTCTCCAGGACCTGGTTGTGTCCATGACTCACCCCCTAACATATAAAGAGAAGATAGTTTCTCTGCCAGCAAATCAAGAAGGTAAGTAGAAGCGACAGTGAAATCAAAGGGGACAGTTGGAGCTGGGAAAATAGCTTAAGTTGTAAAATGTTTGTCATGAGAGCATGGAGACACAAGTTTGAACCCCAGAACCCATAAAAAGCCAGGCATGTGTGTGTGTGTGTGTGTGTGTGTGTGTGTGTGTGTGTGTGTGATCACAGTGTTGGGAAGGCAAGGAAAAGCAAATCTCTGGGCTCACTGTCCAGTCAGCCTAGAGTAATTAGTGAAAATCTCTGAAAAAAGTGAAATAAAGCTAACATAATTCCAAGTTCCAGTACATGCATTCATACACACACTTTCAAATACACATATAGGAGCTCAGACATGTACACTCATGTATACGTGCAAGCATGCACTTACACATGTGCACACACACACATACACACAAGAGAGAATGAGAGAAACTCATCTTTTAAAATATCCGTAATGAAAATTATTCATGTTAATCAGCTATTTTTAAAGAAGTAAACCAATATAATGTATACTTATGATTAAGAGATCAAGCAGTGAAGGACTAGGCATAATAGCACACAAATTTAATTCTAGCACTTGAGGGTTAGAAGCAGGAGGATTTCTTTGAGTTCAGGGCCAGGATGATCTACATAATGAATTCCAGGACAACCAGAGCTATACAGTGAGGCCCTGTCTCAGGAAAAAAAATCAATCTAACAATGTTGACAGTTGTCACAACCCCTACCCCTGCACTCTGCATCAGGGTTCTTTACAGAAACCCTTCCCTTAATTAATTTCTTTGATCATTCATGGTTTTGATTTTCCTTTAGTTGAGCTTGCTCATAGTCTTTTATTTCTGTCACATACTATCTTTATTTGTTTCTGAACTTTTCCATAACATTTTAATTCATATTAGGTTGTTTTTGTTCTTTTCATCTATCTAGTGACAGCCATTGGCTTTTCCTTGTTTTAAAATTTTATTTTATTGTAAACTTAAAAATTTATTTATTCTTCTTTCATATATTATATCCCATCAGCAGGCTCCACTCCCTCCTCTCCTCCAAGTCCTTCCTCCCTTTGTCCCCTCTTCCCAGACGTACTCCTCCTCAGTTTCCCTTCAGAAAAGAGCAGGCCTCCCAGGGGACAGAACATATCACATCAAGTTGCAATAAGACTAGACACCAAACCTCATATTAAGGCTGAATGAGGCCTTAAACACAGGCAAAAGAGTCAGAGACAGTCTCCACCCCCACTGTTAGGAGTCCCACAAAAATACCAAGCTACACAACCATAATATATGTGCAGAGGACCTGAGTCAGACCCATACAGGCCCTATGATTATTGCTGCAGTCTCTGTGAGCCCCTATGTCACCTAGTTACTTGTGTTCTTCTGACCCCTCTAGCTCCTACAACCCTTCCTACCCGATATTGCCTTCCTAGGAAATTTCCAGAACTCCACCTAAGGTTTGGCTATGGGTCTGTACATGTGCTCTTATCAGTTGCTAGATGACATCTCTCTGATGATTATGCTACCCTGTAGTCTACAATGTAGGAGATTATCATTAGGTCATTCCATTCAATAAAATATTCTAGCTAGCATAAGATTTTCAAACATTCAAAAGTGAAGTTTTGTGGTTTCCCTTCCACTCATTTTCCTATACCCCCGCCACCCCACCCTTCCTCCCTGAGAGTCTCCTCACTCAGAGTTTATTTTCCTCTTCCTCGACTCAGGTTTCCTTCTGTCCACACCCCTGGTCCGCTGACCTCATCACCTAAAACTATTCCTCTTTGTCTCCTTTCCAGATTTTTAAAGACTTTTCCCACACTTAGTATTTTCACAAACACACACACACACACACACACACACACACACACACGCTCACAAGGCTACAATATACATATGAGACAGAACATGTGGGTTTGTCATTCTGAATTTGGTTTCACCTTGTTTAATGTTCATGCTTTCCAGACCCATTCATTTTTCTACAAATTTCATGATCTTATTTTTACTTACAATTGAGTAGTAATACATTGTGTATGTGAACCATGTTTTTATCAGTCATTCATCTGTTGATGGACATCTAGGCTATGGATATGGCAACAGCAAACATGGATGTCCAAGTGCCTGTATGATAGAATCTTGAATCCTTAGGGTATATACCCAGGAGTGTACAGCTGGGTCATTTGGTAATTCTTTTTCATTTCTTGTGGAACCCCCAAACCAATATCCATAATAAACATTCCTCTTTCCCCACATCATCTTGAACATCTGTTATTAGGTCTCTCTATCTCCCCTCCTCTCTCTCCTTCTCCCTCACTTTTTTCTCTCCTCCCCTCAGGTTTTTGAGAGAGTCTCACTGTATAGTTTTGGAAGTTCTGGGATTAAAGGCATGGACCACTAACCTGGTCATATTTCTTCACAGTCTCTGACTGGGATGAAATGGTACTCAAGGTAGTTCTCACCTGCATTTCTCTGATAACTTGGGGTATTAAGTACTTTTAGAAGTACTTACTGGAGGGCTGGAAGTGTAGTTCAGTGAATCAGACCACTGACTGCTCTTCCAGAGGATGACGGCTAAGAACTCCTTGAAATTACAATTCTAGGAGATGTAATGGTATCTTCTGGCCTCTGTGGCCACCACACACAGGCAGCTTACAAACAAGTATTCAGGCAAAACACTCATACATGTAAAATGATCATAAATCAAATTTAGAGGAAAAATAATATCTATGTGTGGATGTGTGTGTATACATATGTGTGTTTATATAAATATGTGTTCACACACACAAACACACATTGGCCATTTGTGTTTTTTATTTTGAAAACTGTTCATTTTGTTAACCCATTTTTTGACTGACAGCTTGACTTCATGCTTGTAGGTTTGTGTGTTTTTCAGTGTTAGCCCATGTATGAAATGGAATGTAGCTGTGGGATGTTCCCTTTGATAGGTTCTGTTTCTGTGGAGAAACCGTTCAGTTTCACTCAGTTCCATGTGTTCGTTCTTGGCCCTAGTTTCTGTACTGTCCGAGCACTGTTCAGAAAGTTCTTGTCCACATCAACATTTCATTTTTGCTGCTGCTCATTTGGAATACACTTTCCACCCTAGTGGCTCATCGGATTTTTCTCCTAAACAGTACAAATTTAGTTGACTTAAAGCTCTAGTAAAAGGTCAGGAAATCAAGACTAGAGCATAGTCTTGGTCAGTAATTGGAAGTCATTGCATGGTAGGGTGCACCATGAAAACAAAAGGGAGCTGAAAATCCCCTGTGCCACTAGAAAACCATCACAATGACTCATTCACATTATAATGACCTTAATCTACTCGCAAGGGACTGCCACCATGACCTAAGCATGCCTTGAAGTTTGTGCTTTGTGATATCGTTTCATTGACAATTACCCTCCCTCTTTTTAAAGTTAATTTTTAAGTTACAATAATACATGACATTTTCACATGTATCTGTCATTAAACTTGGTTCTAATTTGTCTCCTTCCTTCACTGCCCTGTCCCTGGATGTCTTTGTGTTCCCTTTTCCCCAGTTTCATTACTGTGTGTCCTAATGTGTCACTTATCTTTATTCCCTTTTAGGGTCTTGGGGTTTTCCAAACTTCCTTGTCAGGGTTGGGGCGTGGGAACTGAAGCCAGGGGCCTTGTGCAAGCTCCAAAAACCTCACTTTGGACATATCTCTGCAGCTTCTATACTTTTTCTCTTCCCCCTCCTTTCTCTGTCTTTATGATTCCTTTCTTATCTGTTTTAGAATTGTATTAACTTGCCCAAGTTGGCCTTGAACTTACTCTGCTCACTCTATAACCCAGGCTGTATTGCAATTTTTAGTCTTCTTGCTTCAGCCTGCCCACTGGATGAAATGCCAGGCCTGTGCATTGGTCCAGCCTTCCTAAATGTCTTCAATCTGAAGCTTACTTTTTTAAAAAACTACTTTTGAAGGAAAAGCAACTCTTAACTCTTCAAATAATGGTCTATGTAGCTTTCTCACTCTTTTAACCTCATGGGTAATGCTGATTTTGTTGCACTATCCATGAGAAATTTCAGACATTTGCGTTTTCAAGTTTCCTGTTTGTGTTTGGTAACAACTTTACTCACATGTCATTTACACACTGTACAACTAATTCATTAAAAGTTTGCAAATCAATAATTTGTTTTTGTTTTTGCTATTGGAAACAGGGTTTTTCTGTGTAACAGCTCTGGCTGTCCTGGAACTCACTTTGTAGATCAAACTGGCCTGAAATTCATAGAGATCCATCCACCTGTCTCTCTGCCTCCAGAGTGTTGAGATTAAAGGCATGCACCACCACCCCTGGCTCCAAGTCAGTAACTTTTAATATGTTTACAAAGTTTACATCCATTAGTAAAAATATCATGAAGCACCTTTATGAGTTCTTCACCCAAAAAGACACAAGGTCTTTTTTCCCTTAGCAGTTATTTTTAATTAAGACAGAATTTGTCCTATTAAAATGTATGATTTGACAGTTGTTGGTATTTTCTAAGTACTTCACAACAGGCACTAATGTCTAATTACAGAACATTTCCACCAGACCTTGAAGAACCAAACACCTTTTAGAAGTGATAGAACTTCCAGTGACTAAAATTAGCAGCCTTCACATTTCCTGGTAGTCATTGACTTATTTTCTATGCTGCTGGATTTATTTATTCTGGTTACTTCATGTATGTACAATAATAGTATATGTTGTTATTCTTTCATGTATCAGAGTTTTCAAGGTTCATCTATGTGGTAACATGTATCATTATATCAATTTTTCATGACTAAAACATATTCTTCAGTACAGATACACCACACTTCACTTATTTATGCTTCAGTTGATAGGTGTTTGGATTATTTACATTTTTGGCTACTGTGAATAATAGCTCTTTGTGTACAAGATTTTACATAAACATATTTTATTTCCCTGGAAATAATACTCCCAGAAGTGGATTTGTAGGTTTCACTGTAGATTAAATATTTAGTGTTTTCAAGTGGTAAAATGATTTTAAGTTCCTAGCAGTCATGGAAG